ACTCTGGTCCACAAATAGTTATGCACTACCCGAAGTATAAATTAAACAATTTTGTTGATAGCTGACAGACAGAGAAGAACAAGTAAACTTAAGAGCTGTTATTATTGAAGTGTGACTAGCACTTTTCATTTTTATATAAAGAAGGACTTGTAATTTGCACCAAAAATAAAAAGATGTAATATTTTTTGGGAGATCCAGTGATTGGGACATTTAAGAAATTAAGTTATGAAAGGAAACTTGGTTGGTACTTCTCACTACTAACAAGTCTTGTTGACAAATATTTTCAGATCAGAGTTTCAAATAAAGTAAATTGAAGACGTCATTTAAAAAGGTGTTTTTTCTCTCAAAGGAACATTGACTACCTCTGTCTTGTCTGCATGCCAAATGTTTGCAAAGTGTGTGGATGATCCACAAGTATTGGAACTCTTACAAAAATGTTTTGTAAGAATAAAAACAACAAAACAAATTACAGCAATTAGTCATGAAAATAGAGCAAAAACTGAAAAAAAAAAAGCAGCAACAATAATCATGAAAAAAAAAAAGATTAATTAGGTGTTGAATTTGTTTGTCTAAGGCATGAAATTTCTACTAAAAGTATTGTCAACAAAAAGTCTCTGACAGCGTTTGAGGCAACTGAGCTTGACTGTTCCAAGGTTTTCTAACAAAAGCAACCAGTAATGTAGGTTAGGGAAGTAAGATAATAATGTAATTATTGTTAATAATTGTGGAAGTTGACAATTTCCATTTAACATAACTGACAGCTGGTTCATGAGAAAATCCATATTAATGTAAAGATTTACAAAAACTTAGTTTGAATAATAAATTTCATGATTTTTAAGTTATAAACATGTACATGTATGTATATCTCTTGGTAAGTTTTGTATAGCATACCTTTTATTGAGCCAAAGTTTTAAGCCTCTGAAATTACTCTTTTTCTTAAAACCTTCACATTCAAGGTATTGAGAATTTCTTAGAATTTATGTGGACCTCAGGGTATTAAAATTGCCTCAAATTCAATTCCCAGAAATTCCCAAGAGTTCCACACTTCTTAAATTATGGGTAGTTTGTAAAGCTGAGAATTCCTAGGAATTCCTAGGGATTCCAAGTCCTCACAAAACTGGAGTCTTCTTTTCCCAGAAATTCCCAGTAATTCCAAGCTTTTTAAATCAGAGTTAATTTGCATAGTTGGGAATTTTTGAGAATTCCTAGGAATTCCTAGGAATTCCCAGGAATTCCCAGAAAACTGGGAATTCGGTGTTCCAAGGGTCATTTGCTTAATTGGGAATTTTTGAGAATTCCCAGAAAACTGGGAATTCAGTTCGCAAGGGAGATGCTTACACACACAAGCCTGATTAATTTGATGACCATTATCTTGGTTATATTGTTAGTCACTAATTCCATATGTTCTCATCAAAATAATATAATTGAACATCATTATTATAAAATACTATAATAGATTACTTTTACTTTATAAGATCCTTTTAATGCCTATAATGTACATCCCTTGATATTTTGAAAGGTTATTGTGAACATTCATGTTATATTAAAGCATCTACAGTTAGTATAATGAATTTCCTGTGATGATAAAAAAAGACCCTGTCCTTGCTTAAATGACAGAAAACACAAGGGATGTTTTCAGAAAGTGTATAAAAATTTTTAAGTATGAGTTTGAACGTAAAGATTTTGCATTTAAGATTAAGTGGATTGGAGAAATTCAGCACGTTTAGTTATTTTAAATGCCCCAGTTTTCTATGTTTTTAACTTTTTTAAGTGCATCTTTTTTTTTCTTCTGGTCATTTTTTCCCCCTTCACACAGTTTTCAAAGTTTACCTGGTTAGTCTTTTAATGCATTTGATGATTAAGTTTTAATTTACTGTTAAGAACATCTACAGTGTTTTCTGTCAATGCCAAATCCAAGAGCAATTTTGCGAGCATTGCTTTAATAATAGGTACACATGCACACATTTATAGATAATTGAAAAGGAAAAAGGGAGGGCATTGACATCTGTCCCTTTACGTACTTTTGCAACTAGAGAAAAACACACCTGAAATTCCTCAACTCAATGTATTTCAGAAAATCTTACAGCTAGATTTAGTGTTGGAAGGTGCTTTTGTACCTGGAACTTGCAACCTGTACTATAGAGGTGGATGGTGTGTTCCTTTGCAAGGTCTCACCTAGAGCTCTATTGCTAGATTTGACAGCGGAAGATGCTTTTGTACTCTGGAGCTTGCAACTTCTACTATAGAGGCCGAAGGTGTATTTGTCTGTAACGGCACAACTAGGGCAGGGGTTCACCTGGTGTTCTATTACTAGATTTAGCAGTGGAAGGTGCTCAAGTACTCTGTAGCTTGCTATTTCTACTATAGAGGCAGAAGGCGGTTCCTCTGCGAGGTTTCACCTGGAGTTCTATGACTGGATTTAGCAACGGAAGGTGCTTTTATACTCTGGAGCTTGCAACTTCTACTATAGAGGCAAAGGTCACAGTGTTCTTCTGCAGCCCTGGGCGAGGACTCACCTGTAGTTCTATAGGTAGATTTTGTGGCGGAAGGTGCATAAGTACTCTGGAGCTTGCAACTTCGACTATAGAGACGGAAGGTGTATTCCTCTGTGGTGCTACAACTAGGGCGAGGTTTTACCTAAAGTTGAATAACTAGATTTGGTGGCGAAAGGTGCTTTTGTACTCTGGAGCTTGCAACTTCTACTATAGAGACGGAAGGTGTATTCCTCTGTGGTGCTACAACTAGGGCGAGGTTTTACCTAAAGTTGAATAACTAGATTTGGTGGCGAAAGGTGCTTTTGTACTCTGGAGCTTGCAACTTCTACTATAGAGGCAATAGGTGTGTTCCTCTACAAGGTCTCACCTGGAGTTCTATAGCTGGATTTGGCAGCAGAAGGTGCTCAAGTACTCATTAGCTTACAAATTCTACTATAGAAGCGGAAGGTATTTCTTCTGTGGCACCGCAACTAGTGCGAGGTCTCACTTGGAGTTCTATTACTAGATTTGGCGGCAGAAGGTGCTTTTGTACTCTGGAGCTTGCAACTTCTACTATAGAGGCAAAGGGTGTGTTCCTCCGCAGCCCTGGGCGAGGACTCACCTGTAGTTCTATAGGTAGATTTTGTGGCGGAAGGTGCTCAAGTACTCTGGAGCTTGCAACTTCGACTATAGAGACGGAAGGTGTATTCCTCTGTGTCGGTACAAGTAGGGAGAGGTCTCACCTCAAGCTCTATAAGCAGATTTGGCGGTGGAAGGTGCTTAAGTATTCTGGAGCTTGCAACTTCTACTATAGAGGCAAAAGGTGTGTTCCTTTGCAAGGTCTCACCTGGAGTTCTATTGCTAGATTTGGCAGCAGAAGGTGCTTTTGTACTCTGGAACTTGCAACTTCTACTAGCTAAGCGAGTATGACGTTAGCGAGAAAAGAAAAAAAAATACAGCGCACGTGAAAACACTGCATCATAACCATAAACATGGTTTAGTTATTCTTCTTTTTGTAATAAATAAAGAGACAGTTTCGTTGAGATGGTCAAACTATACGTTAGGCTAAAAGAGTTCCATTGCCTTTTTAAAATTGCTTGAGCCAAATTTGAATCATAGGCTGACGACTTTTGACGTTGTGTTAAACTTATAAATAAGATAGACAAGACCATAGCTGTGGCGTAACAGATAATTTCATTCTTTTTTGGGCGTTTCCCCGATCCGTTCGCATTTCTCAATTTAGTTCCTTTCGGTTTTATATTAGCATCGTTTTAAAAAGCTTTTATTTACCTTTTTCTCATACATTTAATGCAAGAAGATCAAGTTTTTTGTTTTTAATAATAGGGATGTGATTAGTCATGTGCACAACATTTAGTGAATAATAAATTGTTGTGGCAGAATGGCTGTGGAATCTTTTGGTTTGGTTTCATCTTACTTTACAAGTTTACTTGCTCTTAAACTTCCCTTTACGACAAAATATCTACCACTGTAAACTTTCTTTTTCCCTCAAATGTTGCTGATTTTCTCTATAAGGTGGCTTTCCGGTTCTACTAGCATGTTATTAAAGCACGAGCTGATTATTGTCGTATGTTGTAGCGTTAAAACATTCATGAAAAGTTTATGTTATAACTTTTCCAGAGATACTTTCATTTGGAGAATCCGTCAGATATTGTACGATAACTTAACAAACTGTGATGATAGTGTCAAAATTTTGCCAAAATCGCCATGAATACCAAAACAGGGCTTTCTTCATTTATTGCGAGGAAGTAGAGAAATGCTTCCTTAATTTGGTCTTAATCAATACCCTTATGCTAATGGTACATTTCAATATACACGAAGTTAAAGGAGAAGACTAACTGCAGTCTTTTTTATTGATATACAGTTTTTATTACCTATCTAAAACTATCCTAACCTTGTACCGTGAGAAGTCTAGGTAGGAGAGTACTCTGCGGTTATCAGAGTCGGCGATTGAGAAAATTATCAGGCTCCGGCAATGAGACCAATTTCGGACTCGACGATTGTAACGAATAATTTAAGGACTCGAGCATTAATATAAAGCACGGTGATAAGTCGAAATCCATTTAAATAGTAAATACAGACATGGGAAATAATATCAGACACGGAAAATAATATCAGACACGGGAAATAGCAGACAATGAGAAGGTCTGAAAGAGGCCAACAATAACGGACCCTGTTAATTGATTTCCGACACGAAAATTAATTTTTCGATAGGGAAAATACCCTGACTGAATTTTGAACGGCATGTTACGCCATAAGCTCATCTCCCGCTGCAAAGTTAATTTCTTCCTTTTTCCACAACAGGCAGTGGGGTGTAGTTCGCCTTGGCGCTTGTGTCGGAAGCAGAGGCACTCGGAGGTTCCAAATCTCTTAATTGCAAACCAAAACTGGCTCCGACGTAGTCTTTTGTTCCCCGCAGTGCACCTCGATATGATAACTACCTGGTAAAGAAACTGGCAGACAGCAATGTTTGTTTCCTGCTTTGATCTGGATTCCATCACGATACCACACGTAGCAGGATGATACAACTCCCAATATCAGCTGTTTGTCATCGTAGCCCCAAACCTCAGATGGAGGGTGCACGATAAGGCTACTGGATTGCACATCTGCGTGAGGAAACACTACCTTGAAACCTTCTTCAGGCGTTGGGTCGTCACTCCGTTGAAGAAAGACTTTTTCACCTTTAGAAATGTCGACAACGTTGAAGCTACAGTCCAGTGGGTCAAAATCGGTTAACGGCATGTCTTGAATTATAGGATCTTGAAAAGAATAAACGTCGTAGCACTGTGCTCCTGGGAATGACATAACTCTCATTACTACATCAGAAAATGACGAGTTTGTAACACTTTCGTAGGTAATGTGCAGTTTATTACCACTGACTGACAGTTTGATCGGGGAAGGGGCTTTTTCCTACCTGGTTGTTTAACACTAGGAGGACGCTTTGGTGTTCTTCTTGTGCTGACGTCTTTTGTGTACTAGTCGCCATAAGATGTTCGAAATCTCTAGATATCTGTGTTTTCCTAGAACCCATAAACACGTCCTGCGTTTGAAATGTGTCTTCGTCATTTTAGGATAAATCGGCTGGCTTTCTGCAAGCTTCTTCTTGCGAAGCGCCATTCGCTGATCCTTCCGCTCCTTCTCCTACGAATGTCAACATCAAGTAAACGTTAGATCGGCTAGCACAAAGGCCCCGTGATTTTAGATACTCTTGAAAGGTACAGGTTTTTCCATCAGTATCAGTGAATGTTGTTATCCTTCCCTGTGCGTAGTTACCTAGATGCAAACACATATCGTCTAAGGCACCGAACTTAGACACTTGTTCTGGGAAGAAAACTTTTGTGGCATTTCCCTTAAGAAAATCCACCGAGATCTCATCGACATCACTGTACGTGAACTCACGGACGCCTCCACTGTCTTTCAGACTTACTTGTTTAAAGCAAGAGTTACCGGAGGAACGGTGGTAAATGTACATTTTTCGTTGCTTTACTGTCTTCTTATCCACTTGAGTTCAGGCGGCGTGGGTTTTTCGTTTCTCATCTTTAGCTCATTTTTTCTGATTTTGTCGACTAGATTCCTAGTTCTGGCCTCTTTTTGAACTGCTGAAAAAATTATTAACACGTCATATTACATGCAGTTTTTTTCTTAGTAACAGAAAATCTGACGAAAGAGGAAGAGTTTATGACTGCAATGAGCTTTCTTTTGGGTGAGCAGCTCCAGTTGTCTTTCTATTCTATCGGCATCAGAGATTTTATTTAGTCCAGTGGTCCAAAATGATTTTAAAGTAACTAGGCACACATGAAAATCATTCCCTTCCCACTATCATCCAAAATGATCATAAGGGAGAAATACGGGGTTATATATGCAAATGATGTGAAGTAGGGTTTCCAGGAACCTTATATTTTGTGGGGTGGAAATACTGCGTTTGTAAGCTTTTGGCAAGCTCCCCCAAAGACGCAACATACCTTCTAATATCTGGGCTCCGCTGATTTCAGCCTTTATCTTTCCTACATGACCTATTGCCAGTCCCATGCTTTCAAACTGAGTATCTGAAATCATTTTCAAGGTCTGCATACTGTAAACCTGTTAGAAAGTAATGCAGACGTCACTTTTAGCGATGGAGGCGAATAGACTGTTCACCACAACAATTCTCCTTCATCATGCAGTGGATTTTATTTTGATATGTGTTATTGTAATTTAATCTTTTTTATCATCTCTTCGCCATCCTCATTCAAATACACTGGCCACTAAAGACGTAACTTCACGGTAGCTGTTTGATACATTTGACGCCTATGAGTGTCTCCTCAACAACTGAAAATTACCTTGTGTTGCTAAAATATTGGTTTTAAATCCTGCATAGCAGAATTCGTTCGGAAAAGGGCCAGCTGTAAGACAAAATGGGGATGTTTACTAACGGCCGCTGTCACGCAACATTATAGCAAAGTCACACAACAGAGTGAAAGCCTTTGAGAGGTTACAGTTACTTTCGATGCGACGTTATTTTAAAATGCATGAAAACTGCTTACGGTTAAAAAAAGCCAAGATTTTCACATTCACGATATTTTTGAAAATGCTCTTCTTATAGTATTAATCATACAACAATTTTCTTTGCGAGTTAGATTGAACACTGTGTAACGTAACACGATTATCTCGTTATTCAGGGACAAGCTGATTGCTAGGGTAGGGCCCGGATCGCACTTGAACTTTTTTTGTTTGTTTTGAGTGAAAAATCTGTCAAAAGAAGCGTGAAATATGTGCGACCCCCAGTTTTACACGCCTTTTGCAATTCGTCAAAAATTTTCTACAATCTTCAAAGAACCCGATGTCCTGCCTCAGTGGCCTCCAAATTTTGGCAAAACAAACATTTATGTTTTCTTAAACATTCAGCTGTCATGATTTGAAGGCTATGTCTAGACAGAATTTCATCGGGAATCTGGTTATTCTGGCAGCAATTCAGAGAACATATGTCTGTGATTCGTACCCCGGGTCCGGTTGTACAGGCAGCAATTTAGAGAACATATGGCTTGAACTAGAAATTCTCCAACCGTTGCAAGTATTGAAGCCAGCGTCGACCAAAACGCAAATGATCAGCTGGAAAAAATTATCCGTTCCTCCGTAGCAATTCGCGCAAGACTTTTTTACATTTTCTTTTTAGAGTGAGATGGGTTTGTGATTGACATGAATCATTCCGTGAATTTTTGGTCAATGGATATTAGTTTGATGCGACCGCAGCTAAAAATTTGGCAAATATTTGAATTCGCTCTTAGTGTGACCCAGCGTTAATGCTTAATACAAATGATTAGAGGCTGCCGGTCTCAAGAAGATAAAAAACTTCGTAAATCATGGCACGAGCGAACGAGTGAGGTTTTTGACGCATCACAACTCGTGAATTAAAATCGTTCGTGCACATTTTCCATGATATTATGTTTTCATTTCATACATACTGATATTTTTTCACGTTTCAATTCAAAGGTTGGATGCGAACGACTGCGAAAATACATCGTTCATTCAATCAGAGACACTAACGATAGTACTTCACTCTGAAAATCACAGTATGTATGAAATAAAAAAATTTTAAGAGCAATTTTAGACTCTTGGGATCCTTGTGGCCTCTGTACACAACCTAGATTGACATGATTTGTAGCATGCTTTCGCTGCAGACGAAATATCAGTAACATGTGTCTGCCATTCAATTTTGGGTTGCCTTATCGTTCCAAAACAATGGTGATTTGACACATTCGTAACGAAAAGGGTTGTAGAGACTTGCCTAGCAAGCGTTACTGACTCAGCCGGAAGGAGTAGAGCAAGCTCAGTTGTCAAACAGGGGCTGGTAATCGAACTTAGCTCAGGCCTCGAGCTGTATCACTTTAACTAATAAAAATTTATAAGGGCGTGTATATACTTTTATGTAGCGGCGTGCGACTCGCGATTTTCAAAAAGTGTCGAGGCTGGTCTCGACTTAAGTACTATTTTATGGGCTCCCCTTTAAATAAAAGTCAGATATAAAACACACTTCTTTATTCCCTTAACATCTAATTGTTGTATAACCGTTGAAAGCCGTAAGCTGAGAGTTCAATATAATAAAGTATAAGGTAAGAACTAAGGTTAATCTTTGTATCGTGTTGAATGATTTAACCCGTGGTAATTTCTTACGAATAACACACTCCGAAACTCACTAAATGCTGATAAACATTTAGCCACAAACCTCAATTTAGCCAAAAGGAACAAAACCTAACTGATTGCCTGCAAGCCAAAAACCTTGCTTTCAACAAAACTACTGAGCAAAGGCTTATTTCTAAAATCATTTTCACGAAAGCGTCACGGTGCTGTCAGTTGAAGAGGTAAATATTCCAGAAACTAAAACATCGATATTTGATCGAAAACTAAAGAAAGAGGTTCTTCACTAACATAATAATCCTACGCTGGCCTCTTTTTGATCTTTGTTTTCTCAGTAATACGAAGGCACGAAATTAAAAACAACTAAGCTAAACTAAAACGATCACTTGCCGTGAGAGCAGAATATCAAACAAGCTACTTGACTGTTCTGTTGAGAGTTAAAAGACGGAACCAAGGCCTTTCGGTTAACCCTAAACTACAATAGACTGTCTAACGGTCATCACACTTTCCCCATAACGAAAAATCTCTTACTTCCCTATCAATAGATTTGATCGCACTCGAAATATTCCATTACAGTTTTCTTCAAGAAAAAAAATATCGCGTTTTCTACTTGATTGCTTTGGTCGCGAAGTCTTGCTTCAAAGCAAGTATTGCTAAATTTAAAAAAGCAACATGGAAAGAGATTTCTACCTGGTATTTTTGATATTAGGAGACATAGGATACGCTTATTTCCTTTTTTATGATTAATCGACCTTTAAAAAGCCAGCAATGTAAATATAACAAACAGAAAATGTAGAAAGTATAGTGCGCAATTGTCGAAGGCATACCAAGTCAGCCACCCACCAGAGGCACAGAAAATTATGTTGTTTATAAAATATCTTCTCACGAGCACAAATCATTGACTATGCAAACGTTCGTTAATCTTTCCCTCCCAACTGAGGGAGATGCCGAGGTTGCCGCTGATGGAGTTTACCTGAAAGGGTTCCCTTTGCTGAGGAAGCTGCTCCAGAGACGGTCATTTCCATTGATTTGCAAGCAGCTGACTCTAAATAATAACAGAGAGATCTGGTTTACACATTAGGATTACGAGGGGGGCCCACTAAATAGCAGTCCTGAGACGACTACCCGCTTTAAAACAATGCCAATAAATTAAATTTTGTGCGTTCACAATAATCTGATATCAGGCACTGATCATTATCCTCTGGAGGGTTGTGTCACAAAAAAACTCACTTGTTACCCACCCCCCAAGCCTATTTAACATTTTTAGGACCCACACCCCCCTCTCTTGCAGTAAATTGGCATTCAGTTTTCTATAGTCTCCCATATATACTCTGTTAGTGACGACTGATCCCCTCTCCATTCCCCCTGAGAACCATATGATCCCCCCATTCGTCCATCCCCTTCCCTTCCCCCCCGTCTCATGCGATGAGTGATGAGTTGTGGTGTGAACGGGTGGTGCGGGGAGGTCTTGGGTCTTTCGAGGATGTAAATTTTCGTGGCGCCTATATTTTCCACGTGTCGCAAATCGTTAAAATCTTTCTACGTCTATCTGAATGTTTGACGATGTCTGTATATGACGACTTCTCTGCTTATTTGTCTGTCTATTTCATCAATAAACATGGTGGTCTCCCGATGCAACATGCGAAAAAGAAGTGATAATATTTTGCCCTACCTTTCTTTGTACATATTTTGTGTTGCAGACATGACGCCATCTAAAACAGACAAAATAAGCACTTTTCACTAATGTATATGTTTCATTTGTTACTTCTTATCATAAATAAAACTTCTAAGTGTAGCATTTATAGAGGGTCTAAGCTGTTTCTTTCGAACTCGAGAGAGGTGAACTTCTATTTTGGGTTCTCCCTTCTCTTTTTCAGAGATGACTAAAATTTCCTTTTCCCTGATGAAGAGTGAACAAATCGTAATTGATTTTTCCCTTTTCCACCGGTGTTTGAAAACTTCATAAATGTAATGATTTGTTATTCTACGCAAGGAGTATCATACCTAGAGCCTCTTTCAGCATCTTTCCATTGTGCTTCAAAGAACAGAGCTTTTCTTTTCTAGCGTAGATTTGCTCTATGTGCAGATTTCCAGACTCTCCCTCAGAGCGCGATGCCATCGTTTCGATGAGAAGTTTTTTCTTCTTCTCATAAGCCTGTTTTTCCTTCACAAACTTTTTGATCTTTTCAGAGTCTCTGATCTCCTTCTCCTTAGCTTCCTCGTCTTGGATTAGCATGTCGATGTACTCGCCAAAGGCATCGTTGTAGGGGATCATGGCGTTATTTTTGAGAAAGACGCCGAAAAAGCATGCGCTTTCATAGATGTATTTCTCTTCTTTCTTCAATTCATCAATTTGCCCTTCCAAAAGACGAATGAACTCTTCCTTCCGGGACTTCATATCCTTTTTCTGAAAAATAATCTCCTGTGTTTCCTTAGATAAGAATTCATTCTGTACGAGAGTAGTTTTGTAGGTGATATGCATGTGGACTTTGTAGCTGTGAGAACATTTACTGCAAAGATCATTTTTCATTGCCTTACAATCACGAAGCTTCTCGTTGTTGATAGTCTCATAGGGCACTCCTGAAAGGTAGCAATGATCATGGCAGATCTGATTATAGACAGTACGCCTCACACGATCTTCACCAACATTCACATACGTCTTACATCCTTGACCAGCGCAGACAGTCATGGGGTATTCTAGCTTCACAAACGTAAGATCAAACCCTTTGAATTTTAACTGAGCTCGAAAACTCTTCATGTCGCTCTCGCAGGCTTTGCACTTCTCTTTTTCCGCTTTAATCTTTTTCAAGTTGATATTAATGAGTTCGACAGTTTCCGCCATGGGTTTGGCTAAGGCCAATGTGTATTCCCTAGCATTGTTCAGGCTCAAAGTCTCCTTCGTCTCATGTGGCTTCATCTCCATTACTTTATCAAAGAGCTTGGTCGTAGTTTCGCACGATAAGTCCCAACTCTCTTTGTAGATGCCAACATTTTTCGGTGTAAATTTAATTCCCTTCCTGTGGCAGGCAAGAAATCTGTAGATGACAAAGCATATTGACATGTATAAATATGAAATAATATATCAATAGATATATCTATTTAGTATTGAGTAAAACAGTAGATAGCGTTGAAGGCGCGCCCTGATTGGCTACTCAAACTTCGGCTATTCTTTGCTACTCACATCTGAGCGACACGCGCAGGATTTGTACCCTAAAATATTGTAATAATTACAGTAACAAATGAGTTTAAGTCATATCTTTGTACTAGCCTCTTCCATCCCGGTAATTAGTTGTTAAATATTTATTATCTTCAGGAGAATGAGAAATTTTAGAGAGTTCAAAGGAGAAAAGGTGAACAACTTTCGACGGTGTTAAAAGTGATGTACTATGGATACAGTGCAAAGTAGAAAAGGAGCTTTAAAAGTAACAAAATGGGCTTCTGACCTCCCAATTGTTTTCAACTGTAGTGTTATTGAATTTTTTACAATTTTTTACAAATAAATGTCGGTGTTTTAACGGAAATAATTTAAGGCAAAAGCAATGTTGATCATTACGTGACCAAGCGAAGCAAACGCAACCGTTAAAAAACCCCTTTCCTTTAAAGTTTCACATGTACTCAATTCTGTAACTTTCCTTATTTCAAAGGCCATTGAAGCGCGATGAATTAAATACCCTATTTTCAATGATATTTCTTACAATCGATATACTTCTTAACCAAGGTTTAAACACATATCGCAAAAATAAGCTTATAATACGCGGAGTCCTGAAATTTATTTCATTAAAAAAAAATGATAACACATTACTGCTCAACTTTAAGGTTTTTATTAAAATTATTTAACTTGAAATCCTCCGCAGTCTAAGCTTATTTAGGGTCTGGTGTAAGAAAAAGGAATAGGAAATACGTAGATAAATTTTAAAAAAATCTGTGTTCTCTGGAATAAAGTTTAGACCTTGGAAAGATAAATACCTGAAAGCTTCGTTGTCGAAACAAAAATAGTTGGAAGGCGAAACGTCGATTTTAAGGTAGTTCTTCTCCAGGAGTTCCTTGAGAACTGGCAGGGTGTCTCCTGGCTGATAAAACGTTCCCCTGGAGTTAGTAAAGGCAAATATAATGTTGGATTGCAGCGACTTGTGAAGGTGCCTAAGCAGCTCCAAAACACAAAATCTGAAGGCCACAGTCAACCTGGCATTGTTTGGCTTGAGAAGCACCACCACGGCATGGATCTTGTCGTAGATGCTGAGAAAGGCCATAATTTTTTCAAAGTGTTCTTTGTCCTTGTCAGTTCCTCGACAATCCCCAATGCCTGGAGTGTCGATAAGGTGGAACTTGGCAATGTCTGTCTCAAACATATACTCCCGAGGGGACTGGGTAGCAGACCGACCGGTGGCGAAAATTTCATTTGCATCAGAACCAAAGCAAACTTCCGTCCCTTCCCCTTCCTCATCCGTATAGGCAAACCTGGAATAAATAGACCATTTCACTATCAAAATAATGTATATTTTGATTTAATGTATTACGATGTATCTCTACAGGCCGTCTTAATGACAGAGGTTTGGATTTTCCTGACGGGAACTAGCTTGACTGTGTCTTAAATCCCTAAACTTTACCCGCAAGAATTGTGTAGTACAAACTCAAAAGCAATTCTATTTGTCTTACTTCTCAAATATTTCAATTCTTTGAATTTCAAAAACTCAACATATCGATAAAAAACGTAGACATGAATAGCTGTTAAACAGTTTTTGGTACCGTCGTCCCCCAAGGATTTTCAGGAACGAGCTCCTCGCTAGATATCCGAGAGTGGAGGAAACGCCATGTCGATAAATGTTCGTTGAATGAGCAACCTCCTCAATTTGAAAGAAATCTAATACAGGTCTCCGATAGACTACACAAATGAGATAACGTACTTCAGTGAATCACAATAGTCACAGTAGGAGCAAGAGAGAGAAAGCGGGTGGAAAACGCGAAGAAAAGTAGTGCTGCAACAATAGTTTGAAAGTTTTGATAAAAAATTGAGACAAGTTCTCTCCTAAATAGCCCTCGTCTCTACAATTATAAGTATGTCTCTGGAAAAGAATCGCGAAGAAAGGTTAAGAAGGTAAAGAAAATACACTGGTAAAACCATGCAGCACGCGTGCGATTAAGTGACCTAAACCGCCGAAGCAGGTAAGACTCAAGAGTGTTGCTTCTCCATCAGTGGATAGGATGTAAATCCATGGCATCACTTTACGGGTACCAATTCATTCTCCTGGGTGGAGAAAGATACTCTAAGAGTGACGTGCCTTTCCCAAGAATGCAATAACCCACCCAGGGCTCCACTCGGTCCTTTCGATCCGCAGTTCAGTTCGCAAACCGTTGGGCCTAACGTCTTTCAAAGCATGAAAATGCATCGTATTATTAAAAAATTCAACAAAATGTTTAAATTACCAAAAGGTTCATATTTTTACCTAAAAGGTATCAAAACAGTGAATTCACGGGCATCAATGGCGGCTTGGAGAGAGCTATGCTTCAAATAGTTGACAATACCATTGATCCAGGTGGACTTCCCGACTCCTGTCTCTCCCAGTATCAGAATGTTGACGTCCTCTTTTCTCTCCATTTTCGTGGAATTACCTTAAACAAACAATGAGAAATAAATCTGTTTAACAACCCTTAACGTGACTTGCTTATGTCTCCCTATCTCTATTTGCCCTCTTCATTCAAAGGTTACACGAACGCTTTTTCAATTTTTTATCATGTAATTGTGGTTCTGATCTGATGAACGGATGCATGAGAGCCATCGGACGTTCAACAAACGAGAACAGTCCGGATCGAGAAAAGCTTTGAAAACATGAATGTACTCTAATATTTTAAATATATATTTGGTAAATATAATGCTTTATTCACTTTTACCTCCTGTTTCCTTCCTCCTTTCAGGATCGAAAATTTTCACTTCCAAGTCATCAAACCTCTTATCCAACTCTTCTTTCATTTTATCCAATCTTTCCTTGATACTGACTTCATCCATCACCCACTGTTTAAGAAGCTCTTTGTAGTGTTCTGCGAAATCAGGGTCTATGCATTCCTTTTTCAGATCATCGATAGCACTTCGGTAACCAGCTCCTCCCAGTCTCACCAATGCATCTTGGATGTCCTGCCAGTATTGTTTAAATGTTACATCATCAACTGAGGCCTCGCTGGCATGACCATAAACTGTGTTTCTGTAGTACTTGATGCGCGCAATGTCCGCCTCAAGGGTTGTGTCTGTCACAGGAGGAAGTGTATCCCAGCCGGTAGCTGGACGAACAAGACCACAAATGTTCCTCAACAGTACCATCAGTAGAGTGATATCGAAATCTCTTGATGAGACTGATGATTTGATGGCAGGGTACAGTTTGCCCCATTGTGATAGACTCAGTACTTTTCTTCTGAGTTCTTGTAGCGCATCACGAATCTCTGGAGTTGACAGAACTTTTTCCAGGTTTTCTGGTGGACGCTTTTTGTCAAATGTCTCTCTCAGGATATGGGAACTGACATCCACCAGAAGTCTGCATAACCGGGCGTAATTAGCTGTCTTTTCTGTTGCATGAAACGATGGGGCCGCTGCTGAAGCCATTTTTCCTGAAATACAAAAATTCACCCCGCGTCAAAAAAACACAAAGAAGCGTATCACGATTCTGAAGAAATTACTGAAGAAAAGTTTGGAACCGATGGGAAGTTATCTGGCCTTGAATTTATTTCGCACTGGATGCTGTGTGTATAGAACTATCCATCCTTCCAACAACCAAAATGACGTTAGACGGTAGACGGTAGACGATGGATTGTGTGACGGAACATAATCAAGAAAATCGCGTGAATGTCACATAAATCCTCCTTTCACGAGGCGTTACGTTACGAAATTTAAAATTGACACGCAATCGCGTGAATGCCACATAAATCTTTCTCTAACGGCGTTACGTGGGTGACCGCCTAATACAAGTTCCACGAGACAGAAAAACAAATGGGAAAAAAAGGAGCATTTTTTGCCATATTGGGCCACCTTATTCACAAAAACTTGCTTAAACCACTTCTGACATGGACGAGAAGGAAGACAAAAAAATTGTCAAAGATCGTGGGAAAGTAAAGATATTGAAAGATCCTAGTCGAACACGGCTCTGTTTTTGTTTACACACGGGAAACTGCGGAGAAAATCGTACATATTGCACTCAACGCCTGGCAGGAGTCGTGCTGACCTGTCAATACTTTTTACTTGACCTATAGAAAGAATTCGCAAAGAGAGAAGCGTTACGCATCTTAAGAACAAATTTGGTGCGCTCCGCTCTTAATATGAACGTACAGAGATTCAAAATATGCTTGAAGAGGGGAACAGATGATACCCGAGGAAGATCAGGAGAATTATGAGTCTGTAGTTGTATGCTCCTGAAGAAAAGGGTCACTTAAAAACAAAGAAAATAGCACACAGAAGAAAATATTGAGTTTTGTAACGCAATATTATCTGGCTTTACCCAACCCCAAGAACAGGGCTAGGGCATCCCTCAGGGTCAACCAAAATGGACGAAAATAAATTTGATGCATGTTTAATACAATTTTCCCCACCCTGTAAATTGACCAGTGTGCAAACACTGTTCACCATATTGGACGACCGCTTTTAAAATACAGGTTCGATTAACGTAACGCATTGCTCCGTGAAAGAAAGATTTATGTGACATTCACGTGATGGCGTGACAACTTTGAATTTCGGGATCAGGGCCCGTCATATACCGTCTACCGCCTTCCGTCTGTCGTCTACCGTCTATCATCTGTGTTTGTGGGCATGCATGATGAGGCAAAAGAGTTCACACGAGGAAAAGTTCGTATTTTTTGATTAAGAAATTGTTTCTTTTTTTCATCAAGCGACGCACTCCCCTGAAAATGTTCAGCAGTATAGGCGAAATCTCCTGGAACATTTCCATTAGAAAAGACTAAATTCCCTTGCGACAATGACGGATTCCTCTTAAGTTGAATGAGTAAAGACAGTACGTTTCTAAGGAAACTGTGGTGCTGCGTCAGTGGGAGGGTATAACAGGGTAATTTAGGCCTGTTCCAAACGTCGTGCTACTGCCGTGCCGAACTCAAATGAAATAGTAATTTCGATTTAAGCACGGCAGTAGCACGCCGTTTGAAACCATTAAGCGCGGCACGGCTGAATTAGGTTCGGCACGACTACTTAGCGCGGCAGGCCTTGCCGTGCCGCACGGCAGTAGCACGACTTGGTTTCAAACGTCGTGCTACTGTCGCGCCGAACTCAATTCATAAATTAATTTAACGGATTTTGCATTATTTGCATACTATTACGCATGCGCACTAATAAAAAAAAGACAAATCTACCCGTTTTGCCCGAAAGCTTGAGAGAAGAGGAATCCGACGGTGACAATAAAGTGCTTAGGGTTAGGGTTAGGGTTTGGAAACGCCGGCACGATCGTAATACAGTAACTTGCTGGCTCTCGTCAAGGGAAACCAGAAGAAGAATAAATGAAAAAACTTTCAAAAGTAATCCTCTCCTTGCAATAACAGTATTCAATATGGACTGTTGCATTCGCCTGCGTTGCCTTCTGGCATTTAAAATTTTCTTAAACAAATTTGGATGGGGCGATACCGCTGGATGGATGGTTTGTTTTGTCTTTTGAATTTGGCGCGACTGCATTAGGTTCGACGTTTGAAACCGCTGCCGTGCTATCGTCGTGCCACTGCCGAGCCAAATTCATTTGAGTTCGGCACGGCAGTAGCACGACGTTTGGAACAGGCCTTAGTGTTAACAACTAAGTTGAAAACATAAATTGGCCACCGTAAAAAGTTTAAAGGCTGACGTTTCGAGCGTTAGCCCTTCGACAGACCAATTGGAGGAATTGTAGGTTGTGTGTGGGTTTATATGCAGAAAATGGAGCTACGTTATTGGTGGGAACATGGTGACGAGAAAACAAGAATAAATTAGTTAGATGAAAAGCGCTCGTTGACACCGTGAGTATTAAAGGTGCTGATTTGGAAGATAAGTTTTTATTCTAGAGTTTTTCGGATTTCCGAACTGCCAACATGTGGGGAAAGACCGCAAACTGCTACATGCTGTTTAGAATGATTAGGGAGATTAAAGTGTCTAGCGACTGGTTTGGATGCGCTATGCGTCCTTGTCATCTTCCTGTTTCACCGATGTATAACTTTTTGCAAGTGTAAGTTATGCAGTTAATAATATACATGAAAAAGTTACTCAGTTTCGGTTGGTTAAGATAAATGCAGGTAATTCGTTGCAAAAGAGGGTTAATTTTGTGCAAAGAAAGTCACAAACCAGACATTCTGATTGATCAATAATCAAAGGAACTCACAGGTAGCCAATCAAATGCGAGTCTTGGATGTCGCAACATTTGGCTACGCAGAAAATTTGCGACCGAATTAATGATCGGCGTCTTATGAAAGTCTTCTTCCGCCACCGCAACATCAGTACATCAGCTGAAAAACAGCTCTAACAACGAAAACGCTGTAAAAAGCACTGCTTCTTGGTTGTCGGTTTGGAAAAAGTGGTGTTTAGAGAAGGGAATTGCCAAGGAAATCAAAATTACTAGCCGATCCAGCTTAACACTTTGCTCGAGCGATTCTACGCCGAAATTGAAAACAAACATGGTTAAACCTCGCAAACGACGATTCCATTCCATCGAAAGTGATTCGGACACAGACTTAACAATTCCTTGAACTGTTTAGCCGGACTTTGAACTTTTTTGCGCCTCAAAGATGTAAAAATATCATTATATATTATTGTTTTGATCGTACGCGGTTGTTTTGACCGAATGCACAAGTTTGAATAAATTAGTTTTGCACTTGCTGCGAGGGCTTTGCTTCTGCATAACAGTGATAAACTATCTCGTATGTTTCCATGTATATTATTAATACGTAATCATATGATTTTTCTCGTGCAGTTTGGAATAAATAAGCACTTGTTCATTTTTTCAAAGACCACAAATTGCACTTTCTACGCCGAAATTAAAAACAAATATGGTTAAACCTCGCAAACGACGATTCCATTCCATCGAAAATGATTCGGACACAGACTGAACAATTCCTTGAACTGTTTAGCCGGACTTTGAACGCGGTTGTTTTGACCGAATGGACAAGTTTGATTAAATTATTTTTGCTCTTGATGCGCGCGCTTTGCTTCTGCATAGTAATGTTAAACTATCTAAAACTCTTTCGTCAGTTGTGTTGTATTTCAACGTATTTGGATTGCGATCTCCTGGAGCATTATAGCGCAAACGCGCAAAATACTTACAGACGCATATACAAGTCGTATTAATCGCGGCTAATCCACACTGAAAGATGTTATTGAGCAGTAATTTTGGAACGGATTGAGTCGCGAACGCTTGAAAGCCATGAAAGCCTTGAATGCTTTGTATGCCAAGTATGCCAATGTCTTAGTTGAAAAACGTTCACTTGTTGTAAAAAGCAAAATCTGAAATCTGAAACCAAACTGCATATACTCTATGCAATCTATTGAACAACGCTACTACCGTGAGACTGAAGAACATAACTATAATGGATGCAAACTGCTTGTGAAGAAAGACGACATGTTGGATTCACTTGATGGCAAGGAACGTAGCTACGATAACAGTACGAATGGTATTAATTTCACGATCAGAAAGGTGAATCTTATGTTTGTTTTCATTGTAGTTGTATGGATATTCTTTTTTAATAAATACGTGATCCAAAACCCTGTGTTTTTTTGTGTATAATGTTATTATGTTAAATATTGTTTACGCAATTGTTTTGTCACAGGCAGCCCAAGGTCACGTCTCGAGAAAAAGCCAACGATTAATTCATGAACACGTCACGCGTTGTGTGACTCGGTGTTAAGTTACGAGAGGAACTGCACGTTATAAGGAATAGTACAGGGAACGAAATATGGTCGATTTACAACGATAAATATTTCGAAATATGAACATTTTTCTCGTAAAATCAATAAAACTTACTCATACCCTGTGTATCCGTTGTATTTTCTGGCGATTTCTGCCGTTTTAAGCTTGCTTTACCATCACTATTATTCACGTCATCTACTTTTATTACGTTGGTAAAATCTGTACAGACATCACAACAACCAACTCGCGCGCAAAGTAAGAAGACTATATTGAAGGCTTGAAGTAATATTGCGATCGATTTTCACCAAGAAATAGGTCAGGAATATCTCACAATAGTGCAAATAATCGCTTTTCTGCGGATCGCAGAAAAGCGATGCGTGACGCTCGGTAAGCTGCAAGATGACATGTTATTATATACTAGACGTAAAAACTCGTCAGAGTCTTAGTCTGCATTTTGTACCCACTCTGCAGTCTGCAGTCTATATTTTGTATCCGGTCTGCATTTTGTACTAACAAGTATCCGTGGCACAAATACAGTTTATTTTTGGTTACATTTATTCGCACAACACACATTATCTACCACAAAATACCTGTGAGTGAGGTAATTCGACATTTTCGTTATTTCCCACATTAATAATCTTCTTTCCTTTTGTAAGAATATAGACATCACTCACAATGTTTCAAGTAATCCACCCACCCTACAAAAAAAGTAACTCTTGCATGCATAGCATGCCTATGTTTTGAAATAGGTGTATGCCCTTGGCCAGACTCGAGCGCACTATTTCAGTATACTAGTCCGATACCCGTAGTATCACTACACTTGATTCCAAGGATCCAGTACCATCCAGGTATCCCAGTTACCCTGCTCACAGGGTCTAGTTTATTCTTGTTTTTTCATCACTATATTCCCACCAATAGCGTAGCTCCATTTTCTGCTTAGAAACCCACACACAACACACAATTCCTCTTAAGCTGGCCGCCACAACACTCCCTATTTTCTGTAGATTCCACGAATTCCAAACCCCACTTACACTACTTGAAATTATTTTCGGAATCTATGATGAGTTTAATTCTGTACAACTTCCGAAAATTCAAGTTATTTTGGCTAAATTGTTAGTCCGCTTCATATGTTGTAAGATAGAGCAAAAAGCACCCCGTCAAATTAGCCTCCTGTACCACGTCGATCAGTCATGGAAAACGTTCTGAAGATACGCAGTCGCCATGGTTTTAAAACTCTTCACCGAAATAGAAGTCAAATTATCGATAACGCCTACAGTGAGAGCCAAACGAGGAAATGGTGAGGGATCAGAAAGTAATCGACCTCCCTTCGGGTATAGAACGTGACTAGAGGTGAAACTCTTACCTCATAGGCTGAAGCGTGATCACCTGCTGAAAAGGAACCCACTAATCCTTGTGGCAGGGCCAAAATTGATCCTGTTATAAGTTGTCAATCACTTTCAGCTGTCTAAAGAGCGAATGGCAGTGAATATCGCCAGGAAGAACTAAGATACAAGCTGGATTTTTTAAAACCCTCTTCTTTCGATGTCTATCATTTAGTCCAAATGAGTCAACTCCGCCAAAGACCGCAATTGAGGCATTCAAATATGAAAAAGGGTGTTTCGAAAATAGCATCCAGTGTATTTTGCTTTCAAAATCCTAACCTTTTGCCCTCCTTTTTCTATTCCTATTATTTATACCAAATGACTCTGCAGATAACAAGACACAATACCTATAATCTAAAGGCAAGATCTCAGTAGTTTCCAATTACAACAAGTTACGATTTGAGAATGATCCATTACTTCCTGGTTCCATTTCCCACTAAAACAAGTTATCAGGCGGGTATCGTGTTTTTTATTTGGTCATTTTATTTCTTTCCATCGCATATTAATAACATATATGGCGCAGAACTTTCCAAGAGCAATCTGTGGGTAGACAGAACTCAATTCTTATTAGAATAATTGGTTGTTTGTTTAGCAGAGCGTAATCTCACTCTTTTGTGTTCATTGCGTTGTTATGGCCTTTATTTGGCACCTTGAGAAGGTTGTTTCTTGACGTAGTCTTCCTGGGGCTTATTCTTAGATCTACTGAACTTTCTGATAATCTTCAGCTTTAATCCACGAGCATCGTGGGTTCCAGTGATTTCTCACCATTTTCCAAATCGTTTGTCTCTAACGTTTGTTATCAAACTATGCGGAAGCATTTCAAGGCCATAGATAAACTTCACGGACAAAAATGTGGAATACGAAGGAAAAGTTGTTAAGATCTGATCTGATTTGCCTCGTTTAGGTTCATTGTTATTCTTTTTTAACATCTTTCGGGGCATAGAACTCCATGCGTTTGGTTGTTCTTTTCATTTAAGCAAGTCACCCATAACCCTTCGATAACAATATACTCCTGAGGCTCGCGTCTAGAAATTAATCTGTGGGCGGATCAATGTAAGTATCTGAACAGCTCTGCTCCTACGCCTCACTTAACCCAATATTAACCCTTTACACCCTAACATCAGTATCCAAACTCCCCATACTCTTCTCTCTACGTTTCCTTTAGTACTGACAAGGAGGATTTCGTTAGCAATCAAAGCTTCTTGGGTTGGCGATCATGTCCTTTATTCTCATGATCTAAATGACCAATTCAGCATCATTACTGTTAGGAGAAATGAAATGCTGGTCATTGTTAGGGTTTAAAGGGTTAACCCTAACTTGCTATCAGTTGACTGTTGATGGGTCAGGGGAGGGGTAGGTGCGCCGTTGCTAAGATACTGACATTGGTCCGTGTGGGCTAAGAGACGCTCGTCATCGGTCTATGCTGATGAAGACCACAGAGAATTTCAGAAACGCTGAGGCAGGGTGGGTGTTTAATTCGTTGAATTTGCATGGGGAACACAAAGAGCTCAATGGGAAAGAGGAAAGGAGTCTCATGAAAATTTCGTCTTCTTCATTCACCTGAACTTCACAAGGGAGTAAAGTTTGAACCAGTGGAGGGGAGGAGGGTGGGTTGCATTTTGACTCCCATAACATAGGAGATAAAAATCATTGATACAACCACAGAAATGGTGCATACTTTTACTATGTAGCATTGATTATTGTAAATACAATCAAATACAATCTGCAATAACTTTCATTGGAAATCAATTGAACATCATAGCATGTGTTTCATGAAGTTTTGTCCAGTTACCCTCTATCGCTAACTTCAGCATCAATTTGTTCATTCTTTTCTTCGCAATTTACAACTCACAAAAATAATTTAGGCATTTCCAGCTATGATATATCAGATCTCCATAAAATATTTTCATCCATAAGGCTAACAGATTTGTACATGATCAATAAACCTACAAATTAAATATGAGATCATAATCTAAGTACATCAAACTGTTCACTTAAAACTTTTGAAAGAACTAAAAGGATGCTAAGCAAGAGCTTGTCATAATTATTTTTCAGGCCAAATGAAAACACTGTTTCTTTGCAAATTGAACCATTTCTTTCAAGAGTGACCAACAAGGAAATCCTCTTTACAATACCAAAACATTTTTAAGCAAAAAGATGATGAGCAGTAAAATATAAACAAATGGATATTGCTTGATTTAACCCTTTACACCCTAACATCAGTATTTATATTCTCCATACTGTTCTCTGTACATTTACTAAGGTGCCGAAAAGGAGAATTTGTCTGACAATCAAGAGTTGGTGATCATTTCCTGTATTCTCATGATGTCAATGTGTGATTCAGTGGTGATATTGTAAGGAGAAATTAGATTCTGGTCACTCTTAGGGGTTAAAGGGTTAACATCAAACTCTCAGAGCTAAGTCTTACAAAATATATGCTATAAAACAGAGAGCGCAGAGAATTGATGGCTCGATTTTCAGAACAGAAATGTTAACTCAGTTATTAGGCTCAGTAGCCTCCATATGTTTGCATAATTTTTCTGTTTACCAAATAAATCAGTCTGATTATTTCAGCCCTGAAAAACCTTCCCTCAATTAAATATTTTTGAGCTATCCACACAACTATTCTGTTATTACAAAACAGTATTTCAGTCATGTGACCAATAATTTGAGATCTTCCATCAAAATAAGCAATAATTAGCAAGCAATGGAAATGCTAGAATGCATTTGATTGAGGGCTTAATTTGTCATTCTTTCACTGTGTATTCATCTTTCCAGGCTAACAGCTTCCATCTCTGTGATTCTTCCTTCCCATAATTTACAAGCGACTCACATCAGGAGAATCTTCTGTTAATATCTGACCGTTTGGTTCTACCTCATTACCAGGACTAAAATGACAAGAATGTAAAAATTCAGTAAAACACAAGTCAAAACAGAAAAACCAAAATATGACCAACCCATAATAGAGCCTGTCAAGCATCAGGGTTAGAATTCTGCTGGATTTCACCCACCTATAATTATATTGATTAATACTTAATGGCATGTAAATTTTAAAGTTCTATCACAGAACTGAACATTTCTGGCAGTGTTACTTAATTTTTTCCAGCACCATGTTACAATGAGTCACAAGTAGACTGCATTTGTTCCTGGCCCTAGTCTGCATTTCGGAGGTTCTTCTCAGCATTCTCTTATTTTCTACCCTGTACAAAACCAGCCCCACAACACACAACATCTCGTAAGAGAGCTTTTCTTCCACCTTCCTCTCAAGAAATATTTTCATAAGATCTGGAATACATGTACATATATCAATGACCAAACTACAAACCAGGCAACATCATTCACAGGGGAGAGAGGAGATGAAGATACTAATAATTGTTTAAACCAGAGACCAAGTGCCCTATGGATGCCAATTATCTAAGCAATTTTGTTCAAGATAAAAAGAAACTGGATCTCTTACCTCTTGGTTTTCTTCTCTTCACTTTTTCCTAACGCAGAAAATGATGGAGGAGGAGGAGGTATCAATGGTGATCTGACCTCCACAGCAGCACTACTGTTGTCAATTGGACCTGGAGAATAATGTAAAGATGCTTCGATCAGCCTTGATTGGTATTTTGATAATTTAGTTTTCCAGAAACAAACAACAAGCTTACAGAACAAAAGATTTCAAATCAAGATACATGTACATGCACATAGGAGTACTCTGAATGGACAATGGTGAGAGCACTTGTCTCCCACCTTGAAACCTGAATGTCAGCTGTCACATTTTGGTCAACCCTTTTGCTCCCAAGATCTGATTATTTATTCTCCCCTCAGGCTGCTACACATTTCCTATTTTTTAATTAAAACCAGTGCCGTCAAGAAAATGTCAGAGTAAAGAAATTTGACATATCACTTGAGTTTGGAGCATTTAAAATATTTGAAAACTTTAAATAATCAACAAGCATGCACGAACATTGGAGTCTTCAGATGACGAGCTACTGGTCATAAACTAATGACTAAAACAAGACATTTAAGGAATGCAAAGTTCAGTGGCAAATGCGATGTTTAAAACCAACCCCTCCATTGAACTTACCTGTCTCTGGAGAAACATTTCTGTTTAAAAGTTCAATGATGGCTGTAGAACACTCAATGTCTTTGTGTATCTGATGTGTGAGCACAAATAATAAATAAGAATAAATCATGATTGAGAAAAATCATGAAACCGTTTCAGTGTTTAAAAAAATCACATATTAAATGTATGAAACAAATGAACAACAAAATGAAAAGACAGACCACTGAGAAGCAGGTAGCTATACAAAGATCATAAACAGATGTCACCAGTTGTCCAAACCCAAGGTTTTCAAGCTGCCATTTGGCTGACTACTTTTGCTGAAAATCTAGTGACCAAAATGGTTGCAACTTGGAGTGCTGATTACAAGCAAAAATATAAAATACACACTGAACACACAAGTACCTTTAGTCTTGCTATATTGGAAACCAAAGCAGCTCCGACAGTTTGGAGTTCCAATTAAATCTTTGCTGAGACAATTGATTGTCACAGCAGGAAGAGGTGTGGGGTGACTGTCACCAAGCAAGGAGGAGTGACCAGACTGATGGCTGATAGCACTGCAAAACTGCAGTGATAATTTCTGACTTGGACTGTTATCTAATTCAAGACCTGAACAATATCATTTACGATAGCATGTTTCATTTACCAATTTGATGCACTTAACTTGAGTTACACAAGATGGAATGCTTGGGAAACTCCCACAGGCCTTTTTTACAGTCTCCTGTAGCCCTTTTTATGATAAAACAAGTACATAACATTTATGGAATCAGCACAGAGTAATACTCAAAAATTCTCCTCCCCCTTCATATCATAAAAATTAACCCAGGGACACAGGTTTGCCTGATACTGTAACAATTCACATACAATTTACAATGCATGTTTGCATGCTGGTTCATATGCTAATTAGGAAAGAGAGAATAATTGTAAAAACATAGAAGTACAAGAAAATGGGATGGAATATGTTCTTAGTTAACAAAATATTGATTTTATGTCAATCATCTCACCTTCGGAGGATGAAAACAATTTTTCTCACTGTGATAGCAACTGCAGACTGAAGTTTTAAAGTGAGATGTTGTGCCTCATTGCCTTCCTCTGTCAGGTATTTATCAATAAGCTGATCTGAAGGAAAAAAATCAATATTTAATTAATAGGAATGTAGATCATTCATTGATATCTGAATAAGTATTTTATTGCCCACTAAAGTGATATATCTTTTTAAATAAAAGAGGGGTTTGATAGTTGTATAATACTAAGAATCTGGTTACTGTTGTAGCGTGGCTCAATTCAGTAGGAAATCTATTACAGAATATAACTTACCTAATTTTTTAATTTGGCTCTCATTCACTTTTGAAAGGTTTTCACCTTCAAAGCATCTTTTAAGTTCATCAAGGTAAATAAGATCTTCATCTGACAATTCTATTTTTTTAAAACAGTCTCTCAGATCAGATATCAATGATGGGCCCTTTTGAGACAAACAAATATATACATATCATAGGAAATAACCAGAAAAATACTTTCATTTAAAACTTGGTGCAGAGCATATGAACATATATTTTTTATCACCATATCATCTTAAGACTTACTTTAACATTCTTGTAAACATTAGGGTTCTTTGATATGGCGCCTTGACTAGAGTTTGAGCCAAAAAAAAAAAGTTAATTAAATACAGTACAAATGTAAGTCCCTATTAAGTTACTTGGTGAATGATAATCTTTACTCTATTTGTTAATCTCAAATAGTTATTAGTATGACAGTATTAGCCCCGAGAATCAAGCTTACTTAGTCTGTAAAAAGTAATTTTAATTATCAATTATTAAAAATAAGGTCATCATAGATTCATGGAGCTTTTCAAAATACTGGACCAGGTGTACATATTGGTTATATATGGGTGTTTTCAGCTGATCTATGGTTTGAAATACTACTTAAAATTCCTTTAGGGTTACATATTGTATATAGAGGAATTATAAAAGTTTTAAGAAATTTAGGACAAACTCAATCCACTTTCAACATGTGCTATGTACATTGTGTATATGTACTACCTTAGCAACTGTACATGCCAGTGAGCACAAACTTATATTTTAACTTGCATAGCTGCTGGTTTGGAAGCTGTTCAATAGAATGATGCAACATGTCCAAAGAGAGCCAGCCATCAGGTGGTTTCCTTTGCCTAGTCTTTCCAGGGGGACTATTTCTTGGCTCAGATATTGATTTTGGTGCTCTTGATGTTGATGGTGATGGTGCAGGGGATATTGATGTGCCTTTGAAGGCCTCACAGATACAGAGTCTGTGATGGGTCTTATCATCTGACCAAATGAACTGGAAAAATTCAGTTCAACAGTTATTTATTGATTATCACCAAACAATATATTAATTTTTAAGAATGAATCTACCATGACTAAACTGGGGCCATTGCAAAAATGAAAACAAAAATTACCCTGCCTCATGGTCAAAATTCTTAGTATCCTCAGACCCCCTAGCTGTATATTACACCCCCATTAGGCTCCCAATCGATGCTCCCTCCCACAAACAGTAGAAACCACACTTGTCTACTAAATTTTTTTCACTTCTTCATATACACCCTTCTTCCTGCCCTTTTTCCCTGTATTCAAAGTCTGAGATCTTCACCACAATTGGTCACTAATTCAAACATAAGGCTGTCCTGTGTCAACAAATCAACTTGCATACTGTATAAAAATGATTCTATCATTACTGTTAGTAATAGTTGTTTACTGTATGCATTTACCTGTTCAGAACTCCTGAGGGAAGGTCTCGAATATGTTGTGGTATTTTATTCCCAGTCAGGAACATGGCAACTTCTGATGAGAAGGTGTTGCAGTTGTGTTCAAACAAGTTGTAGTTTTCTCCTCTAATAATTAGTTCAAAACAAAAAGGTAGCAGCAAGTGTTAAGTGATTTCAATAGCTTTATTTAGAGAGCTTCATTTACTTGCAAGTTTTCTGAAAAATAGAAAATAAAGGGAATCAACATGTACCTAAAATCTTGTTGTCCAACTGCACTTAAAAAAATCAATGAAAAGATCTTGAGTTATTTCTGTATCACCAAGATCAAAAACCTCATCTGGACTACCAAGAATTGTTCCACCCTGACAAAAAAAGGAATTGTTTCAATCAGTAGTAAGTAACCTACGGCACAAGTAAAAGAGAAAAGAAAGCTGTAGCAGTCACGCTACCAGAAATTAATAATGTCTTGTTCAGATTTCAGAGTTGAACCAGGTGTCCAGATTTACTTTAAGACCTTACAGTATTTCTTGAATTACTGTAGTTAGAGAAAAGATCAAGATATTAAATACCGGGAGACAACTGTTTATTCCATCACTGCCATAAAAAACTCCTTACCATAACACACCAGGCCTGTATGCCTAAAAGAAGTATTTAAAAATAGTCAAAAGAAGGCACAAGAAAATAACACAGCATTTTAAGTCCACACTTGGTCCTGAATCAAACAAAAAGTAAATTTAATTTACAAACAAAAAAAATACATACATGTGATCACTTGCAATTAATTGTAGATTGACATTAAGTAGTCGAGAAACAAGATTACAAGTCATATCTATTTTGAGGCTCTCAGGTCATACAGAAGCAATCTCTCCAATTATCAACATATAGGCCTGATTTGCAACAAATTCTCAGGAACAGCCAAAATTAATTTACTGCTAAATGTTAAGAGAATTAGTGTTTAAATCTTAGTGATAATTTTGGACTAAATTGGAGAAGGTAATTATACAGTGTATGCAATGCTAAAAATGATTGATTCTGATCAAACACCTCAAAACAAGCAATGCTCCTTGTTCATAGCTTTTTAAAACCTTGTACGAATAGCTAAGCCATGTGCCAAGGTAAACTAAAAATTATAAATCATAATCACACTACTGATGCGAATAATAGAGAACACAATACAGTTTAAGTCTTAACTATAATTATTCTAGGCCAGGATTAAAAAAAATCAGCCAATATTCTATTCAGAAAAAAAAAAGGGCACGTACCAAATTCCATGGATTTGCTTGCCTATGGATACAAGTGCAGAAAAAATAACTAATAGTTGGTGTGATGTCTGTACAGATTTTACCAACTTAATAAATGTTGATGTAGATGATGACGTATTAAATACGCTGGCTTGGTATCACATCTATATACTGAATGAACAGACCTAACAGCTGTGGTGTAATCAAAAAGAAGAAGACGGATAAATGTTTCATTTGCCCTGAATTTTACTTAGTAAACTTAGTAAACTTAGTAACACTGAGCTTTTATTCCAAAGGATTAAGCGCTTAACAGTCGCATCTTTGCTGAGTCACAGAGTACATGCGAAACACAAAATTGAAAAATATTTCAGCTGGGATATTTCTCGCAAATTAAAATAAGCAGTCTTCTATCATTATCACGCTTACCAAGTATAAAAGGTGACAGCTGTCTTTCCATACCTCTAGAGAGGTCGTAAACGTACAATTTAACTGGAAATTTTGCCATCGATCTACAGGCTCTGCAGTGAACCTCTCAAAAGCATTCAAAACATTGAAACTTGTTGCGACACACTGGATAACAAAATCAGAAAGCTAATAAAAGGAGGACTGGAAGCTACTATATTGTGTAACACAGTCACGACGTATAACGTTTCTGCAAAGGATACGGGAAATAGAGTGCGTTGTGTGACGAGACCAAACAACGGCTGCGAAGGAGACAACAGTAAGCGTGGCACCGAACGAGTTAATCACTCATTATCCAATACATAGAAATAAGAATACCCAAACTTAACAGGTAGAAGTTGTCATCTTGATGTAGCACCAAATTCTCCTAACTTATTTACCAGAAATAATGTAAAAGCTGGAGGAGAGAATGAACAATCAGATCTTGGGAGTTAAAGGGTTAACAGCATCGCAACTCCTGTGTAAACATAGGCATGCGTACATGCAAGAGCTACTTTTTCGGCTGGGTGGTGAGATGGGACAGTTTGTGTACTTAATGTTATCATTTTTGTCATCGAAGAGAGCATAGGTTTCAAAAATTAAAATATCGAAGAAAGAAAGAAAAAAACCTAATTTATCCGAACTTACACAGATATTATGTGATCTACTGTCTCTATTGTGAATAAAAACACGTCACAGGAAAACGAAATTTCTTAAGCATGGCCAACAAGAAGCCTGACTTAGGTTAAGTTGACCATGATAGCCGTAGACTTACCTCGGGTTAATACTGAAGTGAAACACACCGAGCGAAATAAGAAAGGCAAACACCTGGGGATATTGTTTGGAGGTTGTTAATTAGACCCTTATCTCGCACCCACAAATTTGCATTAAATTTAAAGAATTCGCAGGCTTTGCTTCGCAGCGCAAAACAAAGGTACGACGAACAAGTTTTCATTGTCCAAGATATCGAAATTACCGATGTGTGATGAAAGTCTATCGCTACTACTTTCAAGGCCAAACAAAGTATACATGAGCTATGTTAAAGCTAACTCGGTAATAAACGGCTGTGAATATATGAAAGTCATATATTTGAACTGAGGATAAAGACGTGAATATGAAGGCAATATTCGCAGTAATGAACACTACTTAAGCAGTAGTGAAAAGAAGGCCTGGAAAAAAAAAATTCAAGCTTGTACATAATGACGGGATTTGAACCCATGACTTCTGCGATACCGGTTCAGTGCTCTACCAACTGAGCTAACAAGCTAACTGGGAGCTGGCAACTGTGTTGGTTCCAATAATAAGTAATTTGTAAACTGTCTTTCCATAGCGGCTGCTGTCAAAACAGGACCTGGACAACGAAGAATGCTTTCCGTTTGTAGGGACAGGACCGAGTTAGTGGTGATGAAAACATATGCATGATGGTCTTAAATCAAACCTCAAATAAAGCAATTTGACTTTTGAAATGTTTATGACGGGTGAAATTGCTGATATTCCTAAGCATAGGTAACTTTGAAAAAATAGTCTTGTTCAGTCAAAACCTTTTTTTCTAGAAAAAGGGAAACATAAGCATACCAAATGTAAAATGTCGTACATAGTGAAGCAAGAGCTTGTCTCGATAAATTGGCTCCACATTGGCTCGAGTTGCTGCAAGGTTCGAGTCATCATAAGTCAGCTTAACTTGACATCATGTTGCACGGTAACCTGATTTTGGCATCACTTAATACATCTAACCTAAAGCGGGTTTCTTGAAATGCTTTATCTTTAATGCGAATCAAATCTCTTTTTAGCGCCAACGCCAGATAAAAGACCTGTATTACTGATACCTATAAAAAAGGTTGGGATTATTATTTTCCTTTGCTGATATACAAGATAAACAGAAAAAAGTTAATTTACTCTCCCATTATCTGAAAAATTCCCTTTGATAGGTTGTATGTAATAATCTAACTAGTCTGTTAATCCTCTGTTTCAACTAACGTCATGTGTACTGGACGTACAGTTTGAAAATACAGTGGTTGGCTATATAAAGTTTGTCATTACGGACCGAATTAAGTGGCCTACTGAACCTGCTACGAGTATCCTCTATAGCTCAGTAGTAGAACATCCGAAGTACTGATCAGAAGGTCGTGAGGTGGACTCCGATTGGGAGCACTCGGCATTCTTTTCTCCGAATGTGCCTGTGTCGTTTATTGATTAACATCACTGTTGACTATGGGTCTCTTCCCGACCAATTTTTGAAGAAGTTCCAAGAACCATTGATTGCCATGGGTACTGACTTGAAATTGGCTTTTCCTAAAAAGAGATTTGATTCGCATTAAAGATAAAGCATTTCAAGAAACCCGCTTTAGGTTAGATGTATTAAGTGATGCCAAAATCAGGTTACCGTGCAACATGATGTCAAGTTTACACACACAGTTTCTTATGATGTCTTTTACACCTTTTCTTTACACCACAGTTTCTTATGATGTCAAGTTAAGCTGACTTACGATGACTCGAACCTTGCAGCAACTCGAGCCAATGTGGAGCCAATTTATCGAGACAAGCTCTTGCTTCACTATGATGAGAGTTTTTAACTAAACAAATAAAAAATAAGGAGGAAGCGCTGTGATTCGCACTTCGTGCCGCCTTGAGCTTGCCTCCATTCGACTGAAAAACGCCAAAAAATTACGCCCATTCTACAGTCTATCACGCAATCCAATAGCCAAGTCTAATTTAGCAAGGCGGTTTTCTACTCAATTATCGTGCACAATCACTGGGTACTTTGATATTCCTGCCACAGTCTACTTTTTCAGTCAAAGGTAACACATGATAATTGCTGAAAATTGATACTAAAGGCTTGTGCAGTTCGACGAAGCCTGGTTCCTATTGCTTGATTAATCATAATTTATGCGCGTTGCTCTTTTCCGCACGGTGCTATAATTGGCATTTTACAGGCTGCTATTTCAATTTCGGGCGACAAAAAAACTACTAAATTAGAAATAACTCTATTTACAAAATGAAGACCTCACGACGCTGAAAACTTCCCATGAAGTTAATGTTTAAGAGGTCTTTAGTATATCGCAGGTAAAACTGTACTAGCACTTGTTGCTTTTGGATCTTTGTGACGTCACGTGAAAACCAAAGATTTGTTGAAATGGCAGCGCGATTTGACACTATTTGGATCAATTGCAGCTTACATGTATGGAGGTTTTAGTCTAGTTATTCTCTTTATTTGCCTTTACCTTTCTTCTTCGTGCATTCTCTGCCTGGCCGACATGACACCATCTAAAGCAGAAGCAGAGAGTATAATTAAGTAAATCTTCCGTCTTTTATAACAGGTTTACCCTGTATTTATCTATCGATAATATGTAACAGTTGTTTTCAGTCATATCTACGAAATGCCTTGGATCTATACATGGACGCCCCTGCGTGGTCCAGAGGTCAGTCCATCATGATACAGATAGACCGAAAATGATGTAGAAGTTCACCATTTGCTGAAATCTCACCTGCTTTATACTGCGATAATGTCGATATGCAAACCTTTCCATACGAGTATCCCTTCTGCTTATCTGCACTAGAGGAAGGATCGTAATAATGTTTCCCTTCACGCGAATTAGGCAAGATCCTTAAAAGTCATTCTCCGTTGGAGAATCAAACCCGTTGAGGTCGAAAGTTAGGAAGTGAAACCCTGGCTCGCTGTTAATGTCTTATGATTTTACTAAAAATCTAAGTTCGATCGATTTCCGCCGCTTTCTCCTGGGTAGCAGCTGGTCATCGAGTCCATTAATAAAACAACACAGTTTATTTTCTTTGACATAAATATGTTTTGGGCCCCACCCAAAGTCATTTAAGTCCGAGCCGCTAGGCGAGGGTTAAAATGACTCTGAAATGGGCCCAAATATATCAAGACCAAAGATCATAAACTGAATTACTATCAGTATTACTTTAGGGGGTTTGAAGAAAAAACTGAACGAAATAACTACAAAACAGTCTGAACAATCAATAAAGTGAGCGAGCAAGCGGGCTAAAATACATTTTAACCCACCAAAATCTCCATTTCAGCCCGCAAAATGCAACACATCGCTCGAAAAAGTGATGACAATAACGCTTGGCAAACTAAAATCATCATACCTAGAGCTTCTCTTAGTATCCTTCCATTGTGTTTCAGAGAACAAAGCTTTTCTTTGCGGACACTGATCTCTTCTATGGAATCGGTTTGGAACTCTCCGTCGCGGGGTTGTGATGCCACACTATTTCTTAAAACCTCTACCTCCTCTTTGTATGCCCGCAGGTCTTCTTTCAACTTCTTGATCTTCTCATCATCTCTGATCTCCTCCTCCTTACACTCTTCATTTCTGATAAGCAATTCCATGTAATCACGAAAGGAGTCGTTATAAGGGACGATTGCATTCATTTTGAGGAAGGCGCCGAAAAAGGTGGCACACTCTAAGATGCAATCCCTTTCAGATGCAAGCTCTTTGCTCTTCTTGGCCAACACAGCGATAAATTCTTTCTCCTGAGACTTCTTGTCTTGCTTATCCAAAATTTTCTTCTGCACTTCTTTGGATAAGAATTCCTTCTCTATCAGAGAAGTTTTGTATTCGATATGCATGTGCGTTCTGTAGTTGTGAGAGCATTTCAAACAACTGCCCGAAGACATTGCGATGCAATGGAACAGTTTATCGTTTCCGATACTCTCAACCATTACCCCATGTAAGTAACAATGATCATGGCAGATTTGTTCATAGACGGTACGTTTCACATTTTCCTCACCAACAAATACATATTTCTTGCATTCTTCGGCTGCACAAACAGTCATGGGATAGTCTATTTTCAAAACCTTCAGATCGTACCCTTTAAACTTCAGTGACATTTTGAAAGAGTTAATGTCATTGTCAAAAGCCTTGCATGTGTTTTCAGCACTTTCAATCTTCTTCAAGTTCATTTGAATTAATTCAAAAACTTCCCCCATTGGCTTGCTTAAGGCCATCACGTAGTTCCTTGCATTGTTTAGGCTTAGCGTTTGCTTTGTGTCGTGGGGCTCCATTTCCATCACTCGTTGGAAGAGCTTGATAGTAGTTTCGCACGACATTTTCCAACTCCTTGAAAAGCTATCAATTTGTTCCTGTCCAAATTCAACTCCTTTCTTGTTGCAGGCAAGAAATCTGTCGAGAAAAAATATATAATATATACACTATATACACTCAATAGAAAGAATGAAATGGCTATCGACCGAGTAGCTCCCAGTTGAAGGATCCAGGAAGATACGGATATCTTTTCCAAAATGTTAAGTATGTGCAAATCACGAAAGAGAGAAAAACAACTCTAACCTGTTCCGGCGATATAATACTACGTTTCGTGCTGCGGCCTTCGTCAGGAACATACGAATTACGAGGAGCAAATTAAAATTTGAAGAAGGTTGAAACTTAGCATTAAATCAACGGAACAGTGTACAGTTGTTCTTCTCTCTTTTCTCACATGATCTGGGCCATTGGCAGAGCTGCCACAAAGCATGAGCCTCACCGCGAATCTTAGGAGACAGTCGAATACTACAACAGGCTGAAGAGACCTATCCCAAGATTTCCACTTTTATCAAAAAGCAAACCCCTTTGACTGGTAAGTAAGTAAAATAACCTAGCTGTTAGGTGTTTGCAATGTTAATAGAAACGCCCTTCGCAAATCCGATGCCTTTGACGCTAAACCACCCTCTAGCTATTGGCCTACTGAACGAGCAGTGTCAGGACAATAGGCATGATGGCCAGTCTGGCAAAACACTGCATTTTCAAACTGAGCTGAGAAGCCCCTTTCAATCTACAGGCACACCATAATCGGCTGAGCGTTGGGGAGGGTAGGTTTTGGACTTTTCAGTCAAGGAAGGTTTGCTTTTTGGTTAAAAGTGGTGTCTTGGAAAAGGTCTCCCACGGGTCACATTCAGGCTATAGAGGGCCCCGATCAAATACGCCTATGGTTAAATATACCTGAAGGCTTCGTTGTCGAAGCAGAAGTAATTGGAGGGTGAGACATCAATTCCAATCATACGTTCACTCAGGAGTTTCTTAAGAACTGGTAGGCTGTCTCCAGGCTGATAGAAAGTTCCTCTCGAGTTAGTAAAGGCAAATATTATGTTAGATACCAAGGACTTGTGAAGATGTCTCAGCAGCTCTAACACACAGAACTGGAAGGACACAGTCAACCGTGAATTGTTTGACTTTAAGAGAACAACCACCGCATTAATCTTTTTGTAATTGGTTAGGAAGGCCAATGTGTTGGCAAAGTTTTCTTTGTCCTTTTTGATTCCACTGCAGTCTCCGATTCCTGGAGTATCAATTAGGTGGAACCTGGCAATGTCTGTCTCAAACGTGTGCTCACGAGCGAACTGAGTGGCAGACTGACCGATAGAACAAACTTCATTCGCATCATGACCAAAGGAAATGGCTTTCTCTTCTCCTTCTTTAGTTGTATAGGTAAAGCTGAAATATTAAATGTTTAATTAGTGATCTCTTCTCTTTCATATTATTATTTTTAGTCTGGTGTGTCACCAGCTGTCTGTGCGGTTTAAACATAAAATGACTCTAAGCTGTGACGTTACTATTTTTGCTACACATCAGAATCAAAATAGACAATAGTGTCACTTAGTCAGGAGATCATTACGTGGACTAAATGATAAATGATACAACGATTTCACCTGACCGTAAGTTGGCTTTTGCCAATACAGAATCAAACGCGCGTGTATGCATCCGGGATATATAAGTTCTCATTGTAGTGCGCAAGCCCGTAGAGGCTATTAATAAGATAGTGACATCGTTACATCTCCCTTCTTTCAATAAAGAAACAACAAAACGATAGGAAACTGAAGACGTAAATATAACTTGAAATGGATTAACACTAATTAAAAATGTTCACCACAGTGTGCTCAGCCTTAACACCTGTTTCCTAGGTAGTAAAATCCCTCAGGTACGCAGGCCTCCTAACAATTCTACCACTTCTGGTGGAGACTGGTATGGGAACACTTGGTGGCGCTGGGTGAGGATCTGGCAGCAGAAACTCTGAAGATTTAACAACTCCATCGCTTCTAGTTGAGTCAGGAACGGGAACACTTGGCAGAGCCGGCTGGAAACCTGGCTGCGAAGCAGCTGGCATCTGCATTGCTGAGGATTCAGTTCGTAGCTGGGGTATCTCCTCAGTAGATCTCCTTGCACGTGGACGAATCTGAGTATCGACCTTTGACTGCGCTTTATCTTCGTCTAGCATCCCTTGGAAGTTCTCCGGAACTTTGTTAAGATGTGACAAACCTTTGACTGCGCTTTATCTTCGTCTAGCATCCCTTGGAAGTTCTCCGGAACTTCGTTAAGATGTGAATGATTTCGGCAGCCGTAAAGTCTACCACCTTCTGTGCTAACTATATAGCAGCGTACCGCTACCTGACGACTAACTTGCATTTTAAAACATTTTGGCTGATATGTTAAGGGTTGCACCCGCACCACATCTCTGACTTAGAGTGGTGGCAGCCCCTTAGCTCCTCTGTCGTAATAGAAGGAAGCGCTTATGTTTCCTTTATTGCAATTTAAGCTTCAGATCAGGAATAACTTTTGACTGAAGCAGATGACTAGCCATGGGGAGGAAGTGCGGGTTCTGCGTGCGAAGAGACGCTGTGTGGGAGTGCTGTCCATCCCTTCTGATGGGGTGTTCCTAAAGTTCAGTAGTGGTAGGTGAGGGTCATGGCCAGCATCAGTAGCTTTCTTCAAGCTGTCCTTTGCTGTTTTAACACTGTTCTCCGCCTTACCGTTGGACTACTGATATCGTGGCGAAGAATTAATATGTTCAAACTGATACTCTGCTACAAACTTCTGAAACTCGTTTAAGTCAAACTGTGGTCCGTTGTCTGTGGTGATACCGTCCAGAAGCCAATGTCTTGCAAGGTGCGGCTTTAGTTTGCCAATAAACCCTCTGGCGGTCTTAGATGTCAGCATATCTAACACGAAGAAATTAGAGTAATGGTCAGTGGTAACCAGGTCGTCGGTGCCGTTAAGCTCAAACAGGTCTGCTGAGATGCTCTGCCATGGTCATGTTGGTATTTCGTAACATACTGAAGGTTGTTTCTGCTGTACTGGCTTGTACCTGTTGCAAATGCTGCACCTTTAGATGAACTCTGTAATTTGCTTGTAAATGCCTGACCAGTAGAAAGCTTTTTTAGCTCTCCTTAGACACCCCTGAACACCCAGGTGACTGGCATGTACTTTGTCTATCGTTGATTGCCTTAGGGTAGATGGTACTATAATTCGTTCACCCTTGAACACGACACCATCCTGTATGAACAGTTCTTCTCTGAAAGGAAAGTATCCCTGCCACTTGAGTAGTACATCTGCCCTGCTCTCTGACCTTGCTTGATCAAAGTGGCTAATGCCTGAAGCTCTGCATGAACTTCCATGGCACTTTTGATTTCTAAGAGAGTTAATTGTCGAATGGGAACAAATGCAATCATATCTACATGCTCAATCTCGATTTCTGTTGGTGATCTCATGTCAGCGACACTCCATACTCCTTCTTGGTCACCACCTTTTTGTTTAGCCTGGGGAAGGTAGGCTCGGCTGAGGGGATCCGCCATGTGCATCTCAGTGCCCTTTCTGTATGAGACCTCTAAGTCAAATTTCTGTAGACGCAACAGCATTCTCTGCAACCACCTTGGTGCACTCAACAGACTCTTCTTCAAAATGGATTCTAGGAATTTGTGGTCAGTGCCAATAAAAATCTTTCTACAATAAACATAGCCCTCAAACCGCTCAACCCCAAAGACAATTTACAATGACTCTTTCTCGATCTGCGCATAGTTAGTTTCCATAGGAGTGGGGGCCCTCGAAGCATACGCAACAGGGTCGGTGCCCCTCTTGTAGCAAACAGGCCTCCAGACCACTCAAGGAGGCATCTCATTGAAGCACCGCTTCTTTCGAGGATCGAAGAACTTGAGCACAGGCGTTTGGGTTAATACTTGCTTTACTTGCTCTAGGTACTTGCCATAAACTCCTTCCTCCCATACAAACTCATTTTCCTTCTTGACAAGTTCTCTCAGTGACTTTGCCAAATCTGCTAGATTGAGTGTAAACTTCGGCACGTAATTCTCTGTGCCTAGTACTCTCTGGACGCTTGCCTTATCAGGAGGGGGCGGCATTTCGTTGATGGCTTTCAGCTTGTTTGGATCAGCGCCGAGACCCACTGAAGATATAATGTGTCGCATGTAGTTAACTTGTTTCTACCTTAACTGTATCTTCTCTGAATTCAACTTGATACCTTTCTGTCGACAGCGGTTGAACACCTCTCTCAGGTTTCGGTCGTGATCTTCAAGGCCTTCTTCATCCGTGTCTCCTGCTCCAAAGACCAGAATGTCTTCTGCTCTGGTAACCCTTCAAGTGCAATATCAATCCTTCTCTTAAATTCCTCTGGAGCTGGTGATACTGCAAATGACATACGAGGTCAGCGATACCGGCCCCATGGTGTTCCGAAAGTAGTTGCATAATTGCTTGGCTCATCCAACTGTACGTGCCAGAACCCATTTTTCGCATCAAGTACTGTGAACTCACAGGCCTCTGATAGGAGAGGCAGCACATCATCTATTGTGGGTAAAGGGTAATGATTTCTGCATAGAGCTTCATTTAAGGGTTTCGGGGCAGTGCACAGCCTGACCTTGCCATTCTTCTTTGCTAAAATCCACTCAGCCTGTGTATCGACCTTTCAAATCCCTCTAGTATTTGATAATCTGTCTAATTCTTGTTTTAAAGGTTCTCTGAGGTCGATTGGCACTCTCCGTGTAAGTAGCTGGACTGGATAGACATTCTTGTCGCTCTCCAGATGGAGTTGTCCATCCAGTTTGCCTTCTTCAGTGAACACATCCTTGTATTGCGACATGTAGTCTTGCACCTTAGAACCTTTACTCTTCTCACCATCCGAGTCCACAGTGAGGATATTCTGTTTGTTAATAGTTAGCAATTGAAGATGTTCATGCTTTGCCACTAACAATAAGGAACTCAATGCTGCACTTTTTATTGTTCTTTAGGTTAACAACCTTGAGTCTTTACTTGCCCAAAAGTTTAACTTCTGACTGGTTGTACATTACCAGAGTCACTGGGGTTTTCTCTGACTCATTCAAGCTGTTGTGCCCACAGAGCCTCGTCACCGTCTCACCAGTCATAATTTTTACAGTTGATCCACTGTCCTGTCGAGACTTCTCCTTTCCATTGACAAGCTGGGTGGCAAAGACTTAGGTAGCGCGTCCACTTTAGGCTAATGCACTAACCTCCTCTTTTACCTCGATCTCAACCACATATTCATATTCCTCATTATTACCACAATTCCTGCAAGAGGTTCATCCCCTGGTCTCTACGATTGAAAACATACCTCTCATAGGTCTCATTGCACTTCCCACTGCAGTATTTTTCCATCTTCTCTGGGATCACTACTAGATCTTTTCTTTGGTCTTCGATCTCAAATTCCATAGCATCAATAACACCTAACGCATCCAAGCTAATGCACGCAAGTAACGTGGCGGTCCTTCGTTCCTTGTTCCGATCCAGATTTTCCGGGTCCTTAAGCTGGGCCACGATTTCAAAATTTGACCACGCTCGACTGAATCGATGCCACTTGACAAGGAGGTTTCCACCGCTTAAATCCAACTTTACTGGAAGTGGTATGTTTACAGGAACAGTTATCACACTGGACTGTGTACCCGAAGAATTTTGAGTCGAAGCGGGATGGCTTGCTCCGCACCCGGTTGGGTATATCGCGGAAGTGTTGACACGATTTTGCACATAAAATTGCTAACAAAACTCCCCAAGTTTGCTTCCAACAAGGCCACGAGCGACAGTTCTATTCAGAGTTCACTTCTGACACCATTTAACTTGGTCAGGAGATCAATACGTGGACTAAAAAACACAGCTTGAGAGGACAATGGTGTAATCTGACCGTAAATACAGAATTGAACACGTGTTCGTCAGAGCGATAGGGCTAACGCTCGAAACATCAGCTTTTTTACCCTTTACGGTGGCTAATTTACGTTTTCAACCCAGTTGTTAACACTAAATTACCGAGTTTAGGACATTTCGATTAGCGTTTATTGTATGGTAATAGCCTATTTAAATTTATTGTATTGCAGTTTTTACGAACTTTCCAGTGATTAATAAACCAGTTGAGATTGATTGACGCCTGGAGGTCCGTTAATATAAGACATTTCCCCGACGCGGCGTTGTTCAAGTTTAATGTCAGCGTCCGCCCCATTACAGCAAGTGAATCTATTGATGAGAACTACTAAGCTACCTGTGACAAAATTTAAACTTTCGGTAATTGTTGAGGCTACTAGATTATTTTTTCTCGGTTTTCTGCTAAGGATGGGTGACAGATCTAACGATGGTGTTTTCCTCTTGGCGATTTAAGCTTTATGTACGACAAGGCAAACTTTGATTGTCCTTCAGTCGTGCCTTCCAGCCTTCCAGCCTTCCAGCGTTAACAGCTAGTAAGTCAATAAACGACCTCTTTACCGTCAAAGTGTATCGAAGAATATTTCGTTTTAAGGTTATCATGTTAATTACAGCTTTCCAATGCGAATTTTTTACGGTTTCTTATATTAGAAGTGAGGTTGAATGTATTCTTGTTTGTTTACCTCGTCCCCTAATCCAGTACAATCTCGTAGGTAAATAAAACTGTACCTTCTTCTAAAACTTAAGCTTTTTGTATTAAATGGAGTCTACTCTCCCTGGATCGTAGTTTGTCCTCCTCGCTGTCATGCGTTCGAATTTTCAAAAAGCGAATTTGAGCATATAAGCCTTATAGAGAGGGAACGCTTGTAATATGGTAAATAATAAATAGAACCGCCGCAGTACTTGCCTGGCATTTTGCGCTATTTTCTAATTTGCATAATCCATAATCGGCCCGTGGGCGTTACCTCTGCATAATGCCCTGCTCTAATATCGATAAGCCAGTCGGAGTGCGCAATATCGGCCACAAGCCTAAGCAGTACAATAAACTAACAAATTGTTACCTGAATGGTATTAAGACGGTGAATTCGTTGCTCTTTCTTGCTGCCTCTAAGGAGTTGTACTTGCTATAGTTGGCAATCGCATTGATCCAGGTGGACTTCCCGACTCCTGTCTCTCCCAGTATGAGAATATTGACGTCCCTTTTTATCCTCATTTTCGTGAAATCTTCTAACAGAAATAAAAACAAACTATAAGACATACTGTTAACTGGAATATCAAGAAGGAAGTGAGTGAATCTGCTCAACAGACCTTGATACTTGTTTAAAAACGAGGAGGTTTTTCCCACCCTTCTAAGAATTCACTCAGCACTCCTCTTAATTCGTATGTCTCCCAATCTCTATTTATCCTCTTCATCAAAAGACCGTCAATGTTTATTCATTTAATTGTGACACTGATGAACGGGTGGACAAGAACCACCGAACGTTCAACTCACAAGACAGCCCGGATTGAGGAAACATTTCATAACATGAACGCACTTAAAGATTTTCAATATCATTTACATATTTACTTGAAACTGCTGCTTCATGATCATTCATTTTCACTTCTAAGGCCTTAAGACCCTTATCAAGCTTTTCTTCAATTCCATCCAATCTTTCCTTGACGCTGACTTCACCTATCACCCACTGTTTAAGAAGCTCTCTGTAGTGTTCCTCAAATTCAGGGTCTATACATTCCTTTTTCAGATCATCAATAGCACTTTGGTAACCAGCTCCTCCCAGTCTCACCAATACATCTTGAATGTCCTGCCAGTATTTATTGAATTTTTGGTCATCAACTGAGGCCCGGCTGGCATGACCATAAACTGTGTTTCTGTAACATTTAATGCGAACGATATCTGCCTCAAGGGTTGTGTCTTCTGCAGGAGGAAGTTTATCCCAGCCGGTGTCTGGAGGAACAAGACCACAAATGTTCCTCAGTAGAACTATCAATAAGGTGATGTCGAAATGCTGAGATGAAACTGAAGATTTTATGGTAGGATAAAGTTTTCCCCATTGTGATGGATTGAGCATTTTTCTTGTTCTGAGTGTTTGCAGCACTGCATAAACTGAGGGACTTGATAAAACCGTGTCCAGGTTTCCTGGCGGACGCTTCTCTTCAAATGTCTCTCTTAGGATATGGGAACTGACATCCACTAGGAGTCTGCATAACCGGGAGTAATTAGTTGTCGATTTTTTTGGACGAAACAGTGGTGGCGCTGCCAAGGCCATGAAGGATTTTTCCTGAATTAAAAATAAACCGAAACACTAAACAGTGGACACACAAAATTTTTAAATATAAAATTGCAAAATGAGAATCGCTTAATTTTTGAGGGACCCCAAAGGTTTTTAGGAAAAAGCAGAACATAGCCCATTTGAACAGCGAAACAGGATAACGAAGTAAAAACATGTTCATTAAAGGACTTAAATTTATTTTTGGAAATTCCAGGGACAAATTAAAAAGGATGAATATATACGTAGATGAAACTTAAAAAAACTGAGAAAAAACAAAAATAACAAAGCGTGTAAGTGTCAAAGAACATCCAAAAATGAAATTTTTTTTAGATTCATTTGAACTTCTTTTGAACTAAAAAGAACCAAATCACGGTATTTTTCTCGATTTATTTTAGAGAAAGCTCGATAATTTAGAACGGAGAGAAACTCAAACTTTATTGAAACACGTGACACCAAGGAGCCAACGAAAGCTCGTTGCAAAAATTTACGTGTATCAACAAGAAGAAATTAACAAATAAAGAACAGGTAAAACCTAAGTATTAATGATAAAAAACGTCTTTCTTTGTTATCAGCTACAACATAGCTGGCCCACCTTAAGTTTCTAAGGCCTTGCACCTAATTAAATTCCTGAGATTTGAAGGCTCCCTAACATGCGTGGGTAGATTGTTTCAGAGTCAGAATGCAATATAAGAAAAAGATACGTCCTACAAAATAGCATTTGGAGCCTGCTCGAATCAGAACTCAAATTGATGATTTGAAATCGTTAATCGCCCAAATTTGTCATACATTTACATGGACGCATTACCAAATCATGGCTATCAGTAGACTTTACGGGAAGTTATGCTGATGCCCGAACAAAGACTTTTGTATAGTTTGTGTTTGATCCGAAGTTACTTCGCTTTGTTTTGGTTTATAATTGCTGTTTTTGTAAACGTTGTTTTTAATTCCTCAAATTGTTCCATGGCCCCCTTGAGAACATAGAGCTAGTATTAGGAGCCTCTTTGTTGAGTCTGCTGCAATTCAGTTCCATCAAGATTGTTGTAACAGTTTTTCCGATACTTAACATGTTCATTAAATAATTAGGATAGCCTTGAACAGAGGTGTGAGAGCTTGGACCAGGCGCCTACACTTACTCGTATCCCGATTATACTACGATAAGTTCTGCTCGTAACTAATAGACTAAGGTATATGGAAAACAGTTCTGATTGTGTAATAATTGCCGTTATTTTCAATTTGTCAGATAAAGTGTGATTAATTCCTCTTTGAAGAGGGCTACAATATTCGATGCCTGGTAGGATGTATGTCAGTACCGTAGATAATTTCAGCGCAGTGTTACTATGGTGAAAATTCCTAATTCTGCGAAGGGTGGCTATCCAAGCATAAATTTTGTTAAGAACCAGCTGAGTCTGTGAGGAGAACGCTAGCTAGTTGTTAGTTGTTGCTACCAACAATTTGAGTTTAGCGATAATCTGGATGTATTTGTGATCGATCTCCCTTCGCATATAGCTTGCAGCCACAGATGAAACTCCTACCGTCACTACACTCTATCACTCACCTACAATGCTCTCATTGATGCATTGTCCTCAATAGCCAAGTTTTATCCATGTACAAGTGTCAGATCGCTTTCAGTCAGTCTCAAGAGCGAATGGTAATGAATATACAGGCACCGATCAAGAACTAAGATATATAAAGCTGGACTTTTTTCAAGCCTCTCTTTTCTACCTGCATAAGACAGATCAAGATCGGACGCATACCGATATACAAAACAGTGAGTTTCTCAAAGCATCTAGAACTTTCGCTTTAAATTCGATATCCTACCCTTTTGCCCTCCAATCTGAATTCCTATCATCAGGGTTTGAGCCAGGCCGCGCCATTGCGCCAATCCCGCACTGCACTTGAAATTGTCCCCTAAAAAAACGGTCAAGGGGACAATTTTTCCCCTGCAAAATTTAGGGAATAAACTCGAAAGGAAGCACACACGAAGAGTTTTATCTCGGTACAGAAATTGCAAGCTAAAACAGAACGTGGAAAGTATATTTTCTTGCACGTTTAAAGTTCATTCTAAAGTCACGTTTCAGTCACACTTTACTGAACACGTAGGTCTCATGCTCAACCAAGCGTGGTGAACGCACGTGGCAATCTTTACTACGCTTTTCACAAACATGAGAACTCAAAAGTTCAAAAGCCGCCTTCACAATTACGTTTTTCGCTGCCCTCAATCATAATTACGATCACAAGCAACTAACCTTGAAACACAGAAACACACGAAACGGATTGAAATTCACCAATGACAAATCACAAACCATGACCTTTTGAACCCGTGAAAGTAAAATTTTGTTTCCTAAGAGTTCCGTTAAGATGATTGACGGCAGCGACAAAACCCAATCGTCAGTTGGCTTTTGAACTTCAAAATTCGCATGTTTGTGAAAATCGCAGAAACATGTCACATCAAAAACGTGTTCGAACATTAGAAAGCTTTTTCGCTCGGAATCGAAGCCAGAGTGAATTAGAGAAAAATGATACAGAAGAAGAACAGTGTATTAATCAGGAAGAAACGAATGAGGATCGAAGGAAACCGAAAAAATCACGAACTTTCCTGAAAACTTAGTTGCGAGATCACACATGGTTGCGCTATGAAAAAGAGGCGATGTTCTGCTATTTTTGTCGGAAATCTAAGAAGACAAACCCTTTGCAACGGCAGAAGGGTGTACAAATTTTAGAACCTCAACTCTGCAGCAACTCCTTTTACAGCCCTTGATGTTTGGGCTAGAACCAACTGAAGAATTAGTACATTTACGTTTACCAGTGATTAAGAAAGGAATTGAAGTTTACAAGGCGATGCCGGGACGAGATTCTGCTGTGTAATGTTTTGAAGTATAAAGCATAGTCATTGATCCTCTGTTTAAATATGATGAGAAAAAGAAATTTGACATCAATAACATAACTTTTCTTTTTTGTATCACTTTTCTTGTATTACAAGTCTTACAAGGATCAGGTAAAAAAAATGTTTTTGTCGGCTTGCCTGTATGAATGTAAAAAAAGAAAATGTCGAATAAAAATTAATTTGTCTGTCCCCCTAAAAATGAAAATGTCCTCCAAAATTTTTGCTAAGGGGACAAATTGCCCTCCAGTGATCAAATAGTAGCTCAAACCCTGTATCATTTATGCCAAATCAGTCATTAGCTAAACAAAACATATATATATATATATGTCTATTAACAGCTAGACCCCTATAACGAACAGTTTCGATAAACGGCTGTTTGTTCGTTCAGAAAGAGCTAATTCGTAATATAACTGATGCCATTTCCTTGTAAGTAGCAGTATTTTACTTTACCTTTGATCATTGATGAATACAATTATTAGGTACCTTAAAGAGTAACTATTTTGATTTATTATGCCCGGGGCTCATTCTTAGATCTGTTGATCTGATTTCTTCTGAATAAACTCAACATCCATTTAGAGTTGATGATTTGAAATCATTTATCGCCCAAGTTTGTCATACATTCATATGGACGCATTCACAAATCAAGGCTATCAGTAGACTTTACGGGGAGATATAATGAATCCGAAGAAAAACTCTTGTATATTCTATGTTTGATCGTGGGTTCAAGATACACTCGAAAACGGCGGGGTAGGTGTGTACCGTCGTTGAAAGTGTAAAGGGTGACACAAAGAGTATTAAGGAAAAGAGCAAAGAAATCTGATTAAAATTGCATCGTTTTCATTCCCTCCTAAAACCATATATAAGACTTCACAAAGGAGTGAAATTTCAACCCAAGGAGGGATGTGGCAGGTCGCATTTTGACCCCAATAATACGAGGGATGAATTACACGAATGATAAAACTCATCGATGCAACCAAAAAAAGGACAAATACTTTAAATGTGCTGCATTGATTATTGTAAATACAATCAAACATAATTTACAATACTTTTCATTGAAGATCTGTTGAACATCACAGCATGTGTGTCATGAAATCTTGTACAGTTACCTCAGTCTGTCACTAACTTCACTATCAATTTGTTCATTTTTTCCTTTGCATTTACAGCTCACAAAAATAATTTAGGCACTTTCAGCTATGATATATCAGATCTCCATAAAATATTTTCATCCATAAGGCTAACAGATTTGTACATGATCAATAAACCTACAAATTAAATATGAGATCATAATCTAAGTACATCAAACTGTTCACTTAAAACTTTTGAAAGAACTAAAAGGATGCTAAGCAAGTGCTTGTCATAATCATTTTTCAGGCCAAATGGAAACACTGCTTCTTTGCACATTGAACCATTTCTTTCAAGAGTGACCAACAGGGAAATCCTCTTTACAATACCAAAACATTTTTAAGCAAAAAGATGATGAGCAGTAAAATACAAACAAATGGATATTGCTTGATTTAACCCTTTACACCCCAACATTAGTATTCATATACTAATACATCAGTATTCATATACTGACAATCAAGAGTTGGTGATCATTTCCTGTATTCTCATGATGTGAATGTGTGATTCAGTGGTGATATTGTAAGGAGAAATTAGATGCTAGTCACTCCTAGGGGTTAAAGGGTTTACATCAAACTCTCAGAGCTAAAGTCATACAAAATATATACAGTAAAAGAGAGAGTGCAGAGAATTGATGGCTAGATTTTCAGAACAGAAGGGTTAACTCAGATATTAGGCTCAGTAGCCTCCATATATCTGCATAATTTTTCCATTTAGCAAATACATCAGTCTGATTATTTCAGCCCTGGAAAACCTTCCCTCAATTAAAAATTTTTCAGTTATCCACATGACTGTTCTGCTATCACAAAACAGTATTTCAGTCATGTGGCCAATAATTTGAGATCTTCCATCAAAATAAGCAATCATTAGCAAGCAATGGAAATGCTAGAATGCATTTGATTGAGGGTCTAATTTGTCATTCTTTCACTGTGTAATCATCTTTTGAGGCTAGCAGCTTCCATCTCTGTGATTCTTCCTTCCCATAATTTACAAGCGACTCACATCAGGAGAATCTTCTGTTATTTGACCATTTGGTTCTACTTCATTACCAGGACTAAAATGACAAGAATGTAAAAATTCAGTAAAGTGCAAGTCAAAACAGAAAAACCAAAATATGACCAACCCATAATAGAACCTGTCAAGCATCAGGGTTAGAATTCTGCTGGATTTCATCCACCTATAATTATATTGATTAGTATTTAATGGTTAGTAAATTTTAAAGTTTCATCAAAGAACTGAACATTTTCTGGCAGTGTTAATTAACTTTTTTTAGCACTATGTTACATCAAGTCACAAGTAGACTGCATTTGTCCCTGGCTCTAGTTTGCACTTCGGAGGTTCTTCTCAGCGTTGTCTTATTTTCTACCTTGTACAAAACCAGCCCAACAACACACAGCATCTCATAAGAAAGCTTTTCTTCCACCTTCCTCTCGACCAATATTTTCATAAGATCTGGAATACATGTACATATATCAATGACCAAACTACAAACCAGGCAACATCATTCACAGGGGAGAGAGGAGATGAAGATACTAATAATTGTTTAAACCAACAACCAAGTGCCCTATGGATGCCAATTGTCTCAACTCTTTTGTCTAAGATAATAAAAAAACCTGGATCTCTTACCTCTTGGTTTTCTTCTCTTCACTTTTTCCTAACGCAGAAAATGATGGAGGAAGAGGTGGAGGAGGAGGAGGTATCAAAGGTGATCTGACCTCCAAGGCAGCACTACTGTTGTCAAGTGAACCTGGAAAATAATGTAAAGATGTTTCAATCAGTTTTGATTAGTATTGTGATAACTTGGTTTTCTACACACAAACAACAAGCATACAGAACAAAAGATTTCAAATCAAGTGCTGAAAATAATCCAGGGTTGCTTTCAACTGGTTTTACTTCACTCAGCTCTGTGATTGGCCAAAAACATTGCACCACTAACTCAAAAGTCAGATGCAAAAGGAACTACATTGAAGAGCCTGGCACAAGTTAGTCTCAACCACATGCAGATTAATTATTCTTGCTTCAAAGTTCTTAATGGCTCCCTGAGATATCTGACTTTGTTGTGACTGGCTGTCAAAATGACTTTGGTTTTTGTTCCTCCTTTGTTTTATTAGAAGTTTGCAATCAACAAGTGAACAAGGTATTGAAGCTAAATGTACATAATTTCCAATTACAATCATATACTTTCCTACAGTGTTACTGTAAATATTTAAGCGAATCTAAACAATAAAACTGTAAAAGATAAACATAAAAAATAAATAAAATGAAAACAGCCCCACGTTACAAAATTAAAACCTTTCAATTTAAATTGTGTGTTAAATCCTTCAAGTAATACCTGCAATTATCAACAACATGCAATTTCAGAAGTTGTGGTCAGCCATTACAGAAATCGATAACAAACAGGCAAATGAACAGAACTGATCCACAGACACTAATCACGACTCAGACACGAGCAGTTTGAACTCGAGTCCTTTGAAAGGTCACATTTCTCACGCACACACACACTCAAAGGCATGACACCTCTTAAATTTCAAAACCTAAATGAATGTACATGGATTTAGAAGGCACAGTTTTGTTTACTTCAGTCAGCCAACTTTAAGCAACAGCCCCCACTACACAGTAAACACACTGTACCTGACAGACCAGGGGTGTTTGCGGATGATAGGCTGTTTATTTCTGCCTTGTTGTCCTCCTCCACATAGTCTGGAGGGGGATAGTATGATGCATCTGGTCCAGCACTTGAATAACGCTTCAATGACTTGTGGCCAGCACTGGAATCTAGTGTAGGACGTGGATGAATTCCACTGGCAGGTAATGTATGACTCACTGAGGGACTGCAAGAAAAGTTATTTACATGTGTACAATAAAATTATTACCGTGGAATATACAAACAAAAAGTTATTCTACACAGATACATGTACATGCACATAGGAGCACAGTGAATGGACAATAGTGTGAGCACTTGTCTCCCACCTTGAAACCCGAATGTCAACTGTCACATTTTGGTGAACCCTTTTGCTCCCAAGATCTGATTGTTAATTCTCCCCTCTGGCTGCTACACATTTCCTTGTAAATAAGTTGCAAGAATTTGGTTTTAGATCAAGCAGACAACTTCTACCTGATAAGTTTGAGTTTTCTCATTACCTGTTTGTCAGGTAATGTAAAGATATTATAGGGAGAAATAACATGTTAATCACTTCTGGGAATAAAAGGGTCAAGTTTCTATCTTACCCAGTCATTACACCTATAACCTCCTCTGTGAACGCAGCTGGGAACCAGCCAGACCTGAGAAGGAAAAAAAAGAAAGTTATTTTATAACTAACCTTTATCAAAAAGTAGGAAGATTAAGAGCCCTGAAGATCAGCAAAGATTGCAACTGATGGACAAAATTTAAGCTAAGGTTTTCAATACATACAAACTGGGACACATTTTATGCTCTTTTATAAATAACAATTATTGCACAACTGCTTTACAACTTTATGACTTCATTAACAGTACATAAAACTTTCATCATGTATACTCAAACATCTATTATCAATATTAAGTTCCAATCCTTACTTGTTTGTTTTTAAGTTTTCTCCATATTGCCATCCTGAAACAACTTCACTGATTGGATTTATTAAATCACCCTACCAGTGAAAAGGAAAAATAAGTTATAGTGAATGCCCTTGGCCTTGATGACCAGTGAGAAGAAGAATAATATTATTAAGGAAAGATGCCAAATGCTTGATAACATAATCATAATATTGAATTCCTGCCCAGCAGAACTGTAGAACTTGATTTCTAAGCGAAAGCTGGATATCAGAATTTCTTTTACCCCTAAAGACAGGAGCTAAAAATTGTTCTGTCAGTCACCTCAGCAACTCATTTACACAAACACACACAAAAAACCTTCATGCCGTTGAGGAATGCAATAGCCCATTTACACTTACCTCTTTGAAACTAAGCTGTGAATTTTCTGCTGCTGTGTGTGCAAAATTTGCCCTCAGCTTTAGTCTGCAAGGAGAACAATTAGCATAAAGAACTTATGACAAGCATCTTGTGAACTTATGAAAAGTATCCAGTAAGAAATTAAATACACATTCATTCAGAAGTACAGAATTGTAATAATAATAATAATAGTAATAATAAAAATTATAATTATAATAATAACAACAACCAAAATTATAACAAAACTCTAAAACAAGATTGATTCTAACTACCCTGATTTAAGTTCTATAAAGACAGTCATGCTTGTAACTAGACAGTGTTACTGTACAATGTACATGTCATGCTTGCATAATCAGAAAGTCCAGTTTTGTCTGTAATTATACTCTTAATTAATGAATATCAATCATTGGACTGTATCATATCACAGACCAAATTAGACTTGACTCATGATCAGTCCTAATACCGTCCCCTACCCCCACCCCTCTCCTTATTTTTGACCATCGACTGCCCCCTTGGTACAAATTTATTTCTCTCCCCAGCCTTCCACTGCCATTAAAATCAAAGATGGCGGCCATAATATTTGTTATGAAATAACTGAGCACTCGCTTGCAAAAATTACACCTGCTCTGCAGGCTACCATTATTAACATAAAACATACTTTTCACTTTTAATTCCATCCTTTTTAATTTCTGCACTTGATATGGAACCATTCACCTGAAACAACAAAAGCAGAATTTAGCACAGGAAACAGTAAAATGGTACCATGGCAATATTTGGTACAGTATATCAAAAAAATCTTTAACATGAAGTAAAATGTGATGTAAAATTTTCATTATAGTATGCAAACTAGTTTTACCTTTGACACAGAGTCATCCTTTTTTATGAGTGAAAACCAAACTGGTAGCTTTCCTCGTAGTATCTGTGCACTCTGAATTAAGACAACAAACAAATTTGAAACTACATTAATATCTACATGTAAATGCAAACTGAGTGTACATAAACTCTTCGGAGTTTAGAGTTCTTACTTGTTCACAAGATTCCATGGTAATTCTGGAAGCAATACTGCATCTGTCAAATACGAAGCAATATCTATTCCATTCTTCTTTAATTGCCTAATGAAAACAAAACTGAAATGCTCAATACAGTGGGAGATTTACTTAGCACATTAATAACATTTTTCACAACCTTTCAAACAAATAATTTCAGCTCAATATGGACAATAACTTTAGCTCAATATGAATGATATAATTTTGTGTGAAAGCACTGATCTTAATACTGCAACATACATTAACTACAAGAGTACAATTGATTGACATGGTACCTTTCTGCAGCCTGCAAGTCTAAATTCTCTAAGTCCTTTTTGGCATGACTCCAATCTTTGCTCACACTTGAAAGAAGATCAAAATAGAAATTGAAAATTGAAAAGAAGTAACTATTAACAATTCTCAAGAAAAAAATTGTTGTTATGAAATTATGGGGGTGTATCATTCCCATTGTTTTGTATGCTGCTTTCAATTTTATTGCAGATCTCTAAGATTACATACATGTATTCACCCTTTACTTCACTCCTGAGTTGTAACAGAAGCATTTCCATATGATAAGTTCAATTCTGCTATATAAGGGCATTTTTACAATGATGAAAAAAACCATGCTGATCAGAAATAATATCACTCTCAACTCCAGAGTTGGCATGTTATTGAATGAGTTCCATTCGTTACTTTCTGTAGTTAAGAGAAATTCTTGTTTTGTTAGGGCCATATTAGTCTATGATTTGGTGATAAAAGATGGTCAGCTTCTCTCAATGGTAAATGTACATGCACTCTAAAACATAAAGGACAAAAATCATTATATATGTTCATGTAAGTACCTGTTTTTCTTTCTCTTCATATTTCTCTGTTGGTTTATTTCTTTGACTCTTTTTCCTAACTCTCAACAGTTCCCCTTTTGCTCTTTCTAAAAGCTGTACAGGTATCAAAATAATTGTGTCATTACTTTTAGTCAGCTACAATGCTTTTGGTGAATATCTGTTCTATTCAATTTAATTTCTGCAAAAATATATTTTTTAAATATATGGTGATAAGCATAATCATCAGTGCCACAGATATTATGGAAAAAATGTAAACCATGTAATTCAATCAAATCACATAAAAAAAATGTAAAAAAATATACGAGTAGCTCATTATTACTGCTTGTAACTTAGGTATAGTTGTGTAGGAAGAAAGCTAGAAGTATTACAGCAGCTGTATGTGTATTCTGTGTCCAATGTATGAAAAAAAAAATTAGACCATTCTGAAAATATCCACTAATTTTATGGTTGCTATTAAAAAACAAAATTGGTGAAAATGGTCCCTTTCAGACTTGTGAATAAAGACATGTACTATATGTATGAAGCCTTTCAACAAGATTCAGGCTGAGGATAACTTTCTTGTGTCGTAAACTTCTCTGATATCATGTTTACTGAACTGGTCTATTGACTCTCTCATGAAAAGGTCATCCACAGCCTCATTTTGATTTGAAAGCCTAGGAATTAGCACACAACAACAGAATGAAATTATTTATAATGATTATAAAACTAACCTCCATCTTACTTTTGTTCTCTTGAATGTAACTTTTCTGCAAAGACTAATAAATCAAAACATGACCAGAAAGAAAATTACATATCATAATTACATTTGTTCAGCTCATAACCACACAGGTGTATAATTACTACAACTTAAAACTTTGGAAAATTACAAAGTGATTGCCCTTCCAGTAACAACTTTATATCTATTAATCTCCCATATCTTCAATAGGGAATTTTATGTGATGAATCTGATTGTACCTAATCCTAGGCTTATTGTGGTGACCTGTTTGATTCAATCTCTGAAGGCAATTAATTTCAAAAATTACTTTGCACTTTAGAAATACATACTTTCACCTCCTGAACACCTGAATCCCCCAGGATGTCTAATGGAGCTATTAAATCATTCTGCAGGTATTTCAGCTAAAGGGATCAATAAGTTAAATCACCACTTTAATACATGACAGAAAATACAAATAAAATGGTTATCTTTGGTAGCACAATTTTGCTGTGATAACAGAGATCCAAGCATTCTGGTTAGCCATTAAATCTTTGTTCTAATCTCCCAACACAAGGTGATTAGAATCATTTTGCAGTGGATGAGCTACAACTACAAAGCTGTGAAGAGTTACAAAAATCACCACAAGACAACGGTCAACCACTTGAGGCACCCATTCTCTGTTTAAACATAGTCTGGGATTAAATTTCTGTGATAACAAGTGTTACTTATTATAGTAATTATGTGAGAATCATTAAGTTCTATGCTTACATAAACTTGGTATAGAGTATAATCATTGCAGAACATTTGGGTTATCAAAAATTAATTATGGGTCAAAATGAACATTGATCTTGTGTTAACTAAACTTTAAGAATCACAAGCACATGAAGCCATAGAAGAGTTTTACCACAAAAGGAAGAAGGCATTAGTTGACCTTTTTGGTTGAAAGCTAATTTCAAAACCTTCCTGATAGACTTTACAATGGGTAACTTAGTGGGTTTTGATATCTCTGACTCAATTTCAATACATGCAATTAAAAAATACTTGGATTTCTTATGTACACACTTTTTTCCTTAGTGCAAAAACTATTTGGCATTGTACTCAGAAGATGTTTGTTCTGCAGATACTACGAGGTTTGTAATAACAAATTCTTGTCAATGGAGTTCATTTGATGCAAGATATCTGATATACAACAATAAATTAATTGTTTTGTAAAGTCAACAATATTTGTCTAATGAGGCGTTAACTATGATTAAGGTGATAAGATTATCTAAAGGGCAAGATCCACATGTACATGCTTTAAGCTAAAGCTGGATTCTAAAAAAGGACAACAATATAAACATGAATAAAGCTATTTATCCCTTTGACAAGTGTGAGATGATTAGAGGTTTCAAATTCATTTAATCCTAGTCTTTTATTCATAGCAAATGTTAATGACCTGGAGAGGTTTTCAAATCAGTTATTCTTAACACATTTCTCAAGAATTTGCTTAATTAAAAAAAGGAAAACAAACCAAGTTATTCTGCCTATTTTTCCCTTATTTCAAATTTCAGCATTCCAACTCAAGATGAAAATTTAACAGTTGAAAATCTGAACCACAACATTTACAGAATTAACATCCAATATTGCCTATTTTTTAGTACTTCTATGGCATTTTCTTCCACAAATCATTAAAAATTCAGAAAAATACTGTATCTTCATGGTAAACGTGTTGGACTTCCAACCTTATGATAAAGTTTGAGCTGTAGCTAGTGGCCTCACTTTGTTGGACCACCCTCCCATCTCTCAGCAACAGAGTAGCATTCTATGCAGAAAGAGTAGAAATACTTCTAGTCCTTTAATGCTACCTAACTGCAAATAACCTTACACAAGAGAGGTCCTCAGGATTGGGAGCACTCTATTTTACCCTTAAATGTGTCTATAAATAATCATTTATAAAACAGTTGTCATTACCACATCACTTTGTCTAGTTTCCTCCTCCCTCTTGACAATTACCAGATCAGCAATGATGGGTCCTGTGCCCAACAAACAACAAAAGTCACGTAAACCATTTACATGAAAGTGCATCACATTCAGAGAGTATGCATGTACAGAGTTATCATAAGCAGCCAACAGGCAATGAAAACCAGCAGGTTGTGAGGCCATTTTGCACCAGCTACTAAATGAATTGTGATCAAAGAAAGTAAATAAGAATAATATTTTAAAATTATTCTAAATTAATGTCTGGCTCAAAGGGGTAACTCATGACAAATGTTTTAAAATGCTAGAAATTCTTGTCTCAGAGAGTATCAATTCCACATTTTTCCAATAAGAGAGTGTTGCATAGCCACATGCCATGTTTGTTACCTTTATGTTAGCATAATTCAATTTATTGACCTATTCAGTTCAAATCACACTATGACAACCCTACATGTATCACGCAGAATGGGATTACATTCATTGCAAACATGATTTCAAGTTTAGAAACATGTTAAATGCAGCACTTGCCAAATCTCCATTCCTTACCCTCCACCCCTTTTCTCCTCCTTTTCAGGAAATATCGTCTCTACATTTATAGGGCATTGATTGATAAATAGCATTATAAATTCAAATTTTTTAAGTCTCCAGATATATGGTAGCTACATTACACCTTTCTTTTGCATACATTGAGCCAACCAACACTCCAGTAATTTGGCAATATTAAAAAGATGTGGTTGCCCTAACTATGGAGTTTTTAATACAAACTGTTCAATTTGTCATGCACAAATTTCATTGTGGTTGCTATAATAATATTTTTCTCTACTGATATTGGCAAATCAAAATAACACAAAGATTAAAGACAAATATGTGATACCAATCTAATGGGTGTTCCGTAAACAATATCTTCCTGAAGAGGGCATAGTCTGCCTCTCCAACAAAGAACTGGTCATCACTATTTTGGGAATCAAACCAACAATTACTTTTTTTTCCAGTATCAATTGGCTCATTGTCAGCTGCAATATCATTGCGAATCTTTCCTGGATGGTAATAGGACAAATTCTCAACTTCATTATTGAGCATGAGTCCATGTCGTCAAATAATTTGTTTTCCTGGGTCCAGTTGTTCAAAGGCCGATTAGCCCTAACCCAGGGTTAAATTCTAATTCAGATTTCTTTATTTTTTTGTACAAAAGTCTTTTAGAGAAAATTTTCACTATTCTTTTTAGAACATCCAATGATCAAATTGCAAGCAAAAAGATTTGAACTGAATTTCCTCTTGAAGCTTTCAGACCTGAAATCAAATTTCACACTAACCCTGGGTTACCTTAACCCAGCTTTGAACAACCCAGGCCTGTACAATTGATTATTTCCTTGAATTGTCTTGTCGCTTAAATCAAGATAACTTCTAGTTTGCCAAATAACAGACTCAGACTGGTCTCCTCTACTAAAGCCCTCGTGAAATTTACCACAATCAATAGCCATTCTTACTTCATGCAAGGGTATGACTAAAATCTCAATAATTTTGCATTGACAATCTGACGTAATAATCAAATTCCCCGAATCCACATTAAGTGGAATACATCTATAGGGACATGTTGAGACACATGTTCAATTTTAAATATTCAGACTCAAAAGTTATGTAAAGATTGAGAATCATTTTTTCATTACAGTGCTGCTCTAATCTAGCTTATAAATCCAGAAGGTGTAACATTAGCTCTTGCCTCATGTTATAATAAATTTTAGAAAGACTGAACAGAAATAAATACTTTGACATTAGAAAGTGGCGTACATGTTACATTGCCACCTTCTGCATTCTTTTTTGAAAGAATGAAAAATTAATGACTAGCAATTCGAACTTCAGTTCGCCATTTACCGCAACAGTATTTAAACAAAACTTCCCAATTGTGTCAAGGACATTGCAATCGACTTTTTAGTATACAAACAAGTGAATTTACCAGAAACACAGACAATACCATTAAAATTTATTCATCACTATAAATATCGCTGAGAGAAGCATTTTCGTCGACCTGGTGTTATCGATATTTGGAAGCCACAATCTTGAATGTCAGAGAGATTTTCTACCGTCCTGAAAAACGTTTTAGTACCACTTAAGCATGGTGGCGTTTAATTTCCAAATAAGAAAGCATTGATCTAAAATCTAACGCTGTAATGAAGAGGCAGTAACAAGTTTCAGCAACGCGCCGAATTAGTAAATTCATATAACTTCAATCCTTAACAATAAACTAGGGTAGTTGTGGCTGTGAACAATTACTCTTACTACAACGTTTGAAGCTCGACCGGGCAATTTTTGTTTACGATCGACTGATCAAGCGTTAAAATGCTGTGTTTTGACACTTTTTTGGAGAAAAGATTATTAAAGCTGTTTTTCTTCGGACTTCGGAGTTGAACCCCCATGCGAGTTTATAATACAATGAGGACTTAATTATTCTGTCGAAAGTATAAACAAATCAAAAGAAAATTTCGATCACAATAGCTTAAAATATATGAATCATTCTATGAATTTCAAAAGTATCGAAAAATGTTTTCACATTTACCGAGGGAACGCGCAGTTCCTTTCGACTGCCCAGCCATGTGTGATACCTTGGACAAGGAATCGTAGAACGAAGTCGCTGCCTGTCGAACATCTGAAAACAAGAGTTAAAGGTGTAACACTTGACAACGATCTCTTATGGAAACCTAAGCTAGCAAATTTGCTGTTTCGAATAAAATTTCTGTAGGAAATGCTTACTTTGTAGCGATTTGAGATAATTCTTGGCGCTCATGGAAAGCTCTTTAAGTACCACGGACATGTCGATGACATTCTGTACCAGTAAGCAAATGGGACAGTCAACATGAAAGCTGCTTGACAACGAACAGACAGGCTATCAGCCTTACCTGGAAGGTCAATATCGTAATATCGTGAAGCTCCTGTTCAGTTTTTATCTCGAAATCCATCGTCGAGAATTATTTTTGCAGTGATTCGCTTCAATTATGTTGCGAAAGTTTACAAGTATACCGGCTGTCTCGATTTCATGCGGGGAAAACCTATCGGTCCTTCGACTGGTCAGCAGCAGAAAATTACACCCAGGATCTTATTGCATTCCTTTGTTTGGACAGGTAAAAGTGCAATTTGGAAGGTGGACTTAAAAGCTTAAATTGTCAAGATCCAGACGATTATAACTCAAAGTGCAGCATTTGGTTTTCAAACATAAAGATCCTCTCTAATTCGGCTTACTCTAAGCGTATCCGCTTTATATAAAAGTTTTCACGTGCGAGCGAATTTAAGTGTTATAATTGAGATGAGCCGATAAAGATGGGATTTTGGCGGATTTCAATTGAATCACCTGCCGTTATTGCATTTGTAGATGGCCTTTTGTTTGTGAAGAAAAAATTTGTTTTTGTTTACATTAAACGCCTAATTGCAGTTCTAAAGGGGTTCGATAATGAAAATCAAGAAATTTAGCAGGTCCATGTTTACCTGAAAACCACTTGAACAGCCGGCCTTGATGTTTCGTTTTTTAGATCTCTTTCTCTAATTTTCATTTCTTTCCTTGATCAGCCATTCAACCCGTGCAAGTGCCTAAAGTAAAAATTCTCATAAAAATTGAAATACTTGAATGTGAAACAGGGTCTAGAGAGAGAAATCGGAGAAATAATTTTACTTATCGATATCGATCAGCTGGAGAACAGTTTCTCGATTAATTACCAAATTCTCTTAATGATTCACAAGAAAGTTGTACATAAGAGTAAATAGCCTATGTAAAGCTGCTCTTTGCCCGCCAAAAATCTCAGAAAGATCTCAGTTTTTCAAGACCTTTTTATCATTGAAATTACAACCGTCTCAAATATCAGTAAATTCAGAAAAGAATGCAAGCTCAAAGTCTTCAAACTTTTTCAGATGTGTCACGCAACACTCATGGGCAATGGTGGAGCGACGTTTCGTAATGTCCCCAAGCCTGACAATATGTAGCTGAAAATTCGCCGTAAAAGCTCGACTTTTATATTTATTCTTAAGGGTTGACCATCTGAAAATCCGCAACGTTTATCTGGATAGAAGACTGGAAAGAAAAAAGGGGGACCCTAATCGAAGGATCAGAGCTTGAGTGCAAAGGATCGGGAAACATGAACACACAAGCAGTATAGCATCACGTATTAAGGACAGATTTAAAAACTTCTTCAAGCTTCGAGTTCTAGTGTCGAAATTACTTTAAGAAGAGGAAGTGAACAGGAACCCTTGGCGACTGTCACAATTGTGGACGACAACCAAGCTAGATCGAAAAGTGGTACCAAAAATATTTTCTGCCATGGTAGACTGGTTATAAAATATGCTTGCACGTTACAAAATGGCAACAGAGGGAGAAGTGAGTTTAACATTTCTATTTGGGCCGTGGAGCGCACGAAATTTCCCACCCATCGACACCCAGCTGGGACTGACTGCACGAGGTTCGAATCACCACTAGGGGTTCTCATCAGTCCTTTTTCTTAGTCCAAGGCCCATAAAAAATAAAAAAAAAATAAAAAAAAAAAATGCTTCACTGCACCTTGCTTAGCGTTGTGCTTGGGGTATCCGGTATGTTTCTTGAAATGCTCATCCTCTTTCAAATCAAAATAACTTGGTAAAAACAAAAATAAATGAACAACCAACAAGTAAATAATCAAAGAACAATTTGACCGAACTGGAAGCTATTGCCATGCTTTTCCTCATTAGAAACACCTATAAGGAGTGTTTGAAATTCAGTTGGTTATGAAATTCAATTTTCTGCTTGTTGTTATTGAGATGAGGTAACTTAAAAATATCAAAGATTAAGAGAGTGTGCGTGGAGTAACAAAATTGTTACAAAGTATTTAGTGTTATCAACTGAGTTGAAAACGTAAATTGGCCACCGGAAAGAGTTTAAAGGCTGACGTTGCGAGCGTTAGCCCTTCGTCAGAGCAATTGGAGGAATTGTGGGTTGTTTGCGGGTCTCTATGCAGAAAATAGAGCTATGCTATCGGTGGGAATATGGTAACGAGAAAACAAGAATAAATTAGTCGAATGAAAAGGGCTCGTTGACACCGTGGGGATTAAGGGTGCCGATTTGGAAGATAAATTGTTGTTCTTGAGTTTTGTGGCTTTCCGAACTGCCTAGATGTAGGGAAAGACCGCAAACTGCCATATGTTGTATAAAATGATTAGGAAGATTGAAAAAACAACAACAACAAATAAACAAACAAAAAATTAAACAGACCTCAATTCTAAGAGCACTGAGTTTACTCAGTATATTGCGTGCATATCAATAACAAGCTTCCACATCACCCCCCCCTCTCCACCCTGAAACCTGTGGACATGTTCATCTGCCATCCATGCCAGGTGGAGAAGGGAATTAGAACCTTGCCTGGGTAGGATTGGAAATTTGAACAGGAACTGTCAAGTCTTTCCAGAAGAAGAAATGTGGTATATCTTTAAATGGAGGTGTTTACAGGAAAATTGACAGTCAAATCCAGCTCTTGGGTGGGGCATTTGAGCTAGATTTTGACCCAGGAAGGCAAGAATTTGAACGAACCAATCTTCAAAAGTTCAATTTCCAAGGAAAAAGGAGATTTTGAAGCTTCAAATTGATCAATGCATTAGTATTTACTTTGTGTATTTGGAACTCTTTTTTGCATTGGATTTCTTAGACACTGTTACGATATATTTTTATTTTATAGTTTCACAAACTATAACATTGTAAAATTACTCCCATGATGGAGTTAAATTCTGCTCAATAACTGTACATTTTACTTATTATAACTTAAGTTCATGAAGGAAAGTGACACTCACTCTGAAGTTAGTTACATTAATTTGAACTGCCATTGTATCAATTCCTGCCAAAAACATTTAAATTACATGTTCATCAGCATGAACAACTAGTTGTTTGAGGGTAGCATGCATAGAAATTTCAAGGTAAAACTTGCTCTTTTTAATTGTCCTAGGTTTCACAGAAATCTTAAGATTAAATATCAAAAAATGAAAGAAAAAATTCACACATGACTTTAATTTAAAGAGGCAAATCATGCCTCGTACTGGTTTACAAAATTCACAAATCCTTCTCACCTTTATGTAAAATTCCCAAGTCAAATATTAATTTTGGTCGTAATTAGCCCTTTAACTCCCAGAAGTGATTAAAGTGTGACTTCTCCCTCTAATAACCATACATTATCCAACAAGCAGGTAATAAGAATACACAAACTTATCAAGTTAAGCTGTTATCTTGATCTAACACCAAATTCTTGCAGCTATTTTACAAGGAAATGTGTAGCAGCTAGAGGGGAGAATTAACAATCAGATCCTAGGAGTTAAAGAGTTAATCACACATCACATATAAACCCATTACCACCTTCTTGTTTTTTTGAAAAAAATCTTGTCCTTCTAAGGACAATTGCTTTTTCTGATGTTACGGAAAAATGGAGTCAGTATACTGTGCATGTGAACTTGCTTCCTCGTATACTGTTTCAACTCTACCTGGGAACTACAGAATATAATCCCTTAAAATTATTATCATTTCCCAGCACTCTTCTCTGGAGCTGCTGTCAAGTCCTGGAAAATGTGTTGAGATAAGGAACAATCATAGCTACTATCAGAGGTATACCCTTGGTTATTATCATAAATACAAATAAGACAATATTTTTGGCTTTATACCAATCTAAAAAAGTGTGCTTTGCTGTACACATGGCTGATTTATGAGAAACTCATTCCACAGTGGTTACATCTCTTTTCAGTGAGCATCAAGCAACAGACAATACCAATAGGGAAGAAGCAGAAGGCTAAGCAAACTCCAAGAGCAGTGTAACTGTCCTCAAGTGTTCCTGTGTGGCATGCTGGGCAGTTCCCTCGAATATAGACATACGCTGTTGGAGGCACATTTGCTGGCAAAGGTTGGTAACCTGGTGGAGCTCCTTCATGATAACCTGTGCAGAGATCAATAAAGATCTTCCCCATTACATAATAGAAAATGTGGTGTCTGGTAACTTTCAAATAGGACAACATCTCAGACTTGTGTGAGTCATTGTCGCCTTGCATCAAATGAATACGAAAAATAACAGTCACAGCATTTTACTGAGTAATCTATGATTGCACCCTGGTTTTTCTTAAATGTTCTCTGTGACTGGTCTGTAAATCTCTTGCCACCCTCTCAACCAATCAGAGAAATTTAATACCTCTCAGGTCTTCCATTCCTTCATGCTACTTAACACAATACTTAAACTTGCCACACTACCTCCTTTGTTCTGAATGGCTATTTATAATTACAATAATAGGACCAAATGGAGTTCAATTTGGTCTGTAATCATATGAGTGATTAACAAAATAACAAATATGATTACCTGTAGACAGAATTGAGTGACAAGAAGTCCTGTTACCAATTAATCATAACGATTTCAATTTCCAAAAAAAAAATATATCGGTACCTAAAGCAAATATCTCCAGTCGAGACAATGTCTTTGGTTAAAAATTCCTCCATTTTGGAAATTCCCTTGTTTTTCTTTGGATGTGTGGTTGTTGCTATCTAATGTTTATTTTGATCATTTCTGTGATTGGTGGATTAGCTGAGTGGACTTATTATGATTGGCTGCTTCAACTGTCCAATAACAGGTGTCCAATTAAAGCCACCTGTCTGATTACTCTGTCCAGTTACAACTGTACAGAATGATTAGTGAAAAATGAAGCTGCAAATGCACCAATAATATTTGAGGAATTTGTAATGGTTGTGATAAATGTTATAATTACTTTAAATTTGATCTGTTCAATTGCAAGCTGCACTTAAATTTGTACAGTTTGATCATCCTCTAAGAATAATCCAAGTAAGCTTAGTCAATCTCTTGAAACAAGGGGAACAGGTGCCAATTACTGTCATAAGAAAAAAAAAAGAGACGGAAATCTGTAATTGCCTAAGATCCCAGTAACTAAATCTACATCTCTACATAGCAAGCTGGGAAATATTTTTGAAGTGTTCCTGATTATGTTCCAGTGCATCCAGTATTAATTTATGCAATAACCTAGCTGGAGTAAGGGACTGCTTAAGATTGTGCTTTAACCCTTATAATCCCAGGATCTAACTGTTAATTCTCTTTTCTAGCTTGTACATATTTCCTTGTAAGTTAGTTGCAAGAATATGGTGTTATATCTTTATAAATACTTTGATATGATGAGTTTGAGTATTCTCATTACCTGATTGCTGGATAATATGGATATTACAGGGAAAAGTTACATGGTTCATATTCTTAAGGGGAATGACTAACTTAGCCCCAGACCATATGCTGGACCTGGCTAGTTGTTATATGACATTTGTTTGTCAAATGATCACTTCCATTTGTCCATTCTATCACTCCAGTTGTTTCATTACAAGCATATCTTTATCCCTACATCAGTTTCTTTGTAGCCTGATACATCACTAATCTAATCTAGAAGGATTTTCGAGCTAACATTTAAAAGTCCTTCAACTGACACTGTATATAATTTTAACTTACTGGGTGCATATCCTGGTTGAGGAGGAGTTGTGATTGGATAAGGACCTTGCTGGTAAGCCTGTGGTACCTGATAACCTCCCTGGTGTCCAGGGTCTGGAGGGTAGTATGGTGGTGGAGCTGACATTGTAATCTTGTACTTTTCAACCACTACAAATTGAAGTAATGTCAGAGTAAGGAGCTTTTAAAAGGCAAAACTGGAAAGAGTATCTCCCAATTTACTTATTTAGTCATAGTAAAAAACCTTATTAACAGGTATTTCCTAATTATAGTAGCCAATACAAACTTATCGATGTCTGAAAAATTTACCATTATGATAAAAAAAAAAATCTTTCAACATTGTGTACTTGCTTGCAATCTGTTATACTGTTTCCTGACTGTCCCAGAGTTTTTCAACAACTGAAACTCAAAATTGTAGACAACCCCAATGATCTGGGATGGTTGGCAACAATTTGAGAAAATCGGAAGGAGTAGGGAGGTATTCATATTTTTCTGATCCAACATAGATTTCTGCAATGATCAGCAGTCATTGAAGATATATACATACTCCTGTTTTAAATGGAGGGGATCTTGCCATAGTTTTAGCTTGCTATCAATCCTCCAAATCCTCCAGTACCCCCAAGTCACAAATAAAATGGCTCCTGTAACCCATTATGACAAATGCCTAGCAATCTCCCAATATAATGGTTTAAAGGCTGGGGTGTTTGGGAAACAGCAAAATACCAACTGACTGGGATTTTCCCAACTTACAAGTGTGTGAAACATCCCTTGCTTTTTTAATTTTTTTTTTATTATTTTAGCAGATTTCCATTGTGTGGAATTTTCGAGGGCAAGAATTCTGCACCCTATACTTCATTGTACTTACAGTTCCAGGATAAACTAAAGCAATGGCGACAATAATAGATCACCTTTAAGACCAAGGCTTTGTTAGAGAATAGTATGGAATTATATGGAAATCTTCCCTTTCCGGGTAAGGATCGAGCATCCAAGTAAAAATGCAGATCAGCTGTGCGGAGTGAGTCTTCTGATTTTTATAATTACAATGAAAACAATTTGCTAATGCAAAGGAAAATAAAGAAAAAGAAAAGGAACTTCATCGATTATTTTCACAATAGACGCCTTGAGCTAACTTTAAAGGAAAATTTTAAAGAGGCAGATGAACGTTGCTCTGGAGACATTTTTTGAGAATTAACATCGAATTTTTCTTATCGATTATACATCTCTTAACTGCCGTAACAGATCATCAAAAACCATGCAAAAATGACTACTCATTCCTATGTAATTTACGAATCAAGTTTAAAGCAATATTTCTTGGACAGAAGTTTTACTTTCTTCATGAAAATTTGAAACGAAAAGTTTTACACTTACCTCAATCGCTGCGAAACCTATCTCACAGTGACATGACACGTAAATATTGTCATGTGACTAACCTTATGCCCGGGCACACTTATCCCGTGGGCACCCGAGAGATTTTTGATTTTCAATATTTTTCTGCGTCGTCTGATCCTTAAACCTAAAAAGAGGAATACCATAATGCAACTTATAATTCATTGATACCTGTTATTTTATACTTTGTGAATATTTTCGTGATTTTTAAAGGGCTAAAAGCTACTGCTTGATATCATAACTTCAACCTTTCTAGGGTAGCATGCGATAAAAATTGTCACTTCTTCAACAAGATGGCGAACGATGTAGGGATGTGGAATGTCCTTGTCATGGGCTTTTCCTTTATGTTTATGTTCACAGCCTTTCAAACGACGAGCATGATCGAGGTAAGTCCATTTATAACTAATCTGCATCCACTCTCGCATGAAATTGACACAGCATTCCAAGAGAGGGAGTTTTTTTGGCGGTAAATTCACGTGATGCACGAAGGAAGTGAATTGCACATGGTCTGTAATCATTGAAATGACCCCTTTTAAAGCCCTTATTTGTTCCATTCATGTGGCCATGATCAGTAGCTTTACGTGAGAAACGATATGTATTAAGAGGATCGAATGGACTTACGCGCTTTCTTCGGTTTAAAGGACCCAAATTTGTGACTAAGGAAATTTATGATGTAGTTTTCACTTTCATCGGTATGTAACACCCTATTTTTAGGGAAGTTGTAGAACTATCATAAGTTAACAGTTTCTGACAATATTTCGTCGTGACCCCATACTTTATTATGCACACAGTTAAATTTTATAAAACTATGGTGAAATGCGATAGTTTACCTATAGGATGAAGGCTCTGTATTTTAAAAGTTAGGGTTGTAAGGAAATCTTTCCAAATTTTTAAACTAAAGGTTACTGACAACAAAATAGACTGCATTCCGGAAAAAATCGTCTTATGTGCTCTGCTTTTGAAGAAACCATTTGAAACTAGATATCACTGTTAAGCTCATAAAATTGTCACAGTTTTTCTGATAGGCATGCGCTAACCTCCAAACACAACAATGACAGTGTTTGTTTTACTGAATATAACCAACCTCTGCAGTACCGCAGACCTCAAAACAAACTGGACAGTACCACTCAGCAGATAATAGGCTAACAAAGTGTGTAAGGCTTTTTTGATATTCCAATTGGTTCCTGGGAAAATCTAGTTTTAAGTTGGACAAAAGAAAAACTTTCAGTTGGTTTCATGCTGTGGAACACTGTGAGAGAAAGATTTTGAGTTTTGTGAAAGCTTCACACACTAGTGTGCACCAATATCTGACAAACACTCTGGTCTTGGTGTTGGGCTACCAAAGTCAACAAAATCTTTTTACTTCACCAGCCAACTGTACTACAGAATTTCACTAGCAAAGAATACCCTGAAAAACCTGAAAGTAAGTAAAAACCTAGTGATATACTATGTGAAGTGAATATACACGGTCACATTTATGTGTAAAAAAATTCTCTCTTTTTCTTTATGAACTAAAAAACTGACAAAAACAGACTGCATTGGTAAAACCAACCTTTGATTTATGTTTAATATACATGTAGGGAGATAGGAACTTTTTTGCTGTTTATAATTATCAATCAATCAAAGTACAAAATTGTGACTGAATTCATAATCATTGGCAGAAGTCCGACTGAAATAACATTCCATGTTATGCATGTACTGTACCAGTCATAAATCAAGACATGTTCTGATATTTAGAACTGTTTTTATTTTTGTTTCAGAACATATCAACGGCTATATAAGGTAGGAAGATACTTGCATGTATAGTAACACTTCTGGCACCCTTACATCAATTTGCTTATTCTCTGTATTGTTCTCTATACATTTATCAAGGTACTGACAAGGAGAATTTGTTCAACAGTCAAGGTCTTCATTGGCTGGTGATCATTTTCTTTATTCTCATGACCCTAATGTGTAATGCAGGGGTGATATTGTAAGGAGAAATTAGAAACTAGTCACCCTTAGGGGTTAAAGGGTCAAATTGATTTATGAAAAATGTTCTATTTATAGCCAGGGTATCATCTATGCAGTTTTTGCATTGGCTAACTGGCTGGCACCTTCTTTTGTGGGGATATTTGGACCAAGAGTTTCAATGATTGTTGGAGGGATCTGCTATGCGTAAGAAATAAGTGCTATATTTTTATCTTAATTAGGATATTAAGTACCACTGACCTGTATAATTTTAGGGGTACAGCTGTAAATACTTTTTATGCAATGCAATATTAACTGATCCTGGTGAGGTCATCAACATAATACGTCAATCAACTCAAAGTTTCATTAATTAGTCAGTTACCTTAGACTGAGTTTCAAAGTGGAAGAAATTTCATCACACCCTTTGGCAGTTATTTGGGAAAGAGTATCCAGTGTAGCTCTAGCAGGTGCTAGATCTTACTGAAAGAAATTTTAACCCAACTCTACTTGTTCAAAAGGCTGGTAGTACTACCAAATGGACAAATCCCTATCCTGCAGCAGCTGATGAGTGCTAAGAAAATGCACTGTGACATCCATCAGATAAAGATTTGTCCCTTGGGTAACATTATTCAACCTTTGAACAACCATGGCCTGAGAGATAGCATGAGCTTGACACAGATAAAATCTATTTTTTTATGAGGATGCATCTTACTATCTTTCAGCCTGTTTATAGCAAGCCTCATTGAACCAATGGCATGGAGTGTATACACAGGATCAGTTATTATTGGATATGGAGCAAGCGGTAAGTTGCTTCTTCATCTTCTTTTTGACTGATGTGTACCAGTACGGCATGCTTAGTGCAATCATGATGTGTGTTTATTGTCTGTTTTACTAGTCAAATTTAATTCTAGCTTACTTTTTCAATCCAGAAGGTGTTTACATGGTAGAGTGTTATACTTTCATAGGTTGAAATGATTATCACAAATCATCTCTAAAAAGCATAATTTCTCTATTGATAGTAATATGGACAGGTCAAGGTACCTTTCTTACAATGAATTCCACCCCTGAAACAATCTCAAGAAACAGTGGCATTTTTTGGGCATTGCTCCAGTGTAGGTAAGTGTTTTACTGCAAGACTCTCATTGATTAAATGGTTGGTACAAACACAGATAAGAATGCACTGTGGAAATAGCTGGCAGTGAGGTCTACAGTAAGGTACAGTAAGTTATTTTGGTAATCATATACAGTAGACTAAAGCTTTCTGATCTATTGAAGACTGCTCAAAAATTGTTCTCATTTGTTTCTGGTTAAATCTAGGCAAGGCTTAGTAGAAAAGATTTCAATTGAGGTCAGGGGTTGGGTTGTTTACAGGCCTTTTGATGTCTAAATGGCTGATATGAGAGGCAACGTCATAGTCAAAAGCTGTACATGAAAGTTTGGTTTGGTTTTTTCCGCAATACTTGTGTAAATTAAGTTTTCCTCCTTATTCCCTTTTTTTCAAGTTGAGAACCTTGGTTGATTTCAAAACTCATGATTGAAGGAATGAGCAAAAGTCAAAACTAATCTATTCTGTTTCTGTTGTTGCAGCTTGCTCTTTGGGAACATGTATGTTTACTTTCAGTTTAAGACTCAAGTGGGAGGAATCAGTAAGTCAACTTCCTTTTTCATTTGCACAAGATTCCAATTCCTATACAAGTACTTGCAAGTACATTGCATTGATCATGTATACGTGGTGTCAACATGTGTGTGAGTGTTTAACCCTGCAGAGGCCTTCACTGCTGGCTTTTCACGAACACTCCCAGCAAGTGTACAAATTAATTGTTACTCCAACCTGTGACAGTTGCAGATCATTCTTCTTAAATGTAGATTGTAAGAAATTCCTTTTTTATAAAAATGAGAATGATTGCAATTATAAATTACCTAACACGCTAACCTTTTTAACACATTTACTCCAGCTCCACATTCTCTCTCTTGATTCTCCATTACCTATAATTTAAGCTCTAAGAAACTGGTTTGACATGTAAATCAATCAGTATCCTGTCTTTGGAATTTTTTTTCTGCTGATTACCTTCATTCTTGTAATTTACTCCTTCTCTCGCAGCAATCTGTTGGAATTGAGTTGAAAAAATGAAGTTGAAATGCTTTCTTTGTAGCCTGATTTTTCTTGCCATTAAACTTTTAAATTTTTTTTGTCTTGCAAAAAAATTAAATTTGATTTGCTTTTCTTTTTCTTGTAGGTGACTCTGTTAGGAGAACAGTGTATACAGTATTCACCACTGTGTGTGGTTTAGGAATATGTCTGTTGTTCCTTCTTCGCAAACCATCAAGTTTGGTAAGAAAGCAATAATTTGCTTATTGTGACATTCATTAACATTCAATTAGAAATTTGAATTCATATTAAAATGTTTAATACTAGAGCCATTTCTGAATGTATTTGCTAAAACCCAAAATTGTCATAAGGGTATCATTTTTGTTCTTACTGATTCAAACTTGGACAACTCTTCATGCAGTTCATCAGTCATTTGACTATTTGTCTTGTGACGTAAATCTTAAGTTTAATTGATATTTTGTGTTCCCTCAAAGCCATTAGAGGTAAATGAGAATGACAATGATGAAAGAGAATTAAGTCAAAATATCAGGTGAGAGCATTGCTTTAGTGAGTAATTTCCATCCCTAAACACTAAGTTGTTTATCAACTCTTTACAAGCAGCTTCCAGTTTGTAAACAAAATGTGGTTTGGTTCATACAATAACTGTTGTTTTACATCATGGCAATGAAGAGTTTTATTTTCTATTATCTGTGGGTGTTTATAGGTTAATGAATTACACTGCATTCTAAACATGCATTGTGGCAAGACTTGACTACCAAGTACTATATTCTTCTGAATTTATTGACTGAAATATTTTCAGGCAACTTCCCAGCACTGAGAGAAGAGGTGCTCTGGAGTCACTCAGTAAGCTTTTACTTATAATTTGTCTGATGAATACTCTTCCTTTTAATCCTTTAACTCCCATGAGTAACCAAGACAGAATTTCTCCTTACAATATCGATACAATATCAACCAGATAAGTGATGAGAATAAAGAAAAATATCAATTTAGGGATAACTAGTTGATCCAACACCAAATTCTCTGAACTAACTTAATAAGAATTGTATGGTTGATAGTAAGGAGAATTAAAACTTTGATCTGGGAGTTAAAGGGTTAATAACTCTTTACATCAATATGTCAGTTTGCAAGGTCTTCACACTGTTTTAGAACTATATATTTCCTATCAGAGGTAATTATATGTACCAGGAGAATTTGTCCCACAATCACGAGTTTCTTGAGTTCATGATTATATCCTTTATTCTCAGGACCCTAATTTTTGCTTCAGGAATGATATGGTTGGGAGAAATTACATGCTTATCACTCCCAGGGGTTAAAAGTTAAATATGGCATGAAATTATTCCATGGAGTTGGATACACAGCTTATTAAAAATAGGTGTTTGAATAACTAACAGTAAATGTTTCCCTTATGGATTTTGTGTGCTTTGTATGTAAAATTCTGCATCTCTGAAGGTTTTCTTTTGCCTTTTTTTTTTTTTTTTTTTGTAGAGGTTGCTGTAAGACTGTTTTTCACAAAGGATATGTTTTTCCTCAGCTTGTGCTTTGCATACACAGGTTTGTTTACCTGTCTTTTTGTTACAGCCACAAAATAATGCATTAAAATGTTGCTAGCTTTTAAAATTCTGTAAGTTTAAAACTGTAAACTCAAATTGGGGAGCAGAATATCATTAGAACAGATTCAATTTTTGACCTTGGATTATGTGTAATTGCAACATTTACAGTTCTTTGAAATAATAGTGAGTTTATGTTGCAGGTCTTGAGCTCACATTTTTTAGTGGTGTGTATGGCACTTGTGTTGGTAAGTCTAACAAACCTCTGGCCCTATTGGTACAGTAATTATTTTCTGTTCCTGTGACTGGAGTGCAAAATTTTCCATATTATTTGATGACTGATCAGAGTAGTATTTGTTGGTTGTATATAATTCTGCAATGTAAAGTGGATCAATAATATTTTTGGGTGGAGAACGTGTATGTATTTTGTGGTTAATGTGCCACTAATTTACAGTTCACGTTTATCTATACTTGTTTGTAGAATAATTTACAATTAATTGATGCTTATTGCTTTGATATATTATTAATTACAATTATGTTAAGGCAATTGGATACAACTGTAAGTTAATTTTTTTTATGCTGAAAGGAAACACACTTCTCTTCCCCAATTCTAAACGTCAAATTGGATTGGTGGGAATGCTCATTGGTTGTGGTGAGATAATTGGTAAGAGGCTCAAGATCGTTGTCTGTTATTTTGATATACTTCAGCAGTCTTGAATTTTTTTATGTAATATATAAAGCCCTTTTAAAGCATCTTCTAATTTTAGTTCAGTTACATTTTCTGTACTACGAAAATTGAAAATATTTAAAGTAAATTCCATGCAATGTACTGGTCATATTTGACAATTTTTCTTTTTGGCCCTCAAAGTAAGTCAGTAGAAAGGATTTGTTATCAATATATGCATGTGCTTGTAATAATTCTTCAATATTATTGTATGACTAAATGGTTAACTATCAATAGGCCTATTACATTTTAGTGAACGGTGTTTTAAACTCCTTATTTTGTCTTTGATTGTCTCATTGTTAGGTGGCCTTATATTTGGAATCTTTGGCAAAAGAAGTAACAAGTTTGGTAGAGAACCCATTGTCCTTTTTGGAGCACTTGTTCACTGGATTTGTTTTCTTCTTATCTTTTTCAACATTCCTCAGGAAGCTCCTAGTGGACCAGTATCAGAAGGAGAGAATTACCATGTATTTCCAAAAGGGCCCAAGTAAGAACATCTTTCAGAGAGGCTTCAATAGTGTTCTCATATTTTTTAATCTTCTGTCTTCTCCTGTGAACTGAGCTCACTGTAATCAATTCACACCTTTCTATTCTGTGAAGAGTTGGTTTCTCTAATGCTCAGAAAGAGAGAAACCACTGTCTGCAAACAAGCTTTTGTTTTGCTCTGTAATACTGTGGGGAAACAACTACAAGTAACCTTTGACTAAGTAAACCAACCACAAGCTTGTTTTGGGTTTTGACATGCGGCTCAATTGCAACACTGCAACTGCGTACTGTCAGTTATGCATTTTAATACTCAAAATTAAGCATTATATCATAAGTTGAATTATGCATGCATTTTGATGGGTTTGTTTGATCTATTAGAGAACAGACACACAGACAATGTCTCTGTTAACATATTTTGCTACTTTATTTTATAACATTAATAGATTCCATGTTGGTGTGGGACTGTTCAGTAATAGGTTGCAGAAAATGTTGAAATGTGGTAAGACCATGGCTGACACACTTGGCTGCACCTTGCATGTCACCTTTTTTGTTTTTTCCACATTTTGAAGTCATCTGTGATCTATTACTGAACAGTACATGGCCACATGGATTCTACATAGAATTTTTAATTGCATACTGTTTTTAAGGGGTTCGATTCCATTGATAGCAATAAAAGTTGACGTATGGTGTATAAAAGTCATAAATATGCTGATGTTTTATTATTTCTGCAGCTTACCTGTTGCTTTGCTTTGTGGTTTCCTTCTGGGGTTAGGAGATAGTAGCTTTAATACACAGGTACTGTCTTGTTTGATGTTTCATACTAAACACGGACAGCTATTTATTTGGCAAGCAGTGGTGATCTTGACATTTTGGCGCAGCTTGCCCGTGTCAAAGGGCAATATACAATCAATTCCAGTTTTTAAAGAGGTCCCAAGGTTAAATGGTAACTGCAGTGGACTTGCATTTGGTCTAAATGTCTGCTGTGTTGTGTTCATGGACACATTAGATTACTCTTGCAGTGACTCTCTCTGCCTAGGAGTGTAACTGAATTTCGGTAAACTGTCCAAGAAGCCTGACCAATATTGTTAGGGAGCAACTTTCTCTTGGATGACATTTATACAGTATGTGGCAAGAGATTTGTAGAGTTGAAATGTTCAAGCAGCTTCATAAACTGGGATAGATTTACTATATTGATACATTTAGTTTGGGCCACTGTCTCAGGCTAGTGTGTTAGGCTTTTGTCAAATATTTCAATATGATCTTACATTAAATTTTTTTTTCCCTTTTTCCTCCCAGATTTATGCAATTTTGGGTTCTCTGTATGAAAAAGATAGTGCTCCAGCTTTTGCATTGTTTAAATTTGTACAGGTTGGTTCACATAAATAATTATCTGTAACAAATATTGTTCACACTGTACATTTGTATGGGAGTCAAATGGACCAAGGTTTTTTATTGGAGATGACCAGAAAATGATGGGTTAAGCTTTGCTCTTTGTGAATGAGTATTAGCTTGTCCAATATTGTTGTGACACTGCTTACGAATTGAAAATTGAGTATTTTTGTGCATTTTTCTGGTACATGGATTAAACTTTTACACTCTAGTAGAAGTTTGCATCTTCTCTATGCTGTTCTGTACCGTACATTTTCTAAGGTGTTAACAAGCAGAATTTCTTTAACAATCAAGAGCTTCTTTAGTTGGTGATTATTTCCTTCATTCTTTTAGACCTTAGTGTGTGATTTAGGGGTGTTATTTTGAGGAGAAATTAGATTCTAGTCACTCTTAGAGGTCAAAGGTTTTAGAAAAGAACTAGTGGCTATCATATCAGTGGCAGACCTTATGAAGTTACAACCAGTAAGTTATACCTCCTTTAGCAATCAAACATTTGCTCAAACAATTTTTTGCTTTGGTTCATGGGTTGACCATCGTAAATAACTTTGCTTGTACTCGTTGGTGACATTGAGTATCAAGAAGTACAAGAAGTTAGCCATTTGTAACAATAAAACTACTAGTAAATTGTATTCTTATTCAAATGAAATCGAAATTTTTGTTTCAGTCCCTTACAGCAGCCATTGGATTCTTCTACAGTCTAAGGTTAAATTTACCATGGCAACTGCTTATTCTGGTGAGTCAGTGTTTGGTGTTACAGGCTTGAGATTCTTTTTGGTCAAGGACCCAGTTATATCTAGAGTACCTTAAGGTCACAGAATCAGTTCTGAAAATTTGTAAAAATTCAAGATGATTCAAATTGGTCTAACCTTACCTCCTCTCCTAGTACTTTCCTTTTAGAATAATTGAAGGTTCTTGGGAAAGGATCATTATTCAAGATTGCAGACCTTCCTTTCTCTGGGACAGTTTGTTCTTAGCTTATTCTCTGGGCTTGTTTTAAGATTGTGACAATCACAGCTTAAGTAGCACTTTTTTTTTTGCATTAACATGATGAAGTGGTCATAAGGTATTGTCTGCCAATATCGTTATTTTTCTTCCATAGGTATGAAACTCATACTCACATTTTTTGCATTTTAATTTCCAAGACCTCTGTGGTCCAAAATGAATTGCTTTAATCTCAAGTTTACTCTGCACTCATTTCATGACAAAGCTCCTCTTCAAATAGGTGTGCTTCTGTATCTGTAACAATTTGACACAAGAAATGTATTCCTCTTGCTCTTCCATTTCAGGTGGTTTCTTCACTTTTTGGAACACTTGGTTTCTTTCAAGTAGAGTGGAAAGCAAGAAGAGTGGCTAATCAGGGTTATGCTCCTATATCAAGTTGATGTGTGGAAGATGAATACTAATAATTATTTTCAGCATGGTGAACCCATGTAGGTTGTTGTTGGGGGGGGTTAGGGGAAGGGGAGAGGGGAGAGGAATTCAAAAGAAGTTAAGAAATAGTACCATCAGAGTACATTTCAATTGAGCATTATCTAACTGAAATCAAAGTTATCATTTAAAAAGTACTTAATATAAGGGTAGATGATGACTCAAGCAAAATGAGAATCCTGACTGAAGTCAAGAAAATACAAATGACTTGTGGAGTGGAGATGCTGTGGCTTTTTTAGACCAGTTGTAGAGGATAAAGAGCAGCACTGAATGTAAAACAGTTTATGTGAACGAATAACTTTGTAAATTAGTTGAAAATGCTGGCTTTTGGTAAGTTTTGAAAGTTTTTCAATGTAGTGATACATAAGTTTTGCAAAATTTTGTACACAAATAATGTCAATTTTGAAATGGAAACATTTGGGAATTCACTGAAAAGTTGGTATAATGAGAGTTTGTTTCGGTCACAAGATCATTAACATTGGTCAATGTTTTGCTTTTTGCTGAAAAACAAACAATTGAATCGTCTTTCTTACAATTATTTGTGTAGTATACCTTGAAGAGACATGTTGATTTAGAGACTGCTCATCTTAAATATTAATTTCTTGATGTCAGTAATGGCAATGTCAAGAATATAGTATAGTATAGGAGACCTTGTGGCACTAAAATTTAATTTAAGTATAATGGTTGCCACTGAAGTGATGAAGTAACTAACACTAATACAAGATTGATCATACTTCATTATTTTCTCTATGTGTAGAGTTACTTCTAGAAACAAAAGTGTGTCAATGAAATTTAATATCTTATAAAGTTTGCAATGCAGAACAATTCTAGTTACTCACAAGTATTAAAAATCTTAATGTTCATAGAGGCAACAAATTAAAAAAATTATTCTCTTACAAGGGAGATTGTTTGTTTTGTTCGTAGCTACTGTTTTGCTTCACCACCAATGCATTCTCTTCCCCATGTAAGGAAAAAAGTACATCATGAGAAAACACAACTTGAGAGGAGATCAGGGAATCGTGCACATCATTTATAAAACTAAGCAATTTTTCTCAACAAGGAGTAGGGGAGGTCACATGTATTCAAGCTACTTGTTTGTATCACCTAGCTATGTCTAAGTAATTTGGCATTAGAAAGATGTGTCGAGATAAAAAGAAAACAAATTGATAAAGAGAAATTGGTAACCAGTTGTAATAGTGAGTTTAAAAAAAATCTCATTAAGGATGCTAAGATAATGCGTAAAGAATAAAAACTTAAGGTAAGAACGTTAGGTATTAAGGCATCTGAGAGAGGCTTAGTAACAAGTTCCTTAAAAATCAAATACTAGTTTACATAGAAACTTTTTCATTCGCGAAATAAGCGAGGAATTTCCTGAGTGGATGTTGGCGAGCGGTGAGGTGTGATTACAAGTTAGGATACTCATGAGAATAACTAGAGTAAAATGTCAGTCTCGTAGTCCCTAGATGTGAAAATCTTTCACGAGACCCCAAATCTTTTAGAAGGATCGTACTCTTCCCATAGTTTTTCAAATTCCTCTGCAAACGATGTGACAACGAATTCTTCACTTGAAATAACTACGTTCTCTCTATTTCCAGTCACCGCTTGCCTTGTCCAGTTAAAGGATCCATTAACAAGTGTTTTTCGATCAATGATGGCAAATTTGTGATGCATGAAGAACGAAGAAAGATCGTGGCGAACTTGGATTCCTTCGCGTCGAAACTTCTCAATCTGAGAACCAGTCGAACCCATCTGTTCATCATCTGTCAGCACTCGGACAACGACACCGTTCTTGTGTTGTCGAATGACCGCATCTGCAAGCTCGCGACAGTTAATTGTAAAAACACAAACGTCCAAGCTTTGTTTAGCTTCAGATAAAACTCTCACAAGCTTACTTAATGAGGACTCTTCGTGAGAAAACTGACAGTTTTTCCTACTACAGCCTCCGTTGAATAGAAACTGTTGGCATGCGAAAACTTTGTCCGGAAAGAACAAAACTTGAGCTGCAGATTGACGACTATTTGTCTTTTCGGAAGAAGATTTTAACGCTTCTCTCACAATTAGTACAAACATATAGACTGTTTGTACTGAAACTCCAAAAACGCAGCAAATCCGAAGCAATCTTGATATATCTAACCTCGGAAGAATGACCGATTTGAGACAGCTAATGACAGCCATCTTGAATTATTGCTTTTTCTTTCTGTGTAATAAGTCATGAGGTGTCTGTTGAGCAATATTCTCGTCTCCAGTGTCCCTCGTAAATCTCATCTAATACCCAAAGAAATTTCCCATCAAACGACGCGTAAAAAGGAGTATTTGCACAAAACTTTGTGTTATATTATAGACAAATTAGAATTTGACCAAATATTCATTCGTTGGAAAAAAAATTTTTAAGAAAGTTTCACTCGCTTGCCTGGTTGGGCCCAGAACGGTTGTGGACCAGCACTCAAACAATGATTTTAACAACAGCTCAAACAAACCATTTTTCTGCTGGACAACGTTGTGAAGACTCTGGGAAGGAGATTTTGATTGTAGATAGCCTTAGTAGAGCATTCCTTCCGATGCAAAAAAGCGGTGAAAAATAAAATCTTAAGCTCAAAATACTTTTAATTATATGCCCATTTAGCCAGCATGTCGTTTCCAACTCTAATCACCCACCCCGCAAAAATCGGTGTGATTATGAGTTTTAAGGAAAGGTAAACTAATTTTCGGAATAGTCTTTCAAAATATTGTCAAGATTTTCCAAGTAATATAAAGAAAAATTTCCTTTTATTTTCTTTCGATTGAAATCTATACGCAAACTTGTGGACTTTTGTCCCATCTAACAATGAGAAATTTGCGACAGTGGAATGAACATCAAATGCTTATGGAAAAAACATGGCTAGGGAAATCAATCACTCTTTCGGTTAAATGACGTTTCGAAACTGCACCTTACAGAACAAGAAGGGACAATGATTTTCATGGATTTCATCTCGGTAAACGAGATTTCGATTTAAACAGTTTTGCATATTTGATCATTTCGGAAATTCTCACCTTGCAATATTCACTTACTGTCAAAAAAAGAGGTAACGAGAAGAAAGAGATTGATCAGCCAGAAAAAAAAGCCATCATCGCTTGAGAAGTTTACTTTATGGATCATGGGAACGAAAGCTTTAATATCCTTATAGTCATTCATCACATAAAAATTCTTTTATATCGACACAAAGCGAAATAAATATGCACTATATTCATAATAACCAGGTGTTCAAATAATAATTAACTAATACTTTTTACTTGCAATATATCAGATATTGACTAGATCAGAATTAAAAAATGTGACTGTGGCATGATACCGCGCTACACTTAGAAATATCTTGAGTCCCGAGAGAACCGGTTTAGCCTGCTGAATACGGCGTTTTATAAATCACTAAAACGGCTAAACGGAAAATCCAATTGAAAACGAAAAATTGGAATGAAAAAAAAAAAACAACAACAACAAAAACAAAACAAAAAAAAAAAAACAAAAAAAACGTCCAGAAAGAACTTTGGCCAAAATAGGAAGACGAAATTAGAACAACATTGCCTGATATTTTGACCTCTATAATTAATCCATTTGAATTCATCTTTACAATATCTTTTTAGTGCGTTTTGACATTTTGAAAAAATGATGATTTAGTCTTTTGACAGCATTTGAAAATTAAATATGGTTCCCTACTCTTCAGTTATTATAAATACATCATTATGTATGACGATAATGCAAAACTGAGGGAAAACAATTAAACTCTTCATTTTTCAACATTTCCTGGGCACTATATCGCTTTCGGTAAATGTTACACAGGAAGAACAATTTAATAATAACACATTCATCCAAAAATAGGAAAATCCTCAACGCCCACCTACTTCCTAAGGTTTGCTTATGAACGTGCACTCATTATCTTCAATTTCCTTAAGTGCCATAACCATTACAAAGAGTAGAAATTCGTCTCGTCCATATGCTTAAACCATACATTTTGAGGTTATATATTTTAAAAATTACAGAGATGTTTTTCAATTCTGAAACCTGTCTTCTACTGCTACAGGCTCCTCTATTCTTAGTGATAGTACAAATAAGAAAAAGCGCGAGACTAATTAATGTTTCGTGGGCATAATGTCATAGTTAATGTTCCTGAATTTGAACGTTCAGTCGGCGTTTGTTCCGCACGGAATCCAAGTTACAAACGGGTATCTTCAGAAGTCTTAGAAGAAACACTATTTCTGTGATTTCGATCGATCTTACAACAAAAAAATTTATTCAACAAGTTGATTATTAGCTGACGAACCTCTCTGATCCTCCAACAATACAGGGGTGGGTTAAGGGTTGAATTAAACATTATAAAAGTCAGTGAGAAATTTCCCACTTTGATGAGTCGTAATTTCCCAGGTCGATCCGCAGTTATCCAGGCCGCAGTGACAGCGATTGATGGTAGAAAACAAACAAGGAGAGTAAGGTAGACGCAGATCAATGTTGCTATGGAGCGTTTGTACTGCAAAACATCGAATCCTCCGGTTTTAACGCCCGCCGCAGAAGATTTTTTCATACTAGAAGAAATCTGAATCTCGTGTTGTTTGAGAAAGCGGTAAATCTTGAAAATCGTGAATGATGGGATCAGGAGAAAAATGATAAAAATAATGGAAGACAGAATCATTGAAATGGAAGAACTCACAAGACGACCAAGAGGGAAACTCAGGCAAGTTATCCAAACAAATGCAATCACTGCTCTTGTTTTGTTGGCTGTAAGGGTTGACCGATAGGCGTGACGCTTACATAAGGTGAAATAGCGATCCACACTAATAGCCACAATCGTCAGAAAGGAAACTGCAAAAAAATAATCTGATGTCCACTGGAAGAGGATTCGCGAGTAACAGCGTACTTTAGAACCACCGATGATTCCGTATATACAGTAAATAACGTGTAATGGCTGTACAACAAGGCCGACCATCAAATCAGAAACAGCGAGACAGCACAGAAGGTAATTTGAAGTACGATTCAGGGTGGTAGCTTTCTTAAGCGCGAACAGAATCAAAGTATTACCCAAAGTGGCTGTTACTGAGAGGATAGCGTTGAAAACAGCAGCTATAATGTAGTTCGTGTGGAGTGTGCTTGGCGCTCGAATGAAAATGGACGGATCGTAACAGGTAAAAAGATCAGCGCTCGAATTAGCAGGGGATGCGTTGACGACCATCTTCGCTCTGTAGCTCTTCGCTCTTCTTTATGTAACAACTATCAATTTGCGGTCCGAACGTTAGTCTTTTATCCTCAATTGACAATGATGCATATGCATCTAGTTTTCTGGTTATAACGAACCTTAACTTGGCTATTTGCAATTAAAATTGACGTAAATTTGTTTTCACCTGTTTAGAATTGACGGACAGGAATATGATCCTCGGCTGATTTAATTCTGACTCTCTGCACAAAGCATATAAAATGGTGTCTCCGGCCAATGAAATCGCAGCCGATAATGTCTACAATAAACAGATTTTCTGATATTCGTCAAAGTAGAGTCTTCTATGCAAACATGCATGCACCGATAATGACAAAAGTTAGGTGGAGAACTGACCCAGGCTTTGTTAAATGCTGAAAAACCTAGATTTTTTCTCGTCCTTTGGACATCTAAGTATGTCCTTGAAATAGATGTATCTCCTCGAATTCTGCGATTGAAACGAATCGACGGAAATAACTCAAAAGCATGGTTACTCATGGTTATATTGACCAGTGGAATAAACAATGTCACTGATGTCTGGTTCTTCTTGTTTTTTGTTAGATTGTATTAGCGACAATTCTACAATCCTATGGACTTACGATCAGAACGACATGAAAAAGTGGAAATGATAAAATATGACAACAATTAACAAATTCTCTCTTCCTGAAAAAAGGGTTGATTGGAAATAAGAATAAACAGTTTTCTGCTTCAATTCAAACCTGGTATAATCATTACCAAAAATTCTCTATCGAGGAAGTCCCACCTAGAATAAACTATAATTAAAAACCAAAAACGGATTATATCATGTAATATCTTATTAAGGCAACGAACTCTGTTTGTATTTTGGAACTAAGTTATATATTATGCTCTTAATATTTAAGTTATTTACCCAGCAGGTGATCCATATCTTTAAAAGAATAATGTTACTCGTTGGGAATAGTTTGCAATCGCTGAAAGTAAATGTATTTCTGAATCGGATGACTTGCGGCTAAAAATTTATGCGTAAAATCTTTTCCTGAAATCTTCGAAACGAGAAATTTAGAGACTTAACAACGGCCTGTAGCTCGTAAGAGTTGTTCCAAATCGCTAAAACGAAAGTTCCGCCCTGTTTTCGTGAATTTGATGAGAAAGTCCTTGTGTCGGGTCTGTTGTCGAAATAAGGTGATCAGGTTACAGGATTTAGCGAATCCTACCCGCTCAGGGTTTCAGGAAATATATATAAAAATAAATCCTACTACTAAAAAAAGGGAAAACACTAAATTAGGCGAAGGAAACTTGAGATATATTATCACGCTAACGTAAGATAATAGTCGGCAGGATAAAAATCCATTAGCTCTGGAGTATTATGTGTTTTTGCGCACTTATCTAGAGGCCGATTGTTGATCGATGTCACTGACTAGAATTTTCTGAATCCACAGCTGCTTTTGTACGCTATAAAATTATCACTGAATGATCTTCCCTGGAGGCTTATTCCGCGACGCATAACAATGAAAGTTGTATGCGTAAAGTCATGTTCTAAGTTGAGAATGCTCGCATCACTGAATTGCATGCCTCAAAAACTTTTCTTTTCAATGTTTCTATTTCATAAATTGCTTCTTTGCTTTCGTGTTATTTACGCAATTATTCCTGCAGTTTTGATCAACATCGTCATTCATGATATTCAAATGATTCGTCTTTTGATTAAAGCTTCCCTTCAGGCGAGAATGAGTTAAAACGCAAATCATTACAATCAAACCATAATCATTAAGAAAAAAAGAAATAATTATTTGGATTAAAGAAAGTTGTCAAAAAGCGCTCAAAATTTAAAACAAAACAAAAGAGCCAGTGGATAAGTTTCAGTAATCTCCAAGGTCGACATGTAATAAAAAACTTTTCTTTCAGGTATATAAACGTAATGTGTCTGTTTAGTCATACTTTAATATAGCCTGCCATTTTTTCATTAGAACTGTTGAGAAAGGAATATTATATATCTTGGTAATACGAAAACTAAAAGCCACCATTTGTTTCACCTTTGAACTCCCAAGATCTGATTGTAGCTGCTAGGCATTTCCGTGTAAGTAAGTTATGAGAATTAGGTGTTAGATCAAGATAACAACTTCTACCTGATAAGTTTAAGTATTCTCATTACCTGATTCCTGGATAATGTACTTCTATTATAGGGAGAGGTTACACGATTATCACTTTTGGGAGTCAAAGAGTTAATCAACGCTGGCAATGAATAAAAGTTTATTTTAAAACGATATAAAAAAGTAATGTTTTGAAAAGAGTTAAAATGAGTCCCTGACACAATCATTTGGTTTCGGGGGTTTTCAGAGAAGACCGGTTTTTGGGTAAATTACACCAAGGCCTTTAGGGATTACGTATACTGATGTTAGAGACCAAAGGGTCAGTTCATACATCTCTACTAAGCTCGTGCGTGCTGACGCATCATTATTCGGCTTAATATGAAATATTGATTCTGCTCTTTTCGATTATAATCGTGTGTTACGGGAGATTGTATATATGATTATATGATATTTTTTATCGTTCTGGATTTTCAAAATATTGACAGGTTAGCATTGTTAACTGACCACAAACGACATCAGCAAGTGTTAGCTCCGTAAAATTCATTTTATTTCATTCTCGAAACATACTCTGTAAGGTTGCCGTGCTTGTAAATCTATGGTTGGGGACATCTAAGCTTTTGATTTCTTGAATCACTTCCAACTTAGTGATACACACACATGGATCCTCCTTAGAACTCTCTGAATATTCACCGAATGAATAAGAGAGAGCCAATATTACTGAAGGATGACGCATTGTTTTTGAAACAATAGTTTTGTTTGCACCTGAAATAGAGCTCACATTTGGCGGATTCAGTGATAACCAAATTTGTCTCAGGTAAACGTCATACGAAATACATTATGATATTCTAAGCCCGCTAATAAACCAAACTACTTTTTGCCTGAAGGAGACCTCAAGATATACCTAAGATCCACGCTTATAGTTTCTTTATTCAAATATACTTACGTAATAATATAATTACTAGTTAATGTGCGCTTTGAAACGTTAAGCAGCGAAGCGGCGAAAGGCGTGGAACGCAATAATAAGAGAAACCTACTTCTCAACTTGAAGCTTCGCAACTCGTTTTCGTTAGCAAAAATCAAGAAGCGGAGCTACGAGCTTCTTGCTCGAGTAGAGAACAAAGAGCAGCGAGCCGCGAGCTTCGAGCAGAGAACAAACGCTTGATTTCGCGCCCTTTCATTTTCCGTAGGATCTGCCGGCTGCGCAAGCCTGGTGATCACAAACAAGGAAAACACACAAAATCACGAATCATCACGTAATTCTATGAAAGTCATAAAGCATGTATGGTCAACAGGAAATGCATCAAACAGTGTAAACAATTCTGGAAGACCAATATCTTTCGATCGCTAAAATTCTATTTGAACCTTACGTCCACAACGTTCAATAATGTCGCTGGAATAACAGATGGTAACCTCTGTAGGCTTATTCAAGCTGATTTATTAAAGTTCAGTTTTAGCTTTGAAAACTGACCTACAAAGTTTCAGCAATTACCTTTCAGACTGAAAATGAGCGAGCGCGTTGACGTTTTGACTAAATTTATCGAAAACAATTTCTGATGTTTCGGAATTTATAGCAATGACTCTGCAACTTTTGGAATAAACATGAACTGGGGTTGTTATACAGTCGAAGTTCAGAAGCAACGATCCCGCGGTATTGCAATCTTAAATCGGTTAAAATTTTCTCGCACTAAAAGTTTCTGTTTTCATTTTAAGAGGGCTACTTTGGAGAAAGGCCAACATAAAGAATACTTTTCCTAAAAAGCCGTGTTTGTAGATCCAAGATTTTCACGGCTAACCTGAGGCACCGGGTTGTTAAAATCAGTTAGTCAAGTAGTTTGCAATTATATCTTCTTTCTGTGACATCACGGAGGTAACTCTGGGAGAATAATCTCTGGTATGTTGATCCATATCCCAGAATTGTCTTCAAGTGCGGGAAATCATCACTTTGAGCTACTCTAAGACAGAATTTTTACTTGGTCTCTAGAGGTTACGAACTTGACTTCTTTCACTACTGAACGGTTACGACAGAGAACATTAAGTACAATTTGCTTCAGCTCTGAAATCCGCCAGCAGTATATCAAAGGATTCACAGAACTGTTCACGTAAACCATGGTGAGAGCAAAGCTAAACAAAACCGAAGTTGAAGTATTCCATCCAGAAATGGCTACTGCAACTTTGTGACAAAGATATGGCAGAAATGAGACCACTGAAGCGCAAAATAGGTAAAACATGCTCACTACAGACTTCTTATAGCGAGCGAAATTCATACCATGTGTTTTTCTGATGCATTTCAGTGGGTTCACGTGCCTTCCCATCCTACAAGCTTGCTTGCGAAGGCAGAGGTAGATTTTTAAGTAAGCGCAGAAAGTTATGGAAAAAAAGACTGGAATTTGTATCATGCCTATAAGCGAGTATAAATCCTGTTTTCTGGTCCAAAATGACGACCATAAGCCTCCGCTTATCCAAATTAAAGCTAGCAGGAAAATAACTCTTCTTAGGGTGACAGTGGAATGATATTGTACGCGAAGGACCAGCGAAAGGAGCCGGTCGATACTAATAGCTGCCATTGTAAGAAATGAAACAGCCGAGAAGTGACTTCCTTCGATATGAGAGAAAATTCCTTCCTTGCAATATTTGTGAAGAATTCCGTTGATCTGTGCCCATCTGTAGACCACGAATAATGGCTGTACTATAGCACCGACTCCCAGATCTGACAAAGCGAGACTGCATAGTAACGCTTTAGATGGAGAGTGCAGCGACGAGGCTTTGTACAAAGCGTACAAGATGAGTATGTTGGCGAACACGGCGATTACGCTAAACACAGAATTAATCACACAGACAATTGTGTCTGACAACAGGATGACATCGCTATCGGCTTTGCTGAAAAATACGTCTAAATGCCTGCAACAAAGCGTTGCTTCTTCAAAGCTCTGGTTACCACCTTGGTATGATATGTTCAGCATCATGAAGTGATGTTGAACTCATAAGACCCTTCTTGCTTACTGACTCGTTTTCCAAATAACCAGGAATATATACTCTTTACTTTTTGTGTACACATGTATTATTCTTGCAGCTGCCGAGAAGGAAAATGGCTAAAATTGTTTTTTGGGTAATTTATACTGAGACAATATTGCATACATTTTCCGGTTCATTTTGCAAGAATGGACATAAACAAACCGCACGCGAAGAGTACTGCGTACTTTGAGATTAAGTGCATCGTCACCCATGACAACCCTGAGGAAAAAAAAGGGGAAAAATATAATAAAGCACATACAAATTATTGTGGTTTCTGCGTAAAAGACATCAACATGAGAAATAACATTTTTTGTTCTTCGGAGTTGAAGCAGCGAGCTAGACGCCTTTACCTCTGATTTCGTATTATTGCATGATTCAAGCAGTTTTGAAATTCTCTTTGGCGAATCGAAAGGGCTTGTATGAATTTTTATTCCATTTCGTCAATCATAAATCAGCTTGATATATAAAGATATGAATTCCTCATCTTACCCCCAAGGTACAACTACTAATGACAGTTTCGTTTGTCTGCCCAGGCGTGTTGGAAAATTGTCCAAGAAAGATTCAAAAGAAAGCAATAGCTAGACAGTGAGGTAAACTTCTCCTTAAGTAGAATGTAGGGAAGGACTTCACCTGTGAGAGGTAAAACTAAAATAGAAGAAGATGTAAAAAGAAAGGAAAGACGAAGACTTATCTCCTGTCTGAGATAAATTGCATAAGTTTTAAATGTATTCGCCATTATTTGCTCTCTTTGATTTCTACCATGGATTGAATAAAACAGAAAAGAAAAAGCCCTCCTAGAAAACTATCTTGTCCACGATCAAAACGCTTCACTCTGTATTTCCCCATAGTCAGATGATTAGCTATTTTTTAGTTAGCGTGTTCAGAGATCAAAAAATTGTCTTTTAGATGCTATATCTTGCTTTCAATTGATCACAAGAATCTTGGGGGGAAAATCGATTCAAAGATACGATTTCAGTTACTTAGAAGAATACCGTAAAATAAAAAGCATATCTAGAATTTGTTTTGTGTAAAAACAAAAGCACGAAGGAAAACAGTTTGATTTAGACAGTTATTCGGAAGTAATAGTCAAAATGATGCTTTCTTAAAATCAAAAGCTCGCACATAAAATGATAATTTGATCTGGAAATCTATAAAACCAACATTTTTAAGCGGACGTAATTCAACGGTCGTTGTTATGGTAGAAAACAGAAAAGGAAATTTATTGAAAAGTAAAGACCTGTTTCAAGTCAGATGATGACGTTTAAATTTCCGAGCAAAAATTGAAATGCCTTTTTAAGGCAGGAAAAGTCTGTGATTATCATGTCATCTCAAGATATTATCAAATGTATGACAGATAAGGTTCATCTGTTGGAGGTCTTTTAAGCTTCTAATGGAAACATTCATCCAGTTTTAAATGGCTATCATGAGTGTTGCCAATACCTCCTCTTATAATTGTTTTTTCATAATAAGCTTTTCGTCAATTTCCGGCTTGAAGCCCCCAACAAAGTCTATCTGACCTTTTATGGAATCAGTACATCATATATCGCAAAATATTACCTGTATCTATTTTTATTCATGTTTTCATTTCAAGAATCAGCTTACTCACGAATAAGTTATTCACAGAAATTTTAGCCATACAAGTTCTGCTAAATATTTTAAATAGCTCTCCTTCTTGAATCAATCCTGATTTTGTGTCGCGCGATACAAAAATGATATTTAGTCAGCAATTGAAGCATTAGAAAACGTGCTTTAGTAAATATTTGTTACTGGTTCTAATCCCATTCATGGTCAATCTAGGGAAAAGATGCCTTGATTATTTTCCGGACGCGGTATTTGTACTAGCCTAGTTTCCTTTCTCGTTATTAGGCTTTCTCTCCCTCCTGGTGCCCAGAAGGACATAAATACTGGCGTGTATATACTGAGTTTCATGCATCATTTCCAGATATATCCGGGAATGAATCATTAGCGCCAAAGTATGAGGGTCTGAGGCTCTTATTCTCTAGTTTTTAAAAAATTCCTCTCTGAATGTGTGACGCTGAACAATTTCAGAGTGTCAAATGGAAACTTTTGTTGAAATACTTTATACTATTTCAATGGCCAATGCGCTAAAAAGCCTTCAGTGCATGTGCAAATGGCAGTAAATTTAGCATTAATTCATGTTTAGAATTTTTTCAGCGCGAGTAATGAATGAATATTCTTAGAGGACAAAATCACAGAAAAGACAATGGAAAAAGACAATAGGAAAAGAGAATAGGAAAAACAACAAGCAAACCAAAAAAAGAGAAAGAAAAAGAAACATTGAATTTGTGGCATGTTTACCTTCATTTACGTAAAATAACAGAAATAAAAACATAGTCAAAGAGATTGAATAAATAAATCTGCATAACAGGTCAAATTGAAAACCAAGAAAAACACGATATGGACCAACCACAGCTAGGGCGTTTGAAAACCTACTTTACAGCCTTTGGAAACCGAACAAGAATGTTTGATTTCAATTACGCCTTACTATCAGTTGCTTTTGTTTTGTTTGTAAAGCAGTACATAATTAAAAGCTGCCAGATTCAATTGAAATTTAGTAGTTGTCGCTAAGAAAAGTCCAGCCGTAATGTTGGACTGAAGAATGCTATAGTTCTTTCCTTAACAGGGCTATAGTTATAAAATGAAAACTCTGCCAACGACTTTCATCAACGTGACGCCCTCTCTGTTCTCGACAAAAAAGACTCCTGGGAACTGTTCTGGAGTTGTGCTGCAAGCTGTTTTTGGATTAATCGCCTTTCTCTCAATTTTTAGTAACTCATTTTTCTGTGTGGTTCTACTTAGAAAGCGATGTCTTCTAAAAAAGGCTTACAACATCCTCCTGATTGTTTTGGCAATGACGGATATGGTTACAGGTACGAATTTTGGAAAGTAAAATTGTTACAGTAATCCTTGTACTCCTGGTGAATATTGGTATCCAATTTTTTAATCACCTAGAAATAGACATGTAATCTTTACTTCTGCTATTTGATCAACAATTTGACAATCCAACTTTTCATCACAAGTCATCCATTAATGTGAGTGGTACGCTGAGAATCTAATGGTTGTGCTGAAGCTGCCCCTATGTTTTTGGTGTTGTTGTCGTTTGATGCTGATGTCATTTTTATTTCCTAAAATGTACATTGTTATGATCTAGATACCGTTACCTAGAATTTATATATATATATATAATGTCTTATTCACGGTCATTTGTTTCTTTATTCCCAGGTGCTGTTATCGTAGTTACACCGGGTTTTATAGTACCGGTAGATAAATTCCCATATCCTACAGGTATGACTGGATTAAGCTTATTCTGTCATCTGATTGACACAAAGTTCCTTATCTTCACCATGGGCAAAGCTTCTGTTCTAATGGTGATGTGCCTGGCAATTGAGCGATGGCTCGCGTCTGTTAAACCTCTACAGTACAGAATACAGTTTTCGAGTAGACGTTTGGCGTGTTATATCACAACAATTTGGATTTCAAATTGTGTCTTACAATTGTACCGTCTGTCTCGGAGAATTCCAAGCGAAGATGGATGTCGTTGGGCAGAGGAAACGCTTAGGCCAATCACCCTGAAAGCAATGACAATATCATACGTGTTCGTCACATTTGTTATTCCAAGCTTTGTAACATGGGTTACCCTCCTCCATATTTGGATAAGCGTGAGAAAATCACCCGCAATGAATACAGCCAGCGGTATCCAGACAAAAACTAGACTTCTACACATGTGTGTTTTGACAGCACTCTTCTTAACACTGTGTTGGCTTCCAGATCAACTGAACTATATCCTAAGTATATTTAAAGTGACGTCTCTATCGAGTCCAATAAGCGACTACCTTTTGGTTTTGGCTTTGTCGAACTCGTGTATAAATCCATGGATATACTGTTTAGCAAACGAGGAGTTTCGCAAAGAATTTCGAAAATTGTTTTCCTTTAGAATTTGCTGCAGTGCCAAGATTCCTTTCAAAAGTTCCTCGTACTGCTTGAGGAGCAAAGATATCGTGAAAGACTTAGAAATGGTTTTAGATAACACCGTTTGATTATCCCAATCTAGCGCACTCAAATTTCATTTCTTAGCGTCTGTACACCACTTACTAGCTCTGCTATTTGATGTAGCTCTCTACTTTTCATCTTCGCCCTGGATTAATGACTAGGTTATTAGTTCGAAGAACATGTACCTCGTTAAATTATGAAGAAGGTGGGAGGCTTGGTTTATCTCACTGTTAAGTAATAGTCTTAAGACACTCTTTTTCTTTGTGAATTTCCCATGAAGTGTAATTCTTATTTCATCTGTGGGTCCCTTACAATTTTGATATCGCCGATTTTTTTCTTTTTTCGCCGAATCTTAAGTAGGGCTGCACTAAAAATTAAGGTAGAAATTAATCTTGTCAAGAGTCAACGTTGCGAAATACAAGATCCATTTTATTTACGCAATTCATTATGATTCGTAAGCTACGCATGACTTGATGACCGATGGACAAAGATAGACAGCTTAATTGCTGTTACCTTTATAAAAAAAAATGAAAAGCATTCTCTTATCAGTTCATCTTGGCTAGTCTTCCAAGCATATTTGTGTTGCAATAGATTGGTAGGATAGGAAAGACTTATACCAAAAATGAAGTTTTAAAGAAATCATAAACTTTTTCTTAACATCATCTTTGAATCAAGAGAGACATGGGAAAAACAGAAGTACTCTAGTATTCTTATTTGATAAGACTCTCAACCAACGAGCGCGATAGTTTCCATATTTCTCATTATGACAATACAATTGATGGAATAGCTTCAGCTGGTTCTTAACCATTCATTCCTACTTGAATTAATTTAGGCGAGAATAGATGAATAAATAAAAGATGAAACAACGGAAAATATAAGATTGTTTTCTTCGTTTTAAAATGCGAAAGAAAATTCATTCTTTTTTCATAAGCTTCGCAAGTAGTGGGAACGTCGAACTGATGTATAACATTTTCTTTTGATGGCAGCTGCAATCATTTTTTTTTAGTGGCTACTTACATCTCTAAAATTTATTACTCTTCATTCCTCCCCGTCGGCTACCTTTTTTTTTTTGTAGATCATCGAACTTTTGCGCTCGCACGAAATATGGTAATGTTGTATTTTGGAGTTGTTAAAGGATCATAACGAGACTGGATCGCAATACCTTTTTAATGAGTTTGTCAAAACTGCTCTCTTTAGATGCACGCCACTAACGTAACAATTAAAACTCATTTTTCTCTGGCGCTTTAAAACAATTATGAAGCAAGTCGGTGGGATGATTCTCTATTACCCAATAGGCACACATGCGAAGGACATCATGTGTCTTTTTAAGGTCATTAAATTTCGAACTGTGTCACGGTTCTTATAGGCAAAAGTTGAAATTTGTCGCTGACAAATAAAATTTTTAGTTTCATATTGCATAATAGATATAAGCTGTTGGTTATTCATGGGAAGCGTAATGTCTTAAATTAAAAAATACACTGAGTGCGTGAGAAAACAAATATTTGAATTTTAGTCCGCGTTCTTTCGAGAAGACTTACGTTGCAAATTAAGAAGGATATTAATCTTGACATTTACATCAAAGGTCGTAAAAATATATCCATTTCATTGATGGTCAAGGCTATTTAGAACGGAAAACATTCGATTGAAAACCAACAAGCAGATTCTGGTTTTTCTTGAGGGAAATTACACATTTGGAAGGTCTTTGGCTCTACAGCGTGACGTTCTCAGTGGTCTAGCTGTAGAGCTCATAAAATTATAAACCACACTGTTTCAGTTTGATGTGATGTTGAGTTGGTGGTAAAGGCGTCTAACAATGAAATGGAACGAAACAACTTCAGCAGGTTAGTAGAGTTTAATAGCTTACGTTTATTAATAGTGATTTAAGGAAACATATTTTAAACTAAGCAACATTCTCGTTTCTCTCTTCTTTAGAACAAAACATTTAAAATTCAACAGGGAAAATTAAAAATTCTGATGGTCGCGGGGTGCGCCTGTTCTCTAAGTCAAGAATACAGATATCGATGTAGCCGTTCTTCATTTAAAATTGATTACAAACCTTTTCCAAAGCCTCCAAAGTTCTATTTGAGCAACGCACTCGAGTATGGCGAACCTAGATTGATCAAAGTTGACATTTATCTTGAAAAACATGGAAGGCTGAGGGGAGTCGTGCTTGTAGTTTTAATCTTCTCATTATTTCAACGAAAGAAAACGGCAGATGGTTTTTTTGAGCTTAACATACGTTGTTTCAAACAAAATCGAGTTCAGGAGAAAAAAATCATCTCTTAACATGGAAAAAAGAAAAAAAAACTGACAGACTGCTATTGACATCTACGATCAAAACAAAGATAATGGCGGAAAAACCTTTAAATAGGATTCTCCTTTGTTTAGTGGCAAACTTATTTCCTCTTTGACCACAGGTGAAAATATAGTGCGTCTGGAAGGTGAATAATTTCATAATTTGTTGACATATTTGACTCATCTTAAGTTTTATTTTGCCTAACTTTGTGGAGTATATTGCTATAAAATGCAGCTTAATTTTGAAACTTTCCCAAATGAAATCTCCCAGAGAATTAATTAAGCTGGTCTACTACCTCCCAGAGCATGATTCATTAATGACCTTCACGCGCTTTTATCATATACCTTTTGGAGGCAATTATTTATTTTCGATTCTCTGAAAGAGGGTACCTCCATCAAAATGTTTGCTGGTGTTAATGATTACATCTTTATGTGATATTTCACTGGAGGCTGAGGAAAGCTTAGCTTTATCTATCAACAGTAGCATTTTAAACGAATCGCGTATGAAAAAGAGAAAACATTGGGAGTTTTTCTTTCCTCGTGAAATAATGTATTTGAGGTCTGAGTTTCCTTTCTGCCCAAAGCGTAAAATAAGGCATGCCGTGAAGTTGAAAAAGAAAATAAAAATCAATTTATTTTCTGGATATCTTAAGAATTCATTCCACAATTTATTTTGGCCTAAGCTTAATGATATCATTGTCAGTAATACAGATTAAGCTTAAAATTTTCCCTGGTGCAATCTTGGAAAGATTAATTATAAGACAGCTGATACGCCCTCGCGATCTTTAAGAACGGTATCACATAAGTTTGAAGGGAAATATTATATCTTCCAATTCACTGAAGAAAAATAACTTACTTAACTTTTTTTCCCCCATCTTTTGCGTATTTTTTTACTTTTTCAGTAAATCGCCGCCAAGCTCTCCATATTGAAAAAAAGAAAAAGAAAAAAAGCGAACCAAAATCGATTTATCTTTTTCAATGCAGCAGATGTTAATCACCTTAACGAAACATTGTACCCTCTGATTTTGGAAAAGTTTTACGTTGAGTTACTTTTTATTATTTTGTCGTTCACATCTCACTGTTAGGGTGCAGCAGACTTTTAGGTGAGTACAGTCTAAAAACAGAACATGATATGGAAGAAATTTGAAAAATGTTCTATATGCTTGTACGCAAGGTTTATTACGGTTTCAAAGTGCAAATGCAACGGAAACAGTTCTTTTTTTTTTGAAAAGCGTCTTACTTACAGGAAACCAGACATGTCTGAGTGCTCATGTTTATATAGATCGCTGCATCCATGTTTTTGTTGTCGCCCGTTTGAAACTGATCAGATCGCATCAATAAAGTGAAAATTTTTTTGGCCATGTATAGAAAATCGCAGTTAAGAGGGCATGATTCTAAAGCTATCAAAAGCGACAATAACGTAAAATTATCATCATAAAACGAATGCGTCTTTCTACAATCTACGCCGAGCAAATTGATCTCCCTCAAGACATTTTTCCGTTTGCGTAGCTAAAAAATACTTGCTCAGTCCGCTTCCTTTTTTAATTGGTGTGTGCTGTTTTTACCTTCAATTAATTTAACGTGAGAGTTAATGACCAACAAAGTGCGACAAATGACGAAAGAAAACGGCAATGACCCAAATTTTTCCATCAGCTCATAAATAATTCTTGGCAAAAATTAATTATATTTGCATTTTCTTCAAATATTGACGAGAAATAATTTCTTTATTGTTAATGGATTGGAGAATGAGGATAAAAATAAAACAAAATCAGAGTCGTATTTGGAAGCCGTACACATCTGTCTATGTTAAAATTTGTTCTTGATGACTCAAAAGTGAATCACCATAATGTTAACTGTATAAGCTCTGGCGGTCCAAAAATGTATTATCATGCCGCCCACGTACGTTTAGTACCAAACCTTGCAAACTTCTTCTTGTTCTGTCTCGAATTTCCTACGGGCGGAAAAACGTGCGTCCTGCTGAGCTAATCATGAAAGCCTACTCGCACCCCAAATATTTTGATTCAAAGACATGAAATAAGCATATTCTTAGCATAAAATAATTTGGTACTTCTAGATAGATACTTAATATTAAATGAAGTTTCTTATGCGCACAGGAGACCCAGAGAATGTATCCTCAGAATACATTGGGTTCGCTGTGGCATTTTCCTTCATGATTATAACAGACCTTCTTGGCAATACTCTGGTCATCTTAGTTATCCTCAAGAACAAAAACATGAAGACAGCTATGAACTACGTTTTGATCAATTTGGCGATCGCTGATATCTTGGTAGCCATCTTTATGGGGATCAAGTTTGTGATTGGCCCAACGTTTACCCATCCAGCGGGACAAATAGGGGAATATCTTTGTAGATTCATTTCTGGGGGAACCACTGCATGGACTGCAGCAGTTGCGTCAATTTACAGCCTGGTTGCTATCGCTGTTGAAGTTTTCTATGCCACTTTTCAACCCTTTAAGAGACGGGTGGGTAAGGGGAGAAGCCTTCGAGCGACTATTGTGGTCATTTGGATTATAGCAGTGTTATGGGGCCTTCCCCTATACCTTTCAGTCACATACAACGATGAAATGAAGACGTGTGCAGAACAATGGCCTCATTCTATACTACCAAAGATTTATAGCTTTGGATGGATCATTGTGGGAGGTGTAATTCCTATTGTTGTCATGAGCGTTATTTACTTCAAGGTGAGATATCAAGTGATACAGGTTCATTTTCATTTAATCCCAGAGAAGGGGGCTGAGGGACTTCCATGGGTTGTTATGCACATGTCAATCAGTACACACAGCTTAAATCCGCCTATAAGAATTGATTAATTTATAAACTAAATATATAGCTAATTGACTAACAAACTAAGCGATTAACTAACTGACCAATTAACTAACTAATAACTTGTAAGTAACTAATTTACAGACTGACTGACTGATGTACTGACCGACGGACTCTCCGACGGACTGACTTACTGACTAACTGTCTGACGGACGGACGGACTGACAGACTAACTGAATGACTGGCTTTCTGACTGACAGGCTTACTGACTGACTGATGGACTATGAGAGAGACTGACTATTTTATTGAGAGACTGACTGACTGACTGTCTAACTTAATAACAAAAGATTACGTCCAAGCGGAAGGATTCAACGTGAATTTATCTATCAAGAGAAAGCTAACAGCATAAAACTTTCTTCCAGGTGGCACGTCACCTTTGGTTCAATAGCACTGTCGGTAAAAACCTCTCTCAAATGGCTTTCATCCGATCCAGGAAACGAATTACCACCATGGTCTTACTAGTGAGTGCTATATACGTCGTGTGCTGGGTACCCACGTTAATAATCTACTTTTTAGCCAATGTTATTCCATCAGAGTCTATGTATTCTGTTCCGCACAAGACAACTATAGTACTCGCGACCATCAACTCTTCTATCAACCCTGTGGTGTACAGTCTCCGAAGTCAACAGTTTCGTCAAAATCTATACAAGTTGGTTAGGTGCCGTTGGATGACAATTACAACTAAGATTGCGCCTTTCCTATGACAATGTCCGCTGTGATTAGCTTGGATTTATCCATACGTTAACTGATAGTGTATTTTTTGTGATGGTGTTTTTGTTTATGTTTGCTGTATTAGCGCCTATTGTTTATTCATGACCAATGATAACCAATCGTTGCCGAAAAGTAAATTGCATTCTTTTCTTTGCATTTACCAGGAGTGTTTGTTTACTCAAATGACTTAAAACTTTGGCCCATGTATCTTTATTCCTTTCTGCCCATACCTCATCGCTTTTGGAAAATTCTGCATCATTATTACTTCTGCCATTGCGTGACTTAAGAAAATACATTAAAGTGAATTTTCATCAGAGATTAATCATTGGATACGGCTTAGCCTAAGGCATTTTTTAAAGTAAAATTTCCATTTACACTGTTGTTATGGTGTCAATGTTTCGTAAGACTTCTTTTACGGCGCTACACACCTGTTAGCTGTATACCGCGGAGAAAAAATTTAGCCATTTCTGCTTCGCTTTGATCAGGCTAGAAGAAGATATTTTCCTGCGAGATATATTCTTGTTACTGAATGGGAACACGGTGAATTTTTATCAGAAACGAATCGCTGGAGACGACTTAGCTCGATGCATTTTTTTAAAAGCGCCTAAGTGAAAATTCCATTTACACTGTTGCCTTGGTGCCAGTTAGTCGTAAGACTTCTTTTACGATGCTATGCGCTTACGAGCGCTATACCTCGGAAAACGACTTTAGCCAACACTGCATCGCCTTGATCAGGCCAGTAGAAGATATTTTCTGGCAAGAATTATTCTTGTTACTAAATGGGAACACGGTAAGTGTTTCAATTCTTCCTTCGACTCTTGACAAGTGTGCTACGAAAAGGAAGAATGCCGAAAAAGCAAGTTTTTTTTGGTCTACATGATCATGGCCAGATAAACTAGAGATGCCATTGATTCGAAGAGAGTGAAGGATTCTTGCTGGTTAAAGTTAAAACTTAAAGTTAACTTGTATAAATTGAAAATTCCCTTTCAAAGTAGTCTGTTTCAACATAAACTAGTTGTGATTGTTCATGATTCGAAGAGTTTTGGGAAGTGTCAATTAATTTTTGCCTGCTGGTTAAAAATGTTAAAACTTCATTAACAATCAAATAATTCCGTTTAAATCAAAATAAAAATATCTTTGGGATAATTTATCTCCCTAAACAAATGCACCAATTGAAAATTTCCCCATTACTTTCAAAGTTAGTCTGTTTCTAAATCATTGCATCATGCATTATAATCTTTGGTTTAAAAATCCAAAAAATTAATTCGAGTTTTGAATTCGGTCATGAATCGCTTAAAACCAAAAACAAATAATTTTTTATTAAAAAGTATATATTAAGTATTGTTCGGTCTGCATTAAAGGAAAAAGATCTATTGGACACTATTTTTATTGGTTTAAAGATTTCGCAAGGGATATGACCCTGTCCATTTTGAAATATAATGAAAGAAGAATGGTGCAGTAGAGATCCCTTATTAATCAAATATCCATTTCCATTGTTGCTTAAAAAAAAGATATATCGAACGGTATTCTCACTAGTATGAAGATTTCGCAAGAGGTATGAGGCTATCCATTTTGAAATGAATTGAAAGAAGAAAGGTGCAGTAGAAATCTCTTATTAATGAAGTATCCATTTCCACTGTTGCTATGGGGTCAACAAGTCGAAAGACTTCTCTTTCTTCATTGATGTTGTACACCTGTTTACTCAACATCTCATAGCACAGTTTAAACCGAAACTGCATCGTTTTGATAACGCTGATAACAGCTATTTTACGGGTTGCGGACAGGGAGAGCGGTAAGTAAACATCTCAATTGTCCCAACAACTTTGTAGCAGGTAAGTTACAGAAGATCGCAAAGAAACAAATTCAGGAAAAGTATCATTAATGACAGAATATGTTCCATATAAAAACGTCACGTTAAATTACTGATGCATTTAAAGAAACAAGTCATGCTGTGTTTCCTCCTTTTTATGAATTTGCATTGTTCAATTTTCTGATAGGAAGTAAAAGTCTTAATTCAATTTTGTCGCTGCCTGAATTGTCAGTCAGAGCAGAAATTATTTTTAACTAAACTTGTACTTCATATTTCTCAGCAGGAATTTCTACCAGAAATAACCAAATCGGTAACGCTACATATTTCACTAACTTAAAGCTTGCTTATATTGCTTTGGTTGTTGATTTCAACTCAGCTTAGATATATTTAGCAGACGATTTTTATATTGAAAAACAAGCCAGAATATACATTAAAAATACACAAATATCAGGTGTTTGTAAAACAAATTGGGGACACCTTCCGAGAGGATTACTTTGTCATCGATACCTTCATCTTGAAGCCTGAAAATTACGTAATTCTTTTCCTCAAGCATTGTTTGGTAAATTGGGATAAGAAATAGCAGTTTGCGGAGATCTTAAATAGCATGATACATTTAACAAAGTGAAGAATATTCTCGTAAAAATTTCAGTTTTTGTAGTTTTATTTTTTGAAAATAATAGGGGAATCATTTCAGAGGAAATCAGTCTGAGACTCTTTGCATGCAAATATGTTAATAACACCATAATTACATAAATAATTCATTTTCAACCAAGATGGTGAAGAATGAGTCTTTCAGAAACTCCTTAACCTTCTTTTCTTATCTGAAAGTTCACTGACAGCATTTATCATACAAGGGCCAGTTGGGGTAAAGGAGAGGGGTTTGGGGGAGAACCTAGTCTGGCAGTGTTTTTTCCTGTGCTTCAAAAGTTTCAAACCATTTCATTACCATCAAACACTCTGTTACGTAATCTAGTAGATAAGTTAAAAGCTACGGGTTTCCAAATTTGAAAACAGGTGGTATGAGATATCTTGCACATTTCCGGAGAAGGAACGTACGCCCTAAAGATAACTTTTGTTTCACTGACCCTTAATTTGAACAATTAAGTTACAAGTAAAGAGTTGTGACAAAGTAAGGTCTGAAAAAAGTCTCTTGTTCTTCTTTTATTGAAAATTTCTGGTGTATTTGCACTAACACGTCATTTTGTGAATTCTACATAATTTATCATTGGCATATTCGTTCATTTACTGATGCGCAAAATTACGAAATAAAATTTCTCTACGCTAACACCACAAGTTGTAACTAAACCTGTAAATTGTTGATCCGCTTAGATTTTTTCGCTAAAACTATGGATAAAATAAAGCCAGCCATTGTTATCGTAAATTGCGGATTTATCTCAACTGGAAATCAATCTCAGACGGTGGATCTTACCGAGAGTCAATAAATTTGTCTCAAAATGTACTATTCGCTCTACAAATACTGTGAAATTCTTCACAAATATAAAACAATGGTTGAATTTAACTTTTTTCGTCAATTCACTTTAAAAAATCTGATATTTTCAGGATTTTATGATGTTTTATGTCCCAAAGATATTCAAGATAATTCCTTACTTCTCCATGAAATATCTTTAAATGATATCGTCCAATTTTCATTTAACTTTTAACGATGATGGTCACGGGTGAATTTGTTCCTTTTGTGAATCTTTGGAGTCAATCTTAAATACCCTTTGAAAAAAATTGTGATAAAAAAAGAGAAGGAGGTGGTTGCTATTTTAGTCCAAAAGGGATTAAGGAAATTACTTTCCTTATTACTTGTCACAACATTTGCTCGGACAGAAACTTTAATTAATTGGTTTACAAAATTAACATAATCTCCTCCCCTCTCATATCTATGAAGCCGCGTGGACCCAGGATACAAAAGATACTTTGTCAATATTTATTATAATTACTTATCTGCACGCAAGACTGATATGTTATCTAAGCGTTGACTGATATGAATTTTTGTCGAAGGGTTCCTGATTGTTTTCATCAGTTGTTTAACACGGGTAGAGATATAACGTCAAAAAACACATCCTGGCAGTTCGCGGAAGAGTTGTTTAATAAGAAGTCTGTTGAATTAAATTTTTGCTGATCTAAGGACAGGTAAGCATGGAACTCACATAATAACATTGCTTAGGCCAAGAAATAACAATTCTTCTTATATGTCTTCATGCATTTGTGAAACATGATCGCTGTTTTCATTTTGCTGTTTATTTTATTCGCCATTTCTTTGCTGGGTAGATTGTCTGTTGTCATAATGAATGTAAATTGTGCGATGTCGGCAATTAAAAGACTTTTTTTTGTCTTAAAATTGTCGTTATTTTGCTTTCTTCGAATGCTCAAATTGATCAAAAAGTTGTAAAACAAAAAAAAAATGAAAATTTATACTTTCGTAGCTTGAAATATAGCAGAAAAGAAAATAACACAAAAATAAATAAACAAATAAAAAGGCACCCTAAGTTTTTGCAATTAACGCAGAGTTCTAATAATAATGAATTAAAATTACAAGCAACATATTTACTGATTGAGAATGAAAAACGGGCTACGTGTATTGAAACTTTTCAGTGATACAATAGGTGAATGTACATCAATAACGTTTGAGAATAAGCTTTTCCATGCCTTTGATAAAACTGGGTGAGTTCATTATCATAACGTAACGTTAAAAGCTGAAAATTAAGATATTTTTATTACAAGTTTTTCCGCACTTTTGTCTTATATGAACAGTCAAAATTGTAAAATATCAGACTTTCCCTGAGAGACTCTGCACGTTTATGAGACCTGCAAAAATTGTTTCTAGATCTAGTTCGGGTCTAAACAATCGGCACAGTTAATGAGCATGTGTTAAAATCAGTTCTTCAAGAAAACAGTTATTGTCTTTGACGCAAGTCAAATGGGGACTGGCGCTGGGGAATTCAGGCAACAATTATCCGAATTTTCGTTTTCTTCGGCTCTGCAACGTGGTTGCACGAGATTCTACTGTGTTTCTTCCGTAAGAACTGTCTTTAAAGCATGCGTCATCTAAGTAAAATAAATTTGTTGAAGCAATTTCTTAAATCTAGTCAGGAAATTGTGTTCTTCTCTGCATATGTTCGACTTCTGTTTTATGTTGAAGTATTTTTTGTTTTCAAAAGTTGGCAAAAACAACAAAAAAAATGTTAATGAAAATGAAAACTATAAAAAAATGAAGCAAAAAAACAAGTCACACACGTTATCAGAAAACACTCTTCTACTTCAAGGTAGGTTTAAATAGAAGGTTCGCTGTAAAGAAGGTTCGGTAAACATAACCATATATTTTAATCAATACTTAGAAGTCCTCCTTCCTGTTTGCATTTGCAAATAAGCAGAAAAAAGTAACCTGCTGTGATGATCAATTCTTCCTTAAATTCCCTTTGAAATCTTAAGTTCCAGTCATCTTCGGCCCCTTCAGAGACATACTTAATGTTCCTTTTCTTAAGGACCTTTGTTATACGATTTATTTATCATGCAGTAAATCAGAACGATCATGTCGCTCTACACGGATTCAGATTCAGCACAGATTGGGATCACTACCATGTTCTCCATTCTGGTCAGCACGAATCTCATCGGCAACACAATCGTGGGTCTGGTTATCATATTGAACCGAGATATGAGGTATTTCACCAAGACTGCAACGGATTTATAATGCTTGCACTCATCGTTATTTTAACTCTTTTCACAACACACAAATTAAACAAGGAATATCACACTGCATTAATTAAAATGCTCAGATTTCTTTACACTGGTCTCAACTAATACCTATTTTGAAAAAGGTAGACTGCTACAGTAGAACCCTGCTAACTTGAACTTACAAAGGAAACAAAAACATGAATTGAGTCTGTTAGTTAAATAACTAAAAAATGGGTCAAGGAATTGAATCTCGTTCGAGTCTTGTGTCCGGTTTATTGTGTTAACAATGAACCGGTATTGATGTTATTATTTATGATTATTCAGGACTCCCATGAACGTTCTACTTCTAAACTTGGCTGTAGCAGATGCCATGGTGGCGTTGTTCATCGCTCCGCGCTTTATTTTGATCCACACCTTCGAACATCCAGATGGACAGGCAGGGACATGGGTCTGCAAGCTTCTGACTGGGGGAAACCTTACTTGGACTGGCGGTGCTGCATCAGTCTTTACCCTTGTGGCAATTGCGTTTGAGCGATATTATGCCGTGATGTATCCTTACGGCAACAAAGGGAAACTTACATACGACAAGCTAAAGGTAGAAGTATATACATAAGTAGGCGCTGTTTTAAAAACGACCACGGTAACAGCAAGACAAGTAACAAACTAACAATTATGAAACGCTCTTTTTTGCCAGCGGTTTACGAAGCCTATAATTCTACGAGGCGCGTTTCAAGCCCGCGTTAAATGACGAGAAAATAAAGCTACGACTTCAATTGAGCTACTTCTCTGAATTGATCTGCGAAAGTTCTGTAGCTACTTTAAAACGAAAGAGAGGCGTAGATGGTGCGGAAAAGTTTATTACTGACCTATACCGTTATAAATGAAAAATTAAGGTTACTTCTCCCAGAAACATCAGGACAGGTGCGATTAATTTATCTAAGAAACAAAAATTAAAGCCAAGATAAACCCTTCAATTTATAATTTTTATCATTCAGTATTGAAATGCATTTATGTTTTTATTGATTGACGTTCATCTTTCGCGCCTTTTTTGCTTCCGACGTTTTACGGTTTTTGAATAAAGTGTACACAGTTATTTCATTAATCATACTTTTTTAACAGATCATCATTCCTGCATCTTGGATTGGTGCAGGTATCCTCAACATTCCCCTATTCCTGACAATATATTTTGACAAGAAGAAAAACTTTTGCATGGAATACTGGCCCCCACCTGACTGGCTTCCGAAGGCATATAGCTCCACATGGTTCTTTGTTGCTGGACTCATTCCGATACTGTTGATGATCATTTTGTATTCCAGGGTAGTATATGTGCTCTGGTTCCAAAAAGAGGATGGCACTGTTGAAAACATCACGCAAAATACCCGGCAGGTATCCCACACACTATCGACTATATAATGATCTAATCCTTTAAGTGTAAATTTCCAGCATATGACATTGCACTTTAAACGTATATCTCTTTCTGCATTTGTCAGTTATTGTTGTGTGTCCCAGCCAATTGTAACCCAAAAGTGATTCAGGATTTGTTTTCATCACGGGTTTGATGCTGAAACCAAAAGCAAATAATGACACAGAGTCTCAAGTGGTTATACCCTGTATAATTCATATTTTCTTGGTTCAGTAACTCTTGCGGATTTTTAAGATAGGTTCCTACTCAAGGCGAACAAATATCAGTTTGCTAAGGACTCATTCGAATGATCCAACCTTGTGGTGCCCCTCCAGCTCTGAACGACTCGGAAAGTCAGAGCATTTGAAATTATTAGGCTTCTTGCTGATTCCTTGAACAGATCATTACACTCTGAAATTATTAGCCCTAGTCATTTTAGACAACTGACGTTTTAGCATGCAAAACATAAAGTAATGCCTGTTCGAAATTTTAACACCTGCGAAGTTTACAGGGCACAAGTTATTTGATATCGATGCTCTTTACATCTGATGTAGATGAGAATTTTAAACTTTATTTTTTTTGTTATTTCAGGGTGTGTTAAGGGTGCGAAAGCGTGTCACCAGAATGGTCCTTGTAGTGAGTGTAATTTATGGCGTATGCTGGTTGCCAAACCTGACTACTTACGCGCTCAACTACTTCAGTCCTTCGCAGAACTATGGAGATGTTACCTATATCACCAGTATCGTTCTAGTTACGTGCAATTCTACTGTCAATCCTTTTATTTACGTCTTTGTAAACCAGAAATTTCAAAGAAAAGTCAGAAGTTTGTTATGTTGTGAAAAGACCTGCGGAAACCGAATTGGGGCCTTCATTGAGTCAACCAATAATACCTACGATCCCACTGACGCTGTCACACAACCTACCGTGGTATCCAACATACGAGTCAGACCGCGAACGGGAAGTTTAGTGTCCACCGCAGATGGCATGCAAGAGGACAGAAAAAACTTAAAGCAATGAGTTATATTATGCCAATGAACAAGCAGAACTAAGATAATCAAGCAATTCGAATTTGGATCGAACTCATCCCGCGATTAGGTTCAACTTGGCCCCTGCGTCATGAGCGGCGAGACGCTCGCTTTGAGAAGGTGTGAGCGCGCGAGAGGTCCGTCAGGGATCTGCCTCCAAAATAAGAGTGCTGGACTCCTTGGAAACCTCTAACACGCCCGACTTGTTCGCCGTCTTGAATCTCGCAGGATCTGCAGCTCGTGTCGCAGGGATAATGTGGGCGGACTTGCAAGGTTATCGTGATCAGAAGAAATGGTTGTATTCGCTCAATTAGAGTACATGCAATTGTTTTTCGAGCACAGTAACTTTGGTATGTGGTTGCGAATCAATTTGAACCGTAGTGTGTATTGACATTTAACATGCCAGACCCTTCTGTATCGTTGTCCACATTATGCCGGCATAATTTTGAGAATTAAGCATTATGCTGGAATAATTGTGCAGAAAAATAAATAAAATACATAGATAAACAAAAAATAAGAAACAATGAGATAAAATAAACATTCTCTGACTTTTCAATTCTGTTTTATAAAAAATATACGCAAACCAGCAGAGGGGCATTTTGTTGCACATGTTCTGTAAATTTTAGTTTGATGCGAGAAACCGCTGGTGTGCGTTTGCAACGGTTTCCCGCTCGAGAATCGCGAAAGAAAAGAAGGAGGAAAATACGTCGAAAAACAGCAATGGGTCGAGTATTTGAGACAACCTTTCTTGTCATTTTTCCCCTCTGGAACTTAGATGGAAGCGGCAAAGTCTTAAAATTGTTGTGTAATGTGTGGAAGGAAGTTATTTTCAAAAAGCAAAGACTGTACAAACGACTTCGAGTCTTGTGATTGTTTGGGCGATCGATGTAGACGATGTTATTTGTGAAGGATGCAAGAAGCCTGTCGTTACATCAAAGAACTTGTTAGAAATGGAGGAATAATTATGGACTTAAAAGAAACAAGGAGTCCCAGTCCCTTGAGTAATTATCCATTTGTTGTATCACTCGTTTTATATTTTAAGAACCAGAGAAAGCTTGATAATTTTAATCTGCGAGTTTCATGGTACACTTCGACTTCATACTAACTATTTTTATGATACCGGTAATTATAATGGAGCGTATTAGTGATGTTATTTGAGCACAGGCGGCTCAAGCTCCAGCTGTGAGATGGTCATCTTGCGAAATGAGTCATGTCGAAATTTTAAGAGTTTGTATGGGAAAATTTACGACCGCTCTTAGGATTAAAAAAAACACAATCAAATTCTCAATGGAAATACCTCACCTTATTTCCACGGTGCATCGCTTGCTATTTGACCGCTTACTATGCTAAAAAGGAACTCATTTTAGCGAGTTATCCATTTCGAAGTTTACTACGTACAAAAATGGATAAAACTCTTATAATTTCGCCATGACTCTTACTTCGCAAGATCATCATCTCACAGCTGGAGCTTGGGCCGCTTGTGATTTAATAGTGTGAAACATGGAGCATAATAATGTGTACAATCCTATTCTCAAGTCGGTATATATGGTGTTAGGTATATTTTGCATGGATATTTTTCGACAAGAAAACGGTTAGTATTCCGAAGGATCAGTCAGAGAACGAGTTAAGGCTAGAGATAATAGAAATCTATTGCCAGCGCACTAAACAGGGTATGACATAGAATTTGCATACCGAAATAGTCTTTTCTGAGGAAGTTTTGTTCTGGTGTAAACGTTTGAAACATTATAAACATGGCTACTCCTCTTAGAAGCTAAATTATACATAAACATGTAAAAACTAGCGATATGAACCGACATTTTGGAGTCTTCATGACGCCATTGTCAAGGTAAATGTGAGGGTAATGAATTCTGGGAGTATCAACAACTGCAATAACTTTGCATGAAAAACTAGGATAAGACCCACTGAGGTGCTTCAATGTTCTTAAGAAGTGCAAAAATAAATTCCATTGCTTAGTGCACGAGATGCTATTCATCAGAGAACTAAAACCAACCCTGAAAGAGGTTTTAATCAATACTCGCAGAATTCATAATCCTAACACATACTAGGACAATGGCGTCATGAAGACTCTGAAACGTCGGTTCAAAAAAAAAAAAAAAAAGAAAACAAAGTGATACCCATAAAATTGCTAAAAATTTCAAGGTTTTGTGTAGGGTTTACACTCAAACAGCTGTCAAGTTAAAATAGTTTAATTCCCTGCTGGTTGTGAAACATAGTAATATGTGTCCCTAAAATGACTGCAAGCCAAATTAGTTTATTTCAATAAAAGTGATAACTTGCTTAAGAAACTGAGGTGCTACTCCGGTGGAGGAGTATAACAAGATAATTTGCTTTCATAAACTGAGTTGATAATGTAAATGGCCCACCATAAAGAGTTTCTAACGATCAATATTTTGGTGGTCATAAGATTGTTAATAGTGTTTTTGAAAATGTTTTGGTGCACTTTAAGATCGTTAATAGCGTTTTTTTAGGGTCAAAATTACTCTTACAAATCCAAAACACGCTTTCTAATATTCTTCAACAACATATTCCAACAAACGAAATAAATCAAATTATTGATGCGAACTGAACAATCGAAGCGGTTGCCAAAATGAAATTATAAATGATAAGTTACTACAATTATACGAAGGGAAATTGACAAACGAGAAAGAAAATAGAGGAAAATAAAAGACACGTAAAAACGTTAAACACGATAGTGACAAGGACGCATCCAAACCAGTCGCTATACTCTTTAACATCCCTAATCATTCTGAGCACATGATAGTCTGTGTCCTTCCCCTACATTTAGGAATTTTAGAAAGCTGCAAAGCTCTAGAACAAAAATTTATCTTTCAAATCGGCACTCTTAATCCCCACGTTATCAACATATGCCTTTAATTCAACCAACTTATTCTTGTTTTTCTCGTTACTATGTACACCTAGCGTAGCTCCATTTTCTACAAATAAACACATGCACAACTCACAATTCCTCCATTCGCTCTGACGAAGGGCTAACGCTCGAAACTTCAGCCTTGAAACTCTTTACGGTGACCAATTTACATTATCAACTCAGCTGTTAAAACAAAATTATCTTGTATTTTTAACGGTTCGTTCGCAGGGAAATTTATCCATCTTACTTTTGTCATTCAAGTTGGATGTTTGAACACAACTTATCTATTAGGGACGATGTTATTAGAACTACAAACGACAAAACTATAAACGGAAAAAACGCTCGTGGCTACATCATGAGTGATCGGCCGAGTAAAGCGTGCAAGTTTCCAAGACTAATTATGTAGTGTAGTAACAGCAAAACCAAAACGAAACTGGATTGCTTTCGACACCTAGGTGAAAAGTTAACTAGTATATAAGATATCGTCCAATTTTTCGAATAGAACTGGCCCTAACTGGCACCTTGCAATTGTTGAACATTTAAAAGCCTGCCTAACCCTCTTTTGAACAAAGACGTTGACTTCAAAATCTTCACCGTTATTCAACCAGTTGTTACTTCAGGCATTAAAATGTTATATAAGGGCCATACGTAGTGTCTCTTTTATTTGAAGTGAAGAACGATGGAAACAAGGAAATGAAATTATAATGTTGACATCATTTACCTTTTCGTTCTGATTGTGGCCGAAAAACATTTTCTTGAGATATAATTGATTCACCCAAGGGCGAAATGAATGCTGCTGGATAAATCTAAAGGTAACGTGATCTGTTCATGCAATTTGTTTCCGAGATTGATCCTCAGGGATAACTACAAATTTTGATAGATCTCATTTCTCAGAGTGATAAAGCTATACCCCGAGTTTATATATGGAAAAATACAATTAGTTATCGCTCCTATATTGATGAAATTTGGCTTAGATTAGGTTTTAAGGGCTATAAGAAATGTGTGGAGCAAATACATTATTATCAGTCGAGTCTGAAATTTAAATTCTTTCTTTAATTTTTTTCTTTGGATATACTTCCTGCCTTTGTCAGCTCTTGTTTATGAAACACAATAACAGCTGACTTCGTTCCGTATCTTTGCCTTTGTTTCGTAACATTAGTTCGAAAACATTGTTAGACCGTTCATTTGAGATTTGAAATTCCAACCACACGCTAATTTTGCAATATAAAAATCCAGAGATATCGTTCAAGTATTTGAAATTCTGTATAATTAAATTCTATAATTAAAGTCAATGGCACCCATAGCACTTCATTTCCTTGAAAACAAAGAGTTTTCCATTAAAAATTATATTAAATACTGTCAGGTCTGCATAAAAGAGTAGAGATATATCAAAGCAACTCTCATTGGTCTGAAGATTTCGTAAGGGATATGACGCCAGTCCATTATGTGTATTGAGATTATAATTTTCCATGGCGTTCATAATAAGTAGGGTTTTACTCTGAAAATCGCTAAATTTCCAGCTTGTTGAATTGTGTGGCCAGTAAATCAATCATTTCCGATCTTCCGAGATACGCGATGTTGTCATATACATATTGAGTTCGTAAATCCTGAATAAGGACCTACTTGGACGTTAAGGTAGAGTGCAATTCAAATTACATTTTATGTTTGTGGTATATTTTGGACGTCTGTTTACAATCAAGTCTTTAAACCACAACTAACGGTTTGTTCCAACAAATTAAAGTACCGAAATTGCAAATTGCAATTACAATTTTACTCTCAGGGACATTCTTTCATGATTTTTAGAAGCATGATTTTTATTCCCTTAGAAAATTGACGTTTTGGTGAAAATTGCAGTCGAAAAGAGAAGGAAAATCCATCATGTTGACCGATTCAGCCCAGACCGTGATCGCTGTGGTGTTTTC